CAGAGTCAAGTTTAGCTGACGTGCAAGACACAGCCTTCTACCAATCAGATTCTCTGTAGGCTGTAGCTACCATTGGGAATCTGAAGTCGGAATATATCCCTGCGTGGCATTAAACTGTGAACTTTCTGACCCCTGGCAAACTTTTGCATCGAAGGGGATAGTATTTGGGAGTAAGCACTGCCATAGTCGTTGGTTAGTTAGTTAGTAAGTCAGTCAGTCAGTCAGTTAGTCAGTCAGTCAGTGAGTTAGTTAGTAAGTTGTTTAGTAAGTAGGTAGGTAAGTAAGTAAGTAAATTAGGTAGGTAGTTAGTTAGTGAGTTAGTTAGTTATTAAAGTTAATTTGATCGAGCGCCAGATCGGACAACATGAATTCTCCATCTCCAGTCACTTTGGTCTAGCATTACCGTTCTGAGTTCTCCGTTAGTGGCGAACCCGGTGTCTTCAAGCCGAAAGTGTGTATGTACGTGGTCTTAGGTCTTCCTCTCTTAGTTTGTCCAAGTTGTGGCTGCCACAACACAACCTTCGATGCCTCCTCCTCCTCTTTGTCTCTAACAAAATGCCCAGCTACTCTCATTCTTCTTTCCCTTATCTTGCTAGAAACGATTGGGAGGTGAACGTACAGATCTTCATTTGCAACGTGGTCCCTTCGAGAAATGTTTAGTGCTGTGCGAAGCATTCTAGTAGGTTCGGTAGACTGACGATCAGTGTAGGAGGGTCTTACTATTTTTCTTACTCGATGAACGAATCAATCACATGAAATGAGCTCACATGGCAAGTGAAAGGTTGTCGGATGTTTGCTTTGTCCAACAAAGTCATAACAAATTATTCCAAACAGAAACTGAGTTCGTGTTCCATTTCTTGTTGTGTAGTATTGTAGCGTAGTCTGGGATGGACTTAGCAATCACCTGGTCAGACAAAGGGCAGAAACTATAAAATCGTGTGGCAAGGGTTATTCTTAGGGCAAGCTATGACAGCAGTGACAGTGTGCATGTATAAGAAGAAAAATAAACTTGAAAAACTGGACTTTTCACAGAGATAATAAAATGTCTATAATTTGTAAATTTATAGACTTTTTATAAAGGTGCAAATCTTCCTTTCTTTCTAGCAATGGGAGACTCTTGCAGCACCTCTGAAAGTGCTATTTTATTATAGTTAAGTGTGGAAAGGTGCCCGGAGGGGTTGCCTATACGGGGAGGCTCCGCCCGAAAGGGGTACGTTTTAAGGCTTTAGGTATATGAAAGGGTAGGAATTTAACTGGTGGAAGTATATGAGAGGGTAGGGAAATCTGACATTTTGGTCTATAAAAAGGCCCAAAAGAGCCAAAAGATGTAATCTACTAATGGCTATGAAAAAGTCGAGAAAACGCTGTGGTTTTTGTAATTTGTTCAAATCTAAAGTCAGTGCATTTAGAATTGTTAAAAGGGATGCAAAGTTCTAAACTAGCGCACGAGACCTTTTTCTTTGAATTCAAAATTGGTATATAAAATGATGAGAGGTTGGACACCGGGGCGAAGCCTACTCGTACAAAACTTTGTTGAGTATCCCCCGTGGGGGGGTGGGGTAGGTGGAACTATTCTGAGGTCAAAGGCGAAAGAAGTGAGCCATTGAACAGCGACGTATTTGGCTCTCAGTAATCACTGATTCAATAGATGCCGGTGTGTTCAACCATCCTGCTGGCTGGAATTCTTGTCTAAGTGCTTCAGTCTTCACTTAAGTGTCGGGGAAATCCTAAGTGATCTCTTCAAACAAGGGTATGGAGTGGTTGATCCCAGATTTTGCAAGATAACGAGCAGTGGTTTAAAGCTTGGTTTAAGTCATGGTGATCTAGGCTTACCTACTGTAGCCTAAAAATCTAATCATGCTGTTCCCTCCTCATAGATAGATTGATGAGCTTTCGTCTGCGGTAACGCGCTACGCGGTTTTCTGAAGCGCTTTCGGGCGGTCTGAGTCCAGGCTTATCATACATAATCCTAGTCATGCTCGTTGATTTTCTAATAAAATCACTTTGATCTATCTTCATTTATATCCAAGCTTAGTCAAACAAGTTAGCAGAAAGTGGTTTCAAAAATAGACCTTCCAAGACGATTATGGGATTCCACCATGACTAATCAACATTCCAAGACTTAATGTCGAAAAATGTAAAACTTCAATACTTACCGAAACTAACACAAAGTAATTTTTGACAGGAAGACATGATTTTGTCAACCTTGTAATAAAAATCATCTTGTTTCAGTAGCGGATCCAGATCTGCAGATAAGGGGGGAGGGGGCTGGTCATACAGACCGTGAAGGGTGGGGGTCAGGTCTAAGAAACAAATTTTCTGCCCTTCGGGCCTCAGTTTGGGCTCGGCCCCCCCCGGGCCCCTCCCCTGGATCCGTCAGGCGGGGGAACCGTATTCTTCTTGCATAAGGTGATGTTTGTTTGGTACGAAGTCAGTTTGACGCACAATTCGGGAGTCAATGGCTGCAGCCTTTGGGCCTGTGCACTTCTTATAGTTAGTAAAAGGAAAGGTGTACGAAATGAGGCTCTTCCATTAGTTGGCCAGCTTACCTTTGGACATTTTTTGTGAAATGGAATTTGTTGTTGTTTTTTTTTTCTCATCTAAAAAAAGACTTGTCGGTTAGGTATTTCCTATGGTTGTCAACGTTTGCCGTAAAGACCACGAACATTGAGACGCATCTTCACCAGCGGAAGCACAGGACAAAATGTAGCTCACAAGTTCAAATCTTGGTTCCCGCAAAGAAAACAAACTCAACCAGATTATTTGAAATCAATCGCCTATCGGAAGCCCTTGAAAAATCCGCCGTCATCGCTCTCGAAGCTCCAATTCATATGCGATCAACCGGGTCTTCCGTCGGGGAACATTATATTATTTCCTGATAAGTAAATAGGAAATCTGTCTCGTCATGAAGAAAAACTTTCCATGGTCTCTTTCATTATTGAAAGCACAATCGACTAGTTGAGTTTGAAAGTTTATAATTTTTAAATAAGTAACCGGAAAACAAGTACCAGGCGCCAAACCTCGTTAGCTCCATGTAAGCAGACTCTCTCTTGGATACTTTCAAGATAGTTTTTTGTTCATACTAAATGACTGGTATAGTTGTTCCCAAAACTTGACTTTCTGTTGAAAGGATCCTTGCTATCATTTTTAAGGTTAAAATTTTCTCAATGGGACAGAAATACAAGAATCAAGATTCAAGATGGCCGACTTCTTAAAATTGCGACGAAATGTGTGTAGCTGAGTGCGTAGAACGTGAAACCTGGGTGCCAGAGACTTTTCATGCGTGGTTTCGGGTTTCGTTCAATCGGCCTTCGGCCGGCCAAAGATTGCGGTCGACACCGAAGCATCCCGCCACACGCAAGAAAAAAACCCTCCAGTCTTCAGCTCAAGTTATTGCGCGATAGGTCACTGTCTGCAGATGACAACCTGCATGACCAAGTAACATTAACCACTAACTTTCACACAGTTAGGTCCAGTTATTTAAACGAAGTTTAGCGAGTGTTAAACAAAACCGCGTTCTAAGCCATTTTCACGTTGCCGAACGCTTTAATGTAAGCACCATCTATCGTGAACAATTTCATGAAAGCATATGGCTTAGACTAGAAAAGCATTGGTCCCCTTAAAATAACCTAGTAAGGAAGAGATCTGGAGGTCCAAAGATTTTCTAAACCGCGGTGTAAGTTAGACTTCGTTCAAATAACCGACTATTACTCTCTACAAGCCTTCTAAATTTCGTTGACATAGCTTCGTTAAATATTTTTTGGTATCAGTATGTTTAGCTACTGGTCATCTGTGACGTCTCGTAAATGGCGGATACGATATAAGGTTTTAAGCGTCCATTTTCCGTCCGGCAAAGGTTTTAGAAAAGCAAACGCTCGCTTGAGACTAAGAGAAACCAATTGAGTGCGTGAGAAGTTATTAAAGAGAAAACAGGTAGAAACGAGCTATACCCTTTCAGACTCATGATCTAGAAAATGGAGTACGAGTGGGGTTCTGAAAGTTCTCGTAAGGTTAAAGCCCTGACAGATCAGAGTCAGGTAATACCCATGCGCAATAGATACCATTCTTAGCTGATTTCCATAACACAAGATACGCGATCCATACTGTTTTTAACCATAGTTAATTAAAGTGGAATGGTTGGGAAACCCTTTGTTATAGGTTTTTTGTTAGCTTTTTTGGACCTGACCGTGCACAACGTTCAATAGCATTCCTATCATTTTCGTTATTCCATTTCTATTCGTCATAATTTATTCAGTCATAATTTGTGAACGGAAAACAAAGGATTGTGAGCGGTCAGGGAGCTTCCAACATAACCTATATCACCATTGCCTTCAACTTTGATGTTTGCCGGGTTTCCTAATCAGTCTCCTCCGAACTATGTTTCAACCAAATAAGATAAAATAACAAAATAGGATGAGCAAAAGAACACTCTCAGGAACGGGTTTTCAGTAAAATATCGAAGATGGAATGGAACAGTAGGCAAGATTGGTGAGTTCTAGATGTATCAGAGGGGCACCTTTGATTTGGGATCAGAGCCAGTTTTCCCATTAAGGGAATCCAAGACAGTCCGTGAATTCCGGATCCAGGTGCTGGATTCCAGTCATCTTGTCAGTCTGGATTTTAATCGTTAGTAGGATTCCGGATTCCTTGAGCTGCATTCCAGATTCCAAATCCCAGGATTCCAAATTTCACAAGCAAAAATTTCCCAGATTCCGGAATCCGGCTTGGATTCAGGATTCCAATTGTTATTGGGATTCCGGATTTCTTGAGCTGTATTCCGGATTTCAAAGCCCAGGATTCCGCATTCCACAGCAAAAATTTCCCACATTCCGGAATGTGGATTCCCTTATATGGGGTAGGCCGGTAAACGCTCTTCCTTTTAAAGTGACAAAACTAGTGTCCAGGTCAGCGCGGTCCCTGAAAGCTGACTTTGTCCAACGTAACGCAAACAGCTTAAGTTAAGTGATTATTTTTTTATAACAACTTGTTTCATTGAATCTGTTTTATTTTTTGTCATATATTACACTAAAATAATATCTTTTTTATTCCTGTGTCTCCGGAGAAGTCACTCAGGCCCTGTCCACACGTATCCGTATTCGTTTGAAAACGCAACTTTTTTTTTCTCCGTTTTCCAAAAACTTCACGTCCACTCGTAAGATCGTAGCGTTTTCGCCTGTCCATACGTACACGATAAATCGATTTCAGAAAACGATAGCTTACCCGACTGCCCATGCTTGACGCATACGTGTTTGCTATTATGAGCCCGCGAAATAACTGGCGCCATCTTTGAATTTCTTTGGTGTGGGCTTTTATTGTTGTCACGTTCTTCAAAGTCGCAGAAACAGACTAAGATGTCAAAATCTGGGCAAAAACGAAGTCAAAATAAAGGAAATCCAACCTTTTGCCTCTTGACACCGGTAGCGCGCGAAAGTAACCTGATAATGTTCTGCCACATCCTGGAAAAATCAGCTTAAAAACTAACAAAGCCAAATTTGCTTGAAAATACGCAATTAGGTTAGAAATAAGCCCAAGTATAAGAGACAAGAAAGGGAAGCGCCCGTCCGCCATCTTCAGAATAAGTTTTTAATATTGCGCGGAGTGGATTGGAACTGATAGTGTGTCCTCAGCGTTTTCGAAAAGTTCCGTTTTCGTCTGTAAACACATACACGCGAAAACAGCGTTTTCAAAAAGTTCCACTCTGGAGAGCGTTTTCGAAAAGTTCCGTTTTCATTGATCGTTTTCGATTTCATAGGATACGTGAGGACGGAAGCCGTATCCGTAAAGAAAAAGTTACGTTTTCATATCAAAACGGATACCTGTGGACATGGCCTCAGTCAAAGTTCTTAATAAAAAATTAGCGTTTTTTACATAAATTAGTTACAATTCCAGAATTCTTATGCCTTTATACAGTTTTGGATCATGCTCTATAAACTGAAGCTTAAAGTTAAATAAAATGACTAGCCATCTTCTTTCTAAGGGTCGCAGTTGGTTGTTTTAAACAAAAATGTCCTGCAACTGTTTTCAAGAACTGAGAAAATTCTTTTATATTTATCGTTACCTATATAAGCGCCATAAATAGCCTATAGAATCTATCTGTTTTTTCCCCTTTATTCCAGTTGCAGTTAGCAACTTTTTAGCTTTTTACACTTCTTTACACTCTTCTACCGTTCGATGCAATGTTTGAACGAGGATGTCGTGGGCTACCAACCTCTTCCCTAGGAATGGGCAGGGCCCTTCAATTTTCTAAGAGAAAAGCTAACCGTTATAACAAATGTTTTTAAGCCGGCACAACCTCCTCAGCATAAAGTGCTGATATCAGTGAGGCCCTGTAGATGAAAGGACGCGCATTCAGGTTAGCAGAGATCTAGAAAAAACTGGTAACAAGATTTGTCCTCCACTGCTCCTCAAGTTTTCCAAAGTTTTCCCGAATGTACAGTCTTATCACTTGTTCGCTGTCTTTCCAGCTCAAATAATCGAAAAGGAAATAAAGTTAGCAGTACATCACGTGACAATACTCATCACAACCAGTCAGGTAGCTTAGTTTCGAAAATTGGTCACTTACATGATCAGTAATATATTACATAATTTTATTCAAGACTGATATTTAAGTCATTCAAACCAGTCCCTGAATCTAGAGACAACAAGCTAAAAATCATCAAATGAAGATAAAGACATTAAAATCGTCCAAGTTGGGTGATTAGAGTTTAACAATCTGAAGATTTGTGCGGACAACATGTTCCCGGAACTTTCTCGTCCTGATTGTAGTCCTCGTATTCAATGATCTCAGGAGTATACTTTTCACTTGAGGAGTTCGAGTGTTGGTAACAAGGATTGCTGGGAGGTTTTTGCATTACCCCGTTGGCTTGTAAGCCACGCGGGATGGTGTTTTTAGAACTGGTTCTGCTACCGCTTCTGCTTGGAGCTCGTGGCCTTCCAGAAGATCCTATATGTAAGACCTCACGAAATGACTGCCTGAAAGAACGATTGAGGGCGTTGTAAATGATTGGGTTGTTAGCGTGATTAGAGACCACCAGAACAAACGACAACATGTCCAGCCAATGAGGAATCTTGAATCCAAGGCTAGCCATGTCCAGGATGTTGATTACACTAGCGGGGATGTAGCAAATGACGAATACCACGATCACAATGAACAATGTAGTGGCGATTTTGATGTCTTCTACGTGAACAGCAGGCTGACTTCGCCGAAGGTTTCCGATCATCGCTCCGTGCGCTTTGATAATCTTGTAGATCTTCAAATAACAAAAGAGAATAATGCTGAAAGGCAGGACCACGATGAAAGTCGAGAACGTGAGCGTGTAAGATATGCTCCTTCCGAAGAGGAAATGACAGACGCATTTCCCGACTTGGTACTCGTGTTCAGACCAGCCAAATATCGGAGCAATCGATAGCACAAATGGAAGAAACCAGGTGGCTACTAGGATTTTCAGGGTGTTGCTTTTAGTGTAAATAAGATTATACTTTCCCTCTTCCACGATTTTAAAATACCTGTTTACGCTGATAGCGCACAGTGTTAACAGCGACGCGGCACCCAACAGAACAGTCAGGAAACCATTTATTTTACAAAACGCCTCTCCGAACAGCCATTCCCCTTGATTGAGGATCGTCGCCAACATAAATATAAGATTAGCAGAGGCGAGAATGTCCGCAATAGCGAGATTTATGAGGAAAAAGTTTGCACTTGTCCGGCGAGATCGACGTTGTTGCTGCCACAGAACGATGATAACAAGGATGTTCCCAATGATTCCAAAAAGAATAATCAGGCCAACAACAGGAGCCAAAAAACCAATTGCAAGAGTCGACCAAGTGAAATCAAGCTGCATTCTATCCACCATAACGTAGAAGATATTTCACTTAGGAGGCTGTAACCTGAAAAAAATAAAACGAAGATTAATTCAGCTGATTAATTGAAACTTTATTCTACACAAATAAATCTCAAGATATGTTAGATATTTGAAAAAGGTTAAATCTCATAAAATATCATTAATAATAAAAAAAATCCGCGTCTGGATGACTTAAGCTGCTCGTGCGATTTTGATATGGAAATATTGATCTTGTTGACCGTGCATTCAAAACCCCTGAAAAGCGGCATCCTAAAATTTATGAAAAGATTTACTTTAAAATCTCTCTCTTCCAAGCACTAAACCCATTTTTTAATTGTATATTAGATTGCTGGCTACCGTTTAGTTCTTTGGGAAGGATAATAAGTATATTTTGCTGTGAAGGAGGTCTAGATAGCGTTTACGTCTGCAGATAACAGCCATAGACCTTTGGCTAAGAAATCACTACTTCACTGTGGATTATTTACTTTATTCCTTCCTATTGTGCCGTTGTACAAGCCGGTTTCATTCTGACAATTTTGTACTTAGCTGTTGTTGTTTTTGTGTTCAACAGTAAAGTGTGCCCATCCAAGTATGAGCGCTTTTCAGCGTTTCCCCCTTGATATGATATTGTTTTTTTTTTCCACTACTGTAATTTACAATAGGTGTTTTTGCAAACTTTGATTGCAGTGCTTTTGAGTGACAGGCTCATGGCTTAAGGATGAAAATATTTTTCAGGTAGCGAACTAATTCGGTCCATAATCCGAGATTGTAGATTCCTCAAAAGCAATCCCTCACAATAAAAAGTTAAACGAGAGACCATGACAGCTCGAGGCCTTGCCACTCCTCATTAACGTTTAGTTCATCCTGATAAATACCGTACTAAAATTGCTTCATTATCGAAAAAGATTTCAGAAAAATTGACTTACTGAATTTTCAAAGATTTCACAGGTCAAGCTGGAGAGTGTGGAAGAAGAGCTGACAAAATCCACGTTCAATAGGTCTTAGCTACTAATTCCTTCTAGTGCAAGATGATATTACATCTAAGAAACTCACCGATGCAGCTACTATATATATATCAGCCGTGCAGGAATTTGCCTGGGCATGGCTTTAGATTTCAAGAGCCGTTTGTTCACTCCGCATTGCCGACTGACAAATATGGAGTGCTGCTATGCTGTAGACAGGCTAAAAACTTGCCTACACTTGCATTTTTACGTCTAATTAACTGCTTGAACTTTGGTCAAAACAAGAGCTAAGTTCTTTAAGTATGTGATAAAGATGATGATAACCGGTGAGTTTCACTTATAACTGGCTGTCTACTTATGACAAAAATTTACCATTCTATTAAAAGTAAGAGTGTCGAGTCAACGGAAACGCCTTAGAACTTCAAACGGACACCAAGGCCGCGGAAATAGATAAATCTACCGCCAAAAGGACGATAAGCTACTTAAAAGTTATTAGCGTCTTTACTGACAAGAAAATCTTTGGGAAATATCTGGAATCTTATTATGAATAGATGATGATCAGTTTGACAGTGGTTTGAATTTTAAAAACTAGCTAAAATCACATACTCAGTGAACAATTACTTTTACATCAGTTTAAATTCCGCGATCCTTTGATAATGCCGTGAGGTTTTACAGCTATGTCAAAAACAAAAGCCTTTACATCAACTTCAATTCAATCATTTGCTAATGCCCTGAGGTTTAATTTAAGAGTTATTCAGCAGTGAGGTTAAGTTAAAAACTTAAGATTTAATTGCATGAAAATCACAACACAGTCCTTCTAAAGGCAGGCAGTACAGTCACAGACAATACAAAATGGCTGTCGATTTCCTGGTGACGTCATTAGGCTTAGATTACCATCCCATAATTCATTTCGTTGCACTTTAGCCCAAGAAAAAAAAAAAACAGTACACGTGAATGATTCTGGCATTTTTTGAAAGTCTTTTATTGAACATTGAAAAGCAAAATATTTTTTAGTCCAGGATAAAATATTGTAGTTCGTCTCTGGGAGGTAAACTAAGATTAATTTCTGCAGCGATAAATATCAAGGCGTAGGCGAGATTAGTTTTAAAAAGCCTCTTTGCAGACGATTCACGTTTGGATAAAAAAAAGTTTCTTATCTTTTTTTGTTGATAAGAGAAAAAGGACCAATGGTAAAGTCTTTTGGACGTTTTCGTGCTTTTCCTCCTTTTTCAGATCAAATACAAAACTGCAGGCAGATAAGAGGAAGTTAGAAGACTTAGAAAAGTTAGAGGTTCTATTGAAGTCTCTAATTATTATCAAAATAATTCATAGTGAAACAGTAAATCTTGATGGCGCTTTACCGCGCCTTCAAAACAAATCACCTTTATTCTTTTTTGTGTATTAATAGCTATTCACGCCCAATTACTCCATGACTTTTTCCCAGTTTAACGCGCTGTTAACGCTGGGGCGGAATATTTGAAGATTAAGTTCTAAACGTCATCGAGTATTTAACGAAGGTCAAAGAGCGACTTAACAGAGTATCTGGACATTGCTTTTCACGACCTACTTTAAATGGTTTCAGTAGCAAGCGAGAACTGTTAAGTAGCATATCTGTTCGAAAGGCTCAAGACGCCTTAAAACTGATAATTCATCCATTTGGCTGGTCTTAATTTTCGATGTAAGGGTGACCGCAAGCAACATTCGTATTTGTACTGGGTAACTTGCTGATAACTGAAAGTCTGCGTCCTTGCTTTCCCCTTTAAATGCTTGTGTAATATCCACTATTAATAGCTGACACTACAGTTGCCCCCGCTCTGTACATTGTCGGTCAACAGTATTCTTGATCGTTTCGTTGTTTAGCTCCTTGAAATGTACCGATTTATAATGAAGATTTTCACACATATTCCATGGATTCCATACAATAGGTGAGTTAAAAATAGGAAACTCAAGGTTCCATGCTCTGATTAATTCAGTTCGATTTGCACAGCTTTGATCAAAACAGTTTCAGTCAGTTCGAGAGTAGTTTATTCTAAACCATAACAAAAGATGTAATTAGAAATTGCAGGAATTTTTCGCCATTTGTCTTTCAGTTTTTATGTACATTTCATTTTATTTGCCGGAAAGTAAGCCTTCGAGATTCGAAGGTTTGATCAATTCACGCTCGCGTGTTTTGGTTATTATTATTATTCTTTTAACTTTATAGAAGGACATCTGTGAGCAAGGATTAAGTCAGCATTGTCGGCGAATTTCTGTAACCGTTCATCGTTCTGCTAGTGGTAAGCTAACCGTTGATTACTCGTCTTGCTTGTTTGTGGACTGAGTTTTATTCCCCCAAAGGGAGAGAAGTGTCTGGCAAATTGTTTCCAATCAAAGATTATTTGTTAACTCGAGTCCGGCAAACTCTTTAAGTGTTTATGTGTACACAGTTATACGCACCTAATACTGAAATATAACTTCATCTCGCTCAAAGAGTGTCACGGTTTTTTGGTCCATAACTTTCAGATGTCACCCAGATAACACGTAACGCAAAAGAAGTTCATGAGTGTACAATAAATGTCACAAAATCTACCTAAGCCGTCATAGGCTCCTAGTTTTACGTCATCCTAACCATCTCTTACTTGCGGGCGCAAACAATAGAAACGTCATCATGCATTACCGAACGATTCCATGCGGCCCCTGTTCAAGCAAATCGAGATTTTTTCTGACATACTGACTGTATATTTCATCTGTAAGTACTTTTCTTACTACACGGCGAGCTACTAGAGCGGTCTCTTCGGGATTTCACTCAGGCGGGGGCAATAACCTGCCCTTAGTTACTCCCAGAAGTGACTAAGGCCCAAATTTTGGCTCGTTCACAATCTTCAGTTTTTCAAAAACAGAAAAAAATTAAAAACTATTGGATGGTCACAGCAATAACTCCGGGTGGAGTAAGATCGCGAAATCAAAGCACTTCAAAGGCAGTTTCTTCGTGGCCTTTTTTTTTCGTTGGAATTTTCGGAAATTGAGAAAGAGTTGTTAAAAAGTTCTATTGACAAATTCTTCTCCGTAAACTTTTAAGCAAAGCCCTTGGGAGTCCAGAAGTCTGTCTGCAAAACAATCCGGCAGTTATGCATACTGGATCAGTTCAAGAAGCTTGTGTCAGGAAACTTGGCTGGTAATTATTAAAATTATTCCGCTGATTCAAAGTTAGTTGCCAACCATGGATGTCTTTGTAAGTGACAAAGACGCATTGGAAAGGTCAAGGTTATTTTTTCTTATTTTTGCGGACATCGGAAAGAGCAGAAATTTTGAATAACAAAACAACGCATAAAATCCTCTTTTCCTTCCTGTCTTAGCATATTTGCGCTTAGTCATCACATCCAATTTTCTCAGTAATGCCGAGAAAGGCAAAGTTTTAAGTTTAAGTTTCCACTGAGCAATCTGTAGTAAATGCATGTTCTTAGAGTCACATACTTAACAGTGCAATGAAAAGACGTATCATAACGCTTTGTGTTAAAAATTCGACAGAAGAAACTGAGACAATGCGGGATATGTAGTGATAGAAAACTTACTTGAATCTTGTTAATCACATATCACATGTGATGAAGCTACAGCTGTATGAAAAGTGGTTTACCACTTGCTTAATTAACTAACATCAGCGAGTAGGACTAGCAGTCTTACCTATGTAGTTATGAACAAAGAAACGTCCCTGTCCGCGGTCTATGATAAGAGCCAAACACCTTGATAACCTTGCAGTGGACTCTGCAAATGCTTAAGTGAGGAGGTGAGATACGTACGTTCTCGGTATATACTGCTGTTTATTGACCTCCCGTCAGGTTAATAATGGAAACTTTGGCACATTCCTCCGGAGGGCTTAACGCACAGATAATCCCCTCTTATTGTATTAATTCGGAATAAACCAAAACGCATAAAAACAAAAAGAGGATGCATTTTTCCTGCGGTTAGTTTCTCAAACGTGACAATGAGTTGAGTGTGAGTAACTGTTTTTTAGAGGCCTTCACGTACCTATTCGTTTGAGTTACATTGAACAAGCTTAGGGCTGTTTTCTTGATATGTGGGGTCAAGTTAACTGCTCTTTACAGTACTGTCTGTTTCAGTCTTGTAGCACAAGTTGGAATTAAGAGAACCTCTTCTCCACTCCGTCAGTGATATGAATGTAGCAAGACACCCAGTTCATTAAAACGCAACTAACATCACTTCTGACGAATTTTTTGGTAAACTTTTTAGAAGCATCTCGACTTTTCGACAGTCTCTCAGCGGACAAACACCGAAAGAACAATTAGGATTAGAAGACTTATGGTTTTGTTTTCTGAGCCAAAAAAATATGAAAAATGGTTGAATGGTAACGGATACTAATAAAAATTACTTAAAAATCAGGCTTGCCCAAGAGGGGTAAGATATTTATATATTTAAGCTTCTTAAGAAAAATGTAAGTCCACTTAAAATTACCTGCTTATCTGTACATGTAGGTTTTGAACAATCCCGCCCCTTTATTTTTCCGTTATCCATACCCCATACTGAAAAAGGTATGAAAGACATCCTACGACTAATTTCAATATTAGATGAAGGGTGATGAAGCATTGTTCAATTCTCAGGCAGATAATATGATTAAGTATTTTATCTGAGTCAGCAGAATAAACGGGCGTCGTGACGGAATGTACACACGTGTATGAGCGGAACAAATATTCTTACATATACAGGTCTTACAGGCGAGAAGAAAAAAGGGGGATGCGCGCATGATAGACTGCAAAACAGTCGGTTTTTTTCTAAAAATCAGTAAAGAAATCGGTAAAGCGTGGCGTAAGAGTCTTAAGCACGAAGCGCGCAAGCCTCACACGCCCGTAAGGCTTCCGTAAGGCGTGTGAGGCGAGAGTCTCTCCCCAGTCTCGCTCTCTGTTTTCAGCCTCGTTCCAGACCTTTCGTTTGACTGCTCGCGGATCGCGCGTACTTGAATACGCAGAAATACGGACTGTCTTGCAGTCTACTTGCATGAGCTAAGCTGCTATTTCGTCACGCCCTCGTTTAACGATCGCATCTGTAAACTGTGTTCTTGAATGTCTACTTCGCTTTTTGTTTGTTTAGTACCTCGATATGAACCTAAAATCACGAAAGCTTGAACTAACCAGCCGCTAAAGTTTATCAACATTAACATCAAACGTGGGAAATTAAACTGACGTCGGTTTATGCCATATTTAAAATTTTCTTTGATAGCCATATACTAGCTTGCCTCGGGAACTGTATTCTACACAGTCTGCACATTGAAGCAGGCAGGATTACTCTCGGGGGGGGGTACTCCCATACATTACCTATACGGGTATGTGCCGCCCAACGGGGTCGTGATTTGATTTTTAAGGTCGTGATAAAAATACGGTTCAATGCGTTAACAAGCAAACTAGACCACATAGTTTCTTTTTTACGAGAACAGGGTTGTTTGAGGGGAAATTTTTTTTAGAACGGGGTGCTTTTGGTCAATCAAAAAAGATTAAACCACATAGAAAAGTTGAACATCTTTATACGAAAATCTATGAATGGATATCTAAAATAAAGTTACACTTTAATTATTTAATTACTAGGATATTGCTTTAAAAACTTTGCTCCCTTGTAACTGTGTTGATTAATTAGTAATTTGCAGCTTTTATGTCCAGTCACGATTTTCTTAATTTTATATGAAAAGAGATGATGTAATGTTTTTATTAATCAATTGGTTAATTGATTCTTACCGCTATCATTTTCTGCTGTCATTGTTCAAAATAGGTAATGTCATGTAAAGTAAAGCAAAACAAAACAAAAAACCTTTAGGAATAGAATGTTCTTGTTGCATGCAGTTTTTAACGTTTGATTCACACATTCTGTGGACGAAAGCCTATGTTGTCACCATTAGAATAAAACCTCTTGAATTTGTTTTTCATAATTATAATTTCAAAACTGAAAGGCAGTGTCTTGATCTGAGTTCACCTTTTGTTCACAGTACGAAATGAAAAAGGTTATTGTAATTTAGTTATCTTTCATCGCTGTCTGTTACATAAATTATATTTGTGAAAGTAGCTTTTACCTGAAGAATCCGTTATCAGCTTTTAAAACGAGTTCGCCTTCTAATGGCTTTTCATTTTTCATTGTTGTTTCACAAAGGTAAATTATAACACCTGATACATAATTGGTTTAAATCCATGTTTTCTAGGTGTGGCTGATAACGTGAACAGGCCGTTCTAGTGCTCTAATTGGACTACTGCTTTTAAAACTAAAAATCCTGTAAAAATCTTACATTTTGCATATAGTTTTTTTCTCATTAGATATTAAGTGGCAGACATCCGGAATTTGAGCATATTAGTCATTAAGTTTAGAAGCACATTTTTTTTGGACTTCGAAGATAAGGAGGCCAAGTGCATCGTAGATAATTTTTACGGTGTGTTGCAGTTATCGAGAACTTTAAAAAATCAGTTCTACAAAAGGCCAAATAATTCTCAGTGATTATTTTGCGCACTTACCAAGTTGAATGAGCAGTTTTCAGTGAGGAGTAAGTCACGTTGGAGAAAATCAAATCAATTCTTATAAGCAGAATATTTTATAGTCAAATAAGAGGAAGACACTGCGCGCCACTGCGAACAACAACTCTTACAGAGCCAAATTGCAGTGAAAAATATTTGTTTTAGCACGTGGTCGGAAGTTCCGATCAAATATTTACTTCATTTTATGCGGGGTGGCCAAGGTGAAATGCCACAGTTTGGCTTTTTTAATCTGGCTAGCTTTCAACATGGAAGCTTTTGCCAAAAAAAAACGCTTATTAAAAACGTGCTAATTTACATTATTACATCAGCTAACAAAAGCAAATATTGTGGATCTTTCGTTGACTATATTCTATAGAGGAAAAAAATAGCAGCGAGTCTTTCTTTTTCACTTTATATCTACGTTTTAAGGCGTGGCTGACTGCCGACAAAACGCCGGAAAGGAAGCATAATTTATTTCGACAACAATTACACCAGACATTACTTTAGCTCGGTCAAACTCTATCAATATATCAAAAATTAACCTTACCAATCCTCCGAGTGTGCAAGTTTTGGACTTTGCCAATGGCAGCGACACGAATATGTACGTTGCGAACTCGAACGTAGTGAATTTAACAATGCCAAAGCAGGTGTTTCGAAAAAGCTTGATACCTTGACTATTTATACAGTGGTAAAGACATAAATAGTCAGCAGTTAAATTTGTCGTCGTTTGCTTTTTAGCGCCTTTCGCAAAACGTCGGCTTTGAAATAGAAGTTCAGAATTGCGAGCACCACAGCCCAAAACAGGTAAAGTTGTTTGCAACGGGTACATGTATAACAATTTAAAAGCATGCTGTCAGGCTGAATCTTTCGTAGCAACAGTCTGTCGGTGGCATTTAACATTCAGCCTAGCTAGACACAGTGTAAGCGGATCTAGAGTATTTGACAGGGGGAGGGGTCGGAAGGTTCAATATTGACATTATCATCCAGACAGTGAAAACCTTTTTACAGATAATCATTCCAAATGTCTCCGCCCGTTATCCGTAAATTAGATATTCACAAAATTAGGATAACATTTCCGATTATAATCATTTTCTAGACTCCAGAGTTTGTTTTCTATTGATACAAGAAGACAATATTCTTAGGTCAGGAAATTGTTTCATTTATAGTTCTGTGTCAAGAATCCATTAGCTAAATTAAACGTTTTAGAATTAAAAACGGCTACTGTAACGAGCCATCTGCCTATCTGTTCACGACTGTCTACTGTACACATTAAAAAAGGGCATAAACTCTATGATTATCGCTGCCGTCACAAAAGCATGTCGACTTATCATGCATGTAATGTACTCCGATCATTTACAGTCTAAGACAAAATCCACCCAAAATGGCCACTTTTTTGAAGTTGTCTCACATTGCCTACTTTTGGCAAAGAAAACATTTTTCGCTGGTAATAATTCCATCGTTAAATCCTCGTAAGACGTGACTCATAGATCCTCAAACAATGCGATTTTGGAAGATCTTTCGTTCAGCGAGCTCGGGGCAAATAAAGTTTTTCAGTAACGTCTTGCATTTTTATTTTTCGTGAATAGCTAGCTGGTGGTTAACATCACAAAAGCAAAAACAGATACTATGCGCGTACGTGCCGAGCTAGTTTCGCCTTAGGTTGAAAGCGTGAACTTAAAATTGCTTAAAGATCCTAACAACAAAAGAAATGTCGAGACGATGTTGAGACAGGCTTTTAAAGCAAGTAGCATCAACTCCAACAATGTTGTTAGCTGTTTTATAGGTCGTTCCCAACATCTGTTCCCCCTGTCAGCATTTTATGTTAAGGCAATGACGAGCTTGCTAACCCAACTCTTCATTTCCCCAGAATTTGCTGAGCAAGGATCAAACAGCCCATATCGCCATATTCTCAAGTGAGGGTGCCCCTTGGGCATACAGAGCTAGTCCATATCACTTGCTTCATATACGACAAAAAGGCTAATTAGTCATATTAGTCTGAGCGCTGACAATGGCATTCTTTTACTTTGGGTTCTTTATTGTTATTTATACCCAGTAATTCTCTTGCGATTATCTATGACATGATCTATTGTGCTGCAAACAAGTTAAACTTCATTTTTGTGGGAAATAGCAGCTGAAAATCGTTATCACAAGAATGAACCCATTTTTGGCTCTGTTCAGGTTGCAAATAAAGTAAGTTATGCAACAACTTCAAATATATGAGAAAACTAAAAAAAGAGATGTTGGTGTCAAAACCGAAAGCAAAAATGCTAATAGGATGATTGCCGAATTCTCCAATTCAGTGAAGTTTTTGGCGCGCGCCTTCTTAATGAAAATCTGGATTTACTCTTAAGTATACGGCGATTTTATTCATCTTTAGCATTTTTCCTCCATTAATGAACTTGCAGAAAATATCTTTTGGTTTAGATATAGACCATTAAGCTCCCGTACAAAAATTGACTGGAATCAGAAATTTGACAGACTCGCCATGAACTTCTAGTGGCTGTTTGGCGCTTTTTGGTTATCAGCTGTTTTGCTTTAGATTATTTCATTCCAGCAGAAGTTTTTCTGTTTTCAAAAACCAATACTTTCATAACTAAATCAATCCGCATGCTTCAATACACATGTACGATCGATTCGGTATGCAGAGCCGATGTTCTTGACTGCAGTGACTGAAGGTTGCATAACCGGCTGAAGAAAAGGGTTGGACTAAAATAAATTAAAAAGCAAAAAGATGGGGGCGATTTCTGCTAAGGAATATAAAAAACCGTGATAGTTTTGGAAGTTAAGAGGCTTTATTTGCCTCTTTCAATTCCGGATAGACGATGGAGGGACCTCAATTTCAATACCGTATAAAATGCATTACATTTACCTCTTATGAAAATGACGACCACAAGCTTTGATTCCGATTGCATTGGGTAGGTACGCAGCCTCTGCCACAGTTTTTACAATTCAGCGTATTTCGCTATTCATTGCTTATCTTCATACCCCCTCCAAAGCTAAACTAACACGCTCGCAATACTAAGGGATTATCAGCCAAACCTAAAGGATAACAACCTCGATAAAAATATCTACGACATGAAACCACAAACACGTTTTGCGAGTGTTTGTGTCAACAAGCCATCAAGAGGACCATTGGGTTTGTTTTTTCGACGGAACCTTCCCATGTTTTGGAGTGCAAGCCAAAAAAACGCTTGTAACTGAACAGTATTTGATAGGTAGAACTTACTTCTCTTTCCGTTAAATGTTGTTACACTGTAATGTAGCTAACTGCGAGTCCTCAGTTTCTCGAAGGGCCGATCAGTAGAACTTGAAAGCAAACAGATCCATCAAGAACATAACACGTCTAACACAGAGCCTAGGGCAACACTCGCCCCAAAATGGATTCCTGGTATGAATTGTTTTTTCCGTGCATCCTAGAGGTTTTAAACGAACAACAAAATATTATTTCCGGCACTTAGAATGAGATGAGGGATTAATGAAACAAAGAAAAATGCGGTTTGTCACGAATAAATAATTAAGGTTATTTACGGGGCATTTTTTTTTAGAGAGAAGGCAATTTGAGACTTGAAAACATTCAAGAAACTGAAAGCCCATTACTATAAGATAATGATCCTTGGTGAACTGTTCTGAACAGCATTTGAGACAAATCTTTGCAGTTTGTTTAGAAAGTGCCAATATTTTCAACAATTGATGATATTAACGTATTTATTACTAGTTGTTTTATAGGGTTTTGCATTTGAATCCATCATCAATTTTTCGCGCACTGTTTAGACAACAATATGAATAATTGACGGTGCTCGTCCGCAAAGTTGAAAGCAAGTCTAATCTTCTAATTAGTAATCGGACTTAAAACCCTTTAACGTCACACAATGTATATGCAGAGGGAACGTTTTTTGCGTAAATGAAAATGTGCATTAATGGTCGAAGTCCAGTCACGCCGTATTGGCGCCACCGGAAGCACCTACTATTGTGTGCGCATTTCAATAGATCCGGGGGGTGGGGAGGGGCAAAGTCACCTACAGTTACAAGAGAGAATCTCTTGCAGTTATATAATCAGGCCTAGTCGGGGCTTACTCTCTAACAGGAAATATTTTTTGACAAACGAGCATGCGAATGGAATTGTTCAAGAAGTGACATAACCGAATGCTAACACAAGCATAGGAAAGAATGTCAATGTGATAGAGTCCTCGACTTCTACTGAAGACGATATTTGTATGAGATCCTTGAGTCTTGCCTTTCTCTATATTGGATATTTTAAACACATTTTTCCTTATCGCGAAATTAGCTTCTTTCTTATTTTTTTTCGTTTCGTTTTAATTTTTGTCACGGTTGGAATGATTTGTCAGCATACTTTATGGGATTGAATATTTAGTTTGTTGCATTGCAAGGTTGACAACACAGTTTGCTCATTGGACTTAATGAGGTTAAAAGAAGAAAGAGGAAAAAAAAAGAAAAAGAAAAGAAAAGTATTCCAAGAGGTCTGAGATGAAAAAAGGAGATTTCATGTTGCATTGGAGTTAACGGTATTTTTGGTATAATCAAACTAGAAGGCCTTTGGGCATTGGGGGGGAAAGCTCCTGCTACTAGAAATTATAGCACTATCAGTAGTGGAACCAACACAAACCGTGTGAGTTAAACATTGGACAAAACAAAATTGGACAAAAAATGTTGCTTGTTACCTGTTTACTATCAGTATGACGGTGATTTGACATGAAGACACTGGCAACTAAGGAAGGGGAAAAGGTGAAAATAAAAAAATCTTTTTTTATACTGCAGGTCGCGACCTTTGAGCTGTTTATAACTGACATTTACCTGGATCAACAAATGATAAAGGCTTCAAAATATAACGAAAGAAACAAACATGTTGTGTGTCGCCAGGATACATCTTCCGGTGAATAGGAGTACAGTACGACACTGCTGGTCAATGATACAATATCATTAACTGTCGCTTCTGCGTGACAAACTCGATGGACTGACCTGCAGTGCCGGGTCAGTGCATGCATGACAAGAATGGAATATACTTACGATTTGGAGGGAAATCTTTGAAATGCAGTCACTCCAACAAGTTTGCAAACTACTGCAGTTAAAATCGATCAACAGACATGCTACGGAAAACAGATTTGCATATCTCTTAACCCAGTTGCATAAAGGTGTCACTCTTCCAGCTCTCAAATGTAGTCTTGATCAATATACATCTGACCACACTCAAGTTTTAAAAGGTTTCCTGGTAATCGATGAAATTAAAAAATGATCACATTTATCAGCTATTGCGTTGAAGAGGCTTCGTTGCATTATAGTGCGCGACAATCTGACTATATTTCGGATAACCGTGATAAAATTCTCTCACTGACACGTCAGTGATATCAGAGGCACCCTACGAGACTATAGTTCAAAACCACTTAAATATAGGATTGTAGAACGTATTTTAGTATTTAAACGGTAGATATAGGCATACTTTTACCCTCAAAAATTTTTCATCTGTTCGGATTTCCTAGCTGAAAGTCTAGTGATCCGAAAATTATAGGGATCAAAACTTACCTTTTCGAAAATTTCAGCCAGAAAAACAGCTCCCGAAAATTCTAGGTGACCTTTTCAGGGTAAAAATTCGTTAAAAATGGGCAATTATACCATTCTTTAGATGTTCGAAAATCCTAGGAGAGGTAGGCAAGCAAGAAATTTTACAACAAATGTTCCGAAAAAATTCTAGATGTCAAATGGTCTTCCGAACAGATATTTTCCAAAATTGACGTTGGGTGTCCCCTGTGATATGAAAACTCGTTAACTGGGGGTCTTCTCCACAGAAAGCTGAGACACGCGGACTAAGATACCCGGCCTCATGCTGGGAAAAAGGAATCAATGACGGGGCCTCATCCTTAGACTGAGGTTACCCGAGTCTGCTGGAGAAACTGTGAGGGAAAAAAAGTTGAAAAATGGAAGTTGAAGTCTAACACTGAGCGAGCCTTAAATTTTACAACGACGCTCCGTTTCACAAATCAAGCTACAACCAGTTGCAAAAATGTTGAGACACTCTAACGAAAAAACAACCTGTCTTGCTTCAAATCGCTGCTAGTCACAGGTCTGTGGGATAAAATAGTGACCCCCCCTCTTCCCCCTCATTCAAAGTTGTTCCTCCAAGTTTTGAGCATGGTCTCTTATTGCTAGCAACTTTGAAAAGGGGTGGAGGGGGGGTCACGAGCACAAGATCATGGACAAGCCAAAATACGATACAGTGTGTGTCAAGTACTTTTGCAACTGGTTGTAGCTTGAAACCACCCTAGACTGCCCTATAACTAGTGCTTAATGTTGTTTCTATATTTGCATGTTTCATTTTTTTCCCGCAGATTATCCAAGGAGAAGAATTAGAAAGCCACCAGAAAAATGTAATGAGACACGCGACCATTCACGCGATTTCTAGGCGCGCAATGCATTTTCGTGGCCGTCTTCGTAACCTGGCCTCGGCTTGAGTACTATTTACAAACTCGACGCGCAAGAGTGAGTTATCGTCGGAGGAATTGATTGAAATCAGCAGCGTTTACGAGTTCATTAACGGAAGGACCTTTTTCTGCAGCGTTTTGTCTTAAACCTAACACGACAATGATAAAGAACGGTGCATCATAATCTCGTAATATCGCGAAAACATCTCCATGTTTTAACCGGTCACCTAGCCACGATGTCTACTCTATCAGGTAAGTACGCCTTATTTTTCTTGGTTTAGTACCCCAAATGCGGTGTAAAACGATAAGCTACTCACTAACAAACCGATACATATTTTGTGACAGTTATTTGAGTCATAGAAAGACATTTAACGTGTGGATAAACAGTCCTTTGACAGAGTTCAATTCACGTAAGCGACCAGCTTCGTGTTTCGATATCGACGATCCGCTTTATATCCTTCAGTGTTTGAGGCCCGCAATGTTTCGGTGAGAATGTTATATTCCCTACCAATCAAAGCATATTTTCTTCGTTTTTTATCTTAAAAATGGAAAACGAGCCCATTCTAACGTCTAGGCGAGCGTCCACAACAATTTCTCAGTTTCTCACATGTGACTCATACATTCCGGAAATTCCAATTGTCTGAAATCCTTCTTTTCCCGAGCAGTTCGAGAGTTTTGTCTTGTACATGTATATGCGTAAATAAAATAGCTAAATTGTTTTGTCCTGATGGCATTGTATAAAAAACAAGGTAAATAAATTTTATTTAACATTAAATTATTTAATAAAATTTAATGTTAATGACAGTAATTAAGACTTTAAAAAGTCTCAATTAATGTTATTATTGTACTCTAGCAGTGAGCTACAGTAAAACCAACAGTGATATCTGATGTTTCCTCTAATGCATCAAAAACAGAAAATGCTGAAGTTGGTCCAGTCATTAAAATCCCTAAAGAATCTAGGAGGGTATAACATGCCTCAGAAAACACAACTGCAAGTGCTTCAGAGAACAGCACTTCAAAGGTTTTTGAGGGAATCAAAATTTTCTTCCATAATAAAAAAAAAACAACAACAACAGTAGCAACAACAAACAAACATCTATGTTGATCATTCCAACATGTCAACTCCTACATTATTGTTCTCCTTATAAGTGAATTATATATTTATAATTTGTTTATTTATGTTAGACACATCTCGTGCTGTGGAAATCTTAGATGGCTTTCAACAGAAGCTCAAGTCCCAAGGAGACACTGACAATGACGAAGAACTTGAGCAGATCAAACAGATGTTGGAGAGTCCACTATTTAGGCAACTACTAGTGATACAGCAGTCTATTAAACGACTTAATAAACAACTCCAGCATTCACCACCTGGTGCAGTAAAAGATTTTGAGTTTTCGCCTACAGGAGAGCTTGTTTTTCCTCACCAGTCTAGCTCAGATGCAGAGGGAGAGGTAAGGAATGAGCCAGCATCAACTACTGGGGTGTTTGATCAAGAACCCGAGCAGGTTGAAGTGCAACCGAGGAGTGAGCAACAAGACTTGCAAGAGCCCCAGGAAACTTCATATGCTTATGCTGCAGCTCCAGATCTTCCTGTAGATGAATTGGATTTTGAGTTGCCAGAAGATAACAGAGAGCAAATTAATGACGAGCTTAAGAAATCCAAATTTGGTCAGAATGAAGACTTTCAGAAGGGCATTGAAACTCTTGCACAGGGTCGTGAGATTGAGACTGTGAAGTTAATGAAGCCAGATCAGGGAGGTCTGGGTTTTAGTGTTGTTGGATTGAAAAGCGAGAACCGTGGGGAGTTAGGAATATTTATTCAGGAGATTCAACCTGAAGGTGTTGCTGGAAGGTAAAAGGATAGCAAATAAAATTATTATATAATATTACCATTATTTGGCCATTTCATATTGTAACGTTACATTTCTAATAGTAAGATTGGAAATTCAATGTATGTTGTAGTTAAATTTTTCTTGGATGGATTGTCATAAGTTTTGCTGTTTCCTTGTTCTCGTATAGATACCTTTTAACAGAATATCATTAGTGTACTTTTTTCCCATAGAAAGTCACATTAATAATTTTAGCCCTGGCTCCAAGACCCTTGTCATGATACAGTATAATTTTTTCTATATGCAATGTCTTGAACCCATCACTATAATGTACAATGTATGTGTTGTGGCTCAATTTTTTCCTTGGTTCAAATTTTATTTTCCTTTGTTTCAAACTCATTATGATACATTACCATATCCAAAAACAAAGGGAAATAAAATTTGAACCAAGGATAAAATTGAACAACAACATATGTCCCAAATCTGAATGGCAAAATTTCACACATTATTATTGAGGAGGAAACAACCCTGTCTTTACTTTAAATACTGTCTGTTGTCTTTGTGCTCTTCTTCATCATTCTCCCTATTTTCATCCTTCTTTGTGTTGTTGGTCTCCATGATCTGTACAGTCATGTATGTCACTGTTTCAACAGTTTCAAGGCTGCGACTTGTCAGAATTTTACACTAGGAGGTCCTTCATGTTATTTACACTCTAATGTCTGTCCTTTTTTGTGCTTTAAAGGCATGGTCGCTTACAGGAAAGTGATCAGATCCTTGCAATTGATGGCAAACAGCTTGATAGTGGAGTATCACATCAACAAGCTATTGGCGTTCTACAGCAAACGAGCGGTGAAGTTGAACTTATTGTTGCCAGGGGAGGAATACCTCGCTCACGAAATCTGTCTCGTACAACTTCTGGTGCAAGTTCTATGCTATCCAGGACTCCGTCAGATGTTAGTTCAGTGTCACATACGTCTATCACAGTGCCAGTAAGTACATGTTGTCCTTCTGTCCAATCTGCAGCATGAAAATGCGTGTTAACACTTTAAGCCCCAATATCGACATACAAATTCTCCAAACCGATCTCCATACATCTCCTTTAAGAATTAGTTCAGAGAGTTAATAAAAGATCAAGGCATTTCCTCTTTGGTGATCATTTTATTAATTCTCATAACTTTATCTTCTTGACAATGTATGGATATTGTTAGGAGAAAATAATGTTGGTCACCACTGGGACTAAATTGGTTAATCCACTATAACTGCCCCGATGTGTTCTTTGTAAATTTAAACTACACTGACTAGCACAAGGATTGAAGGAGTATGAATGATGATGATAAATATTATAATCATACATTTATCGTTGCATTGACATTATTTGCTGTCTTTGTCAAAAGGAAGCAGTGTGGCCAAGCAGTTAGAGCGCTGGATTTGTAATTCAGATTAATTTTTTTTGTGGTAGTCCCAAGTTTAACTCCTTGACTACACTTGCAAATAGGCAGCTAGCTAGTTTCCCAGTTGGCGCGCAGAGATGCGAAATTTCTCTTCGAGTGTTGAAAAATATTTCATGAGTGAGCGCAGCGAACAAGTGAAATAATTATTTTTTCAACACTCGAAGAGAAATTTCGTATCTCCAAGCGGCCACGTAATGTCCTCTTTATTATATAAACACCAATGAACTACCAAACCATTTCACTTTAATAGTTTTTTGGTGTGAAAGGTGCAATTTATTATGTAGCCATAACAACGTTGACATTTTCACATGTGAAGATATCAAGTTTTCGCTCGAAAGCTCACCTGGTATTTCTTTGGTGTTTATATAACAAATGTACATACGTATATCCTGTACTGTAAACACACTCATTAATCATTTATAAATACATTTAAGTTGCTGTTTTTACGTTTTGTTTATTTCTTAATTTTGTATTGCTTAAACTACATGTACAGGCTGGTGATGGTGAGAATTTACGGCATATTGAGACTGTGGAGCTACACAATGATGGTTCAGGTCTGGGATTTGGTATTGTTGGTGGTCGAAGTACTGGAGTGATTGTTAAAACCATTCTTCCAGGAGGTGTGGCTGATAGGGTGAGTGAGTGACTGTATCAGAAGAATGAGATGCTGAAACAAGAAATTTTCTTGACATTTACAAATTAATGTCACAGTTCCTTTTGCTAGGCTTTAAATTTAAGTCTAATAAAAACGTGACAACAAAATATATAGCATAAAGGTGGGAGCACCGCTCTGCGATCCGCATGTTCGATGACTTCCATAGTTTGACCGTAAAGCCTTACTTATCTCCTCAGAGCTTAGAGCTATTTTACATATCTAAGCCGGATCAGTGTGGCAAAGTGGTGCTATCCAAGTGGAGATTGCAGTTTAGAGTTGTTGGCGGAAGTCAGACTGGGTTTTACCTCAGTTTTGATTGACCCTTCATTTTAATATGTTTGTCAGTTTCTATGAACTATGTGAATTTTAGCTCTCACTCAAAATATTGGTTAGTTAACCCGTGTTGCCTCTCTGATTGAACTGTAGGATGGACGGCTACGAAGTGGTGACCACATTCTTCAAATTGGAGAAGTCAATGTTGGCGGAATGGGTAGTGAACAGGTGGCGCAAGTCTTACGTAAAGTTGGACAGCATGTCAAACTGGTTATTGCACGACTGGTCATCGGAGAAGAGCCCATGGTAGACGTTGTTACCGGAGAAGAGGTACAGTTGCCAGCCAAAAACTATCAAAAACACATTACATGGAGATACATGTAATAGCTACTTTTTAATCGGTTTTGATTTGTGCAGTTTAAAGGAAAATGGCCTCGAGATTACTTACAAAAGCTTTTAAAAAAGGGAAAAATAATTTTGAGAATGCATGTCAATTAGAACCAACCCCTCCCCCCCCCAAAGAAAGGCAAACAAACAAACGAAACTGAAGAAGACATCAGTCTGGAATTTTTCTTGTGTCTTGTTTTAGGAGGATAGAGATGTATCAACATTTGATGTTGAACTTGTGAAGGATAGCAGAGGACTGGGAATTACCATTGCTGGTTATGTTGAGCAGACATCACCAGGTTCGTTTGTAAATGTTTTTCTGGCTTGTATTTGTTCATGCTCATTTTACGTGTACACTTTATGTATCTCTTGGACACTCGCAGACTTTTGTAGGGGCTGTGTCTCGAAAATTTTATCAAAATTCAAATGATTGTACATGTACACTGTAGCTGCCTCCAAACAGGGCGAAAAATACTGAAACTAACCCCTCAAAACATTAACCGTTTAAGTCCCAATAGTGACCAACATTAGTATTTTCTCCTAACAATATCCATACATTGTCAAGAGATTAGGTTATGAGAATTAATAAAATGATCACCTAAGAGAAAATGCTTTGATCTTTCATCAAATTCCCTCAACTCATTCTTTAAGGAAATATATAGAGATCAGTTTGGAGAATTTGTATGTGGATATTGGGACTTAAAGGGTTAAAAGGAGGTAAAAATAACACAGTAAAAGAAGGGGCAAATGGGTTAACTTAATGGAGAAGACAGATAATGACAATGCAAACTCAGATCAGATCCGATGCTTGAAGTGTTAACCACGTGGTCAGTATGTCTCTGCTTTTGTTTAGTCTTTGAAGAGTTGTCAATTAAGGCTGCAGTTTTGCAAATGTTTCTGCCACATGTGAGACAATGGTCATCAGAATGAGCTGGCCTAAGATCAAAGGTACAAATGTTGGCAGGGATAATGTTTACAACACTGTGAACTTCTGGATTCATTGTTGTGAATAGATAAGTGTACTGAGTTTATGCTATTAGGAAAATTGTTGGCTACACATACATTGTACAACATTGCATTTTACAAAATGGGTATGAAGAATAATTATTATTAGTTTATCTTCTTTGGCAGTTAAAAGAATCATTTCAGGTCAAAGAAAAATAAAGTTATTTTTTTGTGCACCTTTTTATAGAGGAATTATCTGGGATCTTTGTGAAGAGTATAGCTGAAGGAAGTGCGGCTGCTGTTGATGGAAAGTTAAGGATTAATGACCAGATAATTGAGGTACAGGGCTACAAGTAACAATGCTTGATGCAGTGTAGCTGTCAGTCTAGTTTCATTGTGTTAAAATGTCCTCTTAGGCTATATACACACTACTGTATACCGGTTATCTTTTTGTGCCCTGATGCAAAAATCTATGCCGTATAGTATGAACACCTATCCAACATGTGAATTTCACTTTAGAGATCGGCACAGCGCAGCTCCTCGCTCTGTTACAGAAATGGCGCTGAAATCAGTGTTCTTACATGTGAACAGCAGCCCTTTCTCATAAATTATGGTTTTCATGCCAGCGCAAAAGTTATCCGGTTCAGAGTGAACATAACCTTGGATGCCAGAAAATAATTATGAATGTACCTGTATAAAAACATGTATTAAACTACATTTTTGCAAACAAGTTAGGCCATTTTGAATCATGAGAATATTATTACTGATATATTTTTTATCTATCGAGTCTATAAAACATCAAAAACTAACACCCATAGCTAATTAGGAGGCTAAGCTGAAAGGGATGAGTGTACCATCTGCAATGATAACAGCCATTTTACAAGGCTATGCATGTACGTTTGTAGCTTTGTGGCCCAGCAGCTATCCCTAAGGCTGATAATACAACCTGTAACATTGATATTATTATAAATAAAGGCCAAGCACAGATGCAGACAGCCCAGATTTTCTGGTTTTTACAGGTTGACGACATTAATCTGCACGGAAAAGACAATCAACAAGCAGTTGAAATTCTCAAACAAACTGGCCCTGTTGTGAGGCTGAAGGTGGCACGACATGTCAATCGCAAATACAGCAGATCATATACAGCCGGATCAGTTAGTTCACAGGCCAGTTCAGGAGTATTGGAAGCTTTGCCTGCAACAGTGCAAGCAAAGTCTGCAGCTAGAAAACCAAGGAAAGGTAGGTTAATACATTTGTACCAATACTGTATTACAAGTACTGATACAAGTATTAGTGTCTAGCTAGTATAGTAGGAGGAAATAATACATGTCAAAGAATCAGAGGCACCCAACGATGGAATGTGTTTGGATATGTCAGAAGTGTCTCAGATGGTTTTCTATCTGTTTTAGACGCCTGTTTGGTTAATTTGGAGCTACCCTAAAAGCTATTATTTATCTGTTCGCATGTCTTAAGGGGATGTTTATCTCTCCCAAGAGTTTTAGGTAGCTTTTTTTGTCTCTTCCGAAACTGTGACTTGTACATGTAGCTACTCTGGTATTTAACTTCGAAAGTTTTAGGACACAGAGTAGCCATACTTTAAAATTAAAATTCTAGGGGAGCTATTGCCTTTATAACGAAATTTTCGGGAGACCTTTTTTTGAATAAATAATTGCAACATTGTGGTAGTAGAATGTGAAAAACTTAACCTCCATCAGTTGTAGGTAAGGTAGTAGAAAATGTCTGAATGTCTTAGACTAAATGATGGAACTGTCATACTCAAATTTTTAGCTTTTCTCAATCTTTAGAAATTTCTAGGCAATATTTGATTAACCTTGAACAGACATCAGAAAAAAAGTCGTTGGATGCCCCTAAAGAATTTTGTGTAGTAAAATATTTTAACTCATTCATATAATTAAGACTTGAATGAATATTCATCTTATTTGATGACTTGGTAGAGCTGGTTACGGTTTGTACCTTTTGCCTAACAAGATTTTAAGTTACATATAAAATTTAATTTTAACTGACATGTGTGCCATCTCCAGCTTAAAGTTTGACCCTTGGAGGCAAGAGCTTGAAAATTGAAATTGTTAATACATGATAATTACTTTCGAATTTTTCTTTCAGAACCAGAAGCTGTTAAAGAGCACTACAGCAATCTTCTTGGAGATAGTGTGGACATTCTAGTGAGTTTGACCTGATATGTGTTGTATTGTAGCCTTGGGGGCTACAGTTGTAGTTGTATTTGGGTATACATGTAGGATGTTCAGTATCTGATCTGCATTTTTAATATTTTGCCCATTCACCCATGAACTCATGCCCATAAACACACGTGCGGATTGATGTCCATTGTACCACTTCATGTTATCAGTTTAACGGTCAAGGACAACTTTTGCAGGAGGAAGAGGTCTTTCAAACCATGCAAGAGTGAGCATGATTCAGTCAAGGATCATCACAGAGGAAAACACACACACACCCAAAAACCATCCACATGTTGAGTTGACCCAAAAATTCAAGTGAAAGTCTTGTTACACGTCTCAACTTTAAGGAAAAGTTGGCCAAGGAAAGCAAAAGATCGAAAAAGAAGGACTGGAAGCGAAATGTATAAGTCGAGACTGCTGTGTGTAACTTTTAAATCCAAAAACTGGCAATTTTGCTTTCTACTCTTCTAGAACTTCAGATTTTATGTACTAGTGGCATTTTGGGCAAATTTGGTTCTTTACATCCATAACGTGACCAGAAAACAGCTCAACTATGTGTAGCTTCAGAAGGCTTTTTTGGGCAAAATTCTTGGGAGTGAATGGGTCAACTTTTTGCATGATGTTCCTGGATAAAACATGCCGCTTAAAATAATACTGTTTTTTATCAATAGGTTGCAGACATATCCAAATTCCAGGCTGGTGGCGGACTGGGTATCAGTTTGGAGGGCACACAAAATCCACTAGGTATTACAAAATGCAAAATATTAGTAAAGGTCCAGTAAGCATTTCTTTGATGTGAATAACTTTATTGCAATATACTGTACACTTTACTGTTGACTGGTGAAAGATCTATTGTGGTCTTATGGCCATTGATGTTGTTTCTGTCAGATGGTTCACTGCCATGGCACAGAGTACATGCTGTGAATCCTGAGGGACCAGTGGGTAAGAATGGAGTTGTGCAACCTGGCGATCATCTGGTGGAGGTAAGTGGAGTCATCCCTCTTGGGTGGGGTTTGTACTTATGACCCTTGTCTGAATTTCAAATTCAGTTGTTTCATGTTTTAAGGAGTAGGCCCATTTTTATGTCATTTGTTGCCATTTCACCTTGTCGTATATCGCTGCTTCAAGGACATGTTGCTTGTCGGAATTTTATCCTAACATGGCCTTATGTTACTGTCTTTATTAAAGCCAAATTCCATTTCAATTTGATAATGGTATCTAGCTAGTGATGATCAACATCCTACATTAGTGATCACCCATGGGGAATATCCAACTGACCACGTAATACAGGTTTTTGTCAAGAAAATGAAGAATGTGACATAGCGAAATATCCATTACACAACAAGTTGACCGTAAAGTGGTTCTATCTCTTCATGTGAGGAGAGAAAGGGAGCGAAAGATCGATGAATTCAATGCTTGTGTATCTGTTACAGATCAAAATTATCTTCAGGTTAAAATTTTTACCCTAGGTTGATTCTCAATTTCAATCCTTTGTTTCCTACTCCTAATTCATGAATAATTAGGGCTAAGGGACGAATGAAATATAGACTCAACCTAGGTTAAAAAATGTTAACGTGAATTTAATTTTGACCTATAACATAATTATCTATTGCACTTGTATGGTACGTCTTGACAAAGTAACTGTTAAATAGAGGTGAAGACAATAAAAAACAGCTTGTAGGGGCCACGGAAAAGGTGATGTGACTGATTAATAGAGTTGTCTGCCTAATGCAGGTCAGAGTTACAGTAATTTAGGGAAATGCTTTTTCAGGACTTCAGAAAGTGACTGCTTAATGCAGGTCCTTTTAATAAAGGTTTGACCTTACCTCCAGCACTTTCCTACCAAACGGCTGACACTGTCTTTATAAGTCTCCCCCAGTGCTGTACCCCTAACAGTACTAATCTTTATTATTTTGTCAGGTGAATGGTGAAACTGTACTGGAGATGAGTCATTCAGATGTTGTGTCACTTATTCAAGGTTTGCCACTGGACTTCCGATTGGTGGTTGCTAGGAAACGAGAATTGGTCGACCAGGAACTACCAATAGCTACAGAAGCTGAAGGAGAGTTGGAGAGTCAACCAACACAATCTGCGAAACAAGGTAAGGTGGCATTCCATTCACCTTGAATAAATAAACAAGGTATTTTGTAATTTCCCTTACTTTTACTGATCTACCTATTAACATGAATTAGTAGAAGAGAGTCTAGACCTGGGAATTACCACGCCCAGCCCAATGCTGTCTCAGCTGCCTGATAGCCCCAGCCCTACCGGCTTCAATGCCTCTTCCATGTCACAATCCATGTGGTCTGAAGACACAGAGTATGTCGAGCTAGAAAAGGAAGACAGGGGACTGGGATTTAGCATTTTAGATTATAAGGTGAGACATTTCAGGAGCAAATCTTTGGTTACAATCATTTGTTATTAAAATAATCCACAGGTAGAAACAGGCTGGAGTTGACCTTTTTTGATACTACCCTTCCTGCTTTATTATATAAATCATGTTCCTATGCTAACTGGTATTAATTTAGCATAAATTTCGTTAAAAAAGGCAAGAGGTTTGTATCAAAACAAGGTCAACCTCAGCCTCACGTTCACTCAGAGGCTAGGGGACTAAGCTCATAACTGTAAAATGGTCCATCGTAGCATATGCGACCCATTCCTAAACGAGTTTGGCATGTTTTGTCCGCTTAGCGCCGGAGTACTTTGCACGTTGGCTGGTCTTTCAGCATAACTGGTCGCGCTAAGTTTTCATAACCGCTACAAGACAGTGTTCACGCAGGCTAACCAGTTGTAAGTACTCTTGAAAATCTGTTACTTGTGTATCCTGTTTGTCCAATGCTACTGGTACTTTGACCTTCTTCTGCAAGTCTGCAGTCTCCCGTAAGTTCACGATTTTGAGCGGAATTATTACTTTTTCTTTTCCTTATTATAAGGGTTTTGTTATAAGGCCTTAAATTATAAGCCCTCAGTTAAAACGTCTTTGCTTTTATAGGATCCAGTTTCTCCAGAGAAGACCGTGATCGTGATTAAGAGCCTGGTACCCGGTGGAGTGGCAGAACAAGATGGCCGCTTGCACCCAGGAGACCGTCTGATGTCAGTGAATGAGACAGATTTGGAGAACTCCTCACTCGCTTATGCCGTGCAGACTCTTAAAGGAACGCCAAAGGGTGAGATGAAAAAAAAAAAAAAAAAACCTGATGAGAATTTGTTTGAATAGTAATACTTCAGGTGACTCAAGTGCTCAGTGAGATTCGAAATCTAGCACTCGAGTCAAATTGAACTTTAATGAAGTACATTTGCGATTTTCCTTTATTCTCGAAGTCCTACGATGGATATGACTTGAGGGAAGGGAAGTATTCGAAGTATTTGAAAACGTTCTTTTAAACTTCAGGTAAAGTAAGAATTGGAGTTGCCAGGCCAGCAGTTGGAGACTATGAAGACGAAGAAGGAACTGGAGAGAGTCCTCCAGACTCTGCAAGGGACAATGCTGAAGTAACGCTGGAAAATGATGTGCAAGGAAAGCAAAGAGAAAGTGAGTTTTCTTTTCAATCGCGTACTGTTAACTCTGGCCAATCAGGTACGAGCCGAAAATCAAATGAGCCAATCACATACCGAGCCTATGTATGTGGCGGGAATTTGTGACGGGTGCCAGGCGCGGGAAAATGCTTGAGCAAGTTTTGATTGGTTGAGGAAATATTCACGAAATCTCTCAACCAATCGCGAAGCTTAGCGGTGCAATGAATCGAGTCTCATAAAATGAAAATCACGGAAACTCCTCTGCCAAATTAAAACCGTTGTAGTTCAACATCTATAAACCAGTCAAAGGTAGCTCTTGCTTAGCGCGGGAAAAGGTAAGCGAGCGAGCCTCGTTGGTGTGGTTTTGCTTTAATTTGATAGGTTAGAACAGTGGCGCGGAAGCCTTTAATAATGCTTTTAAAAAACTATGAATAAACGGTCTTACGTTGTTTAAAGTGGGATTTTCCATATTCGTTCGTACTATGAGTGCAATAGTATATTGTTGGCAGGAACTGCCCACGAGCTTTGTGTTAGACAGCTGCGAAGTACTGAGGCATATCTTTTATAGCGGGTTTGACTAAGTATAATTTTCACCACTTTTTTTTTACTCGTGTTATAGGCAAACAATCAGCCTTGCTTGGCGACATAGAGGTTGAAAAAGTAAGCGACAATGAATCGAGTGACAGTGAAGAAGAAGAAGACAGGTCCGGCAAGTTCGATTTTGGTCCACCATTGTTGTTCTCTGGAGACTCCGTTGACTTGGACAGTTTACCGGAAAACATTAAATCACGTATGGAGACGATAACCATTCGGCGTCAGATGGTTGGAAAACTAGGTCAGTTCATAATTAAAGAACGCATGTGTTGTGAAATTATATTATCAAAATTCACACTCTGGGAGCAGCCACAAATTGAGTGAAACATGCTCAGAGTATGAAAAGCAGGTCAGAATAACACAGCAAGTACAAAAGAATGCCCGAATGGACAAACCTGAAAAAGATTGAAACAGATTGCATGCAACTGTGGTTTTTGAAGACATGTTGGTCTAAGGATGTTGTTACACGAGACGATTCGCAACGACGATTTTTAGCGTAACACAGCGTTTCAACATTGTTATTACATTGTTTCGAATGGCTGCAATGTTGTTCCAACATTTGAACCCTGTGTTGCGCTAAAAATCGTCGTTGCGAATCGTCCCGAGTGACATCACCTTAACAGTTTTTCAAAGTTCATTCTTGCTGTTTGTAGCGTTTGATATTATGCGTGGGAGACAAATTTCTTTGACGAAGTTGTTATTTTGTCCCTTACAAGTAATTTGTCAAGTTTCATGGCGAATAAAGACGCGTTATTGGAGATATGAGGGTCTTTAAGATCCAACGGCGCGACGGCAACGAGAGCGTCGCTTAAAAGATGAATTTGCGTTCTTTCAGTCTTTATCGGGATTATTTCTACCCACTTACTTTGTCAAATGTAGGCGAACCCTCCTGAGGTTGAGTTCCAAGAGACTATATCCAAGTCCAGATTTCGTCGTTACTTGTTTACGTTCTCCATAAAACGCGAAGTTAGGCTATTTCACGTGGTAGTCGTGCAAAAATGTCGAGAAATGTACAAAAAGTGTGATGCACGTGCTAAGTTGTTGTTTTGCTAATTAAACCTATTGTTTCTTCGACGTTCTCGTTGCGGTCGCGTCGTTGGATCTTAAAGTCCCTATTAAAATGAACTAGATAACCATGACATTTCTCCTTTAAACGAGGCATGTGTTGCATGTTAAACAGTTACAATAAACAACCACGACAACTATAAGGACCTGTTTACTTGGAGGTGAGGTGACCCGCCTCATGTCACCTCGCCTACCTGGCAATCTGCACATGCGATAAACTAATAAATTAAATATTTGTATGGCAATGTATATTTAACGTTTTCGGGAGAAAATTTATTAAAATTGCTTTTTGGTATGATTCAGTTGATTGGTTCGGGGCGTCCTAAGTTCGATGTCTGACCCAACAGACGATCTTATCTTAATTTAGGACGACCCAAATTAGAGTTTTGTTCGTCTGGTGAAAAGTTCGACGTCTGTCCTAGGCCTAAGGAAATTGAAATAGGCTCAATAACCCAAATGAAGATTGAAAACAAGGTATATCACCTCTTCTTAGTGACATTATTGTTTGCTGCTTAAGGTTGCTCTACCCTTAAGCAAAATACATAGGCAGAAGTGAAAAATGTTTTGCACGTTTGTAAGCGTTGATATACGAAGACGCAGGACGGAGGGAAAAGGAAAGTTTCGTGAGGAGGGTGATATCAGATGGTCACGATATGCTCCCTTTTTCCCGATTTACACATGCGACACAACGACATAAAGCACTAGCAGACGCGAGTGGAAAAGTTATCTTTCGCTTGCCTATTCTTATGCTTGTGCTCCAACTGTTCACTCGTAGTTCTCTTATGCTTGCCTTTATGCGCTTTCAAATTCTAAATACGGGCGTGGTCGAAACGGGAGAAATGCGTCGTGTGAAATATATCGTGTTTTTCTCTGCGTTATATAACTCTAAACATGTTTTCAGTAAGCTCAATTTCGTGGTGCACTTCATCCAGGTTTGACGCTAAAGGGTGATGAAGACGGCTGTGGATGTGTTGTCAAGTCCGTCCTGAACGGAGGCGCTGTTGGACTGGACGGCCGGATAGGGGTCGGGGATCACATCTGTGCTGTCAATGATGAAAGTATGATCGGCCTGTCAAGTCACAGAGCTAGGTATTGGCATTTATTGCCATTAAAGTTGTTTATGCAAGCTTTTTCCAATATCAAAACACCGACTAGTGGGTAGAGAACAGAGCCACTGAATTTGGTAATTGAATTATACATGAGGGTAGGAGCCTGGTGAGTGCCAAAGGCTCCCTTCCCCCCTCCTTTTACTCTTGTGTATGTTCAGTGGTTTTTCCAAAACAAAACCGCTTGAGGTCATACAAATTGCTTGTACTTTTCAGGTCAGTGCTTCGGAAACAGTCTTTACTGAAGGATATAGTGTGAGTATATTAGCAATTAAAGTCATTAACTCTTTTTAAGCGTGGAAAAACTCTTGTGAGCAACATGGCGACGGGTTTCGTTCAATTTTCTGACTGGCAGAGACTCGTAAAATCAACAGAGATTCAATTAGCTAAACAGTAGATACAAGGACATAAAGAACCAATTCGTGCGTTGACGGAGTGAGTCGAAGATAAAATCCTTTCAGCTGTAATTAAACCTTTGTCAACCTACTGTCATTTTCTAGACGTTACCTATGCCTACATTTACATGTCTCCGTAACTGGCTCTACGATATTGGCCATTGAGAGGTTGAGAGTAGGACTGGGGCTGCGTTGCTTTATGGGAGTACTTTGGGGACGCCATCTCTTCTTTTATTGGCTATTACGAAAATGCGCAGAAAACCTACCAGTGTCCCCTCAAAACAGCCCCATAAAGAAAACTAACGCTACAATGACCGAGCCTCAAGCACGATCTCAAAATGGTCGATAATGAAATCCTCAACTCGCTTCATTTTTTTGTAGGTTTACGTTCATTCGTAGCGACATGACGCCTGCACGTGCTATTCAGCAGTCCCCCTCATCTTTCCTAGAAGACAGCTCGACTTCTTCGATGGATTCTTCGCCGCTGGAGGCTGAACTTGAACGAGAGCGGAGAAGGTACTGGGAGGAGAGGGAATTATGCTACATTGGGTTTATGTAGTTACAGTCAATGTAGGGGGTTATTAAAGCGTCAGTAAATGTAATAATTGTTTTATTTCTTTAAGAATATAATAATGAAAAGAATGAACTCACCTACGCCTCTTCAGTTTCAAATCTTGTCGTCGTGTTATGCATTTTTCAGTTTTTTTAGTTGCGATGGGTGACCATGAACGATTTTTGGAGCCTGATTTATTCGGAAGTTGAAATTTTGGTCAGCATCTTACCTATATATTGGGAGAGAATTACCAACTTCCTGTAAATATATGACAACTACAACTCGCAAGCCTCTAGTCTAGTTTCCTATGCAATCGTTTAATCTCGCCACGCATCGCTTTTCGTTGAGAGCGTTGTGTGACGAGACAAAAACGGCTGCGTAGGAGATTAGCAAGCCTCGTGATGTTCATTTGCTTGCTTTTTCATCACTATTTTAGGGACGAAGCTGAAGAGCACACCATCCCAGACGCAGGAGAAAACCTTCCAGACCTGCTTCAATCGGCCAGACCGCCCATCTATGACGAACCTGGAGTTCGAGTGGTCGAACTCAACCGCGGGCCTGATAGTGGCCTGGGTATCAGCATCGTGGGCGGAAAAGTAGGTCCGGGAGGTCTGGGCCTCAAAGGCATCTTTATCAGACACGTACTAGAGTCCAGTCCGGCTGCGCGCTTAGGAACGTTGGTGACTGGTGACCAGATTTTAGAGGTAAAGCATCTAATAAATTAAGGTCTATAGTTGAGTTTGTCAAGCCTTACCAAATGGAGACTTTCGCTTCGTAACCAAACAGAAACACAAGTGACGAGCAAACTGTATAGGAGCCAACTAAGTGTTCAACAACAACTAATCTCAAAGATATAATGATATGCAGGTGCCATACAAGACAGACCCTTGTAATCTGTGCTACGTCATATATAGTCCGGGGCCATGTGTAATCTCGTGGGCATTTCATGAACATTTTAGTTTCTTGGAAGAAATCTAAAGTTTAAGAGGTGTTTTATCGTAAGAAAGCTGTCTGCAATTTTTTCGAAGTCATGTAAGATTAATTTATGCAAATTACATTCATGACCCCTAAAACACAGGGTACTCAAGTCTGCCTTTGTTATACATAGCCGAAATAACTCACATAATGCAAAACAAACTGTGTAAAGCGCGCTTTTAAGTCTGTTCTATCATATAAAGCCTCTATAATGCCTTTTCCGAAAATTTAGTATTCTTAGCTGATGGGACTAGATTTGAAGGTCCTCATCGTCACTATTATCCCTTTTAACCACAGGCGGCCCAAGCTCATTTCATGAACGCGGACGTGACTCTTGCTTGCGAGCGGTGTTGTGTTACAAACGGTTATTTACAAAGGTTTGTATGGGATGCAAACGGTTTTTCTTAAAAGAGATAAAAAATGTTATGTTTTGAAATAAAATCGACGTACCTTATTGCCTTGTTGTATTCTTTGTTGTTTGCCCGCGTCTCAGGCCGTTTTGAAGCGTTTTCGGCGAGTTAGCGGTTAGCAGTGGGACACCAAAATAGCGCTAACTCGCCGAAAACGCTTCAAAACGGCCTGAGACGCGGGCAAACAACAAAGAATACAACAAGGCAATAAGGTACGTCGATTTTATTTAAAAACATAACATTTTTTATCTCTTTTAAGAAAAACCGTTTGCATCCCATACAAACCTTTGTAAATAACCGTTTGTAACACAACACCGCTCGCAAGCAAGAGTCACGTCCGCGTTCATGAAATGAGCTTGGGCCGCCTGTGTTTTAACATGCTTAACTGTATCAGTGTTAAAGTTCCTGTTCGTACGTGTCAATTTACATGACCCAGACATATCTGTGCATTAGAGTTTGTGCTTCCTGCACGTACAGCTTATTGTGTTGCATGCGAGTTTCATCCACACTGGATCAGCTGCAGGACGGCCAAAGATGCTGGTAGGGAGTGTGGTTGGAACAGGCTGCATCCCCATCTTTTTGCCATCCGTGTAACGTTCGGCTAAGAATGCTAGTATTGGGCTGTCATCTTGTGTAGGGCTGCTATAGCAGGGTGTAGCGGTTTATCTACTTATTGTTTCTTGCTATAAAGAAAGAATCTGACCTCTCCTATGGCTCTCTCAGCTGTGTCGATGGGATGTACAACTGGAAGACGAAGCGCTTTAGCTTTATGTACATATCATCTGGCCAGGATGGTGTAGCTGTTTCCTAGGCTAGAGAAGGCATCGAGTATCGGTAGTTTGGCTTTCTTTAGATTATTCGAAAAACACACTTTGCTTTTTCCACTGATGGTGCCCCCGGGGGGGGCACTTGGGTATTTTTTGGGTGGGTGAGTGCCGCCCGATACTCCAAATTGGCACCCCGTTCTAGAAATGGGCCAATTTTTTATACCCCGTTCTAGAATTCGCCCTAAAACTGATACCCCGTTCTAGAAATGGGCCAATTTTTCATACTCCGTTCTAGGGTGCAACAAGAGTACAACGGTTTGCTTGTTAACGCATTGAACCGTATTTTTAAAAGTAATCTGGCCTTGAATACTTTCAAATGGCTGCTTACAAAAGTGGAGCTTTCGTGCGTTCGAAATATTATACCCCGTTCTACAAAACGCCTCTGAAATGGATACCCCGTTCTAAATCAGGAGCTTCAAAATCACGACCCCTTTGGGCGGCACATACCCGTATAGGTAATGTATGGGAGTACCCCCCCGGGATGGTGCCTGTCTGATCACATCCTGATAAAGCGTGAAAGCCAGGTAAAGCGTTTACGAGGTCTTCTCCGACCACCTCGTGGAGTGCTCCTGGTGGAGTACTTCTTCCTTTTCCTTCTGACTCTGCAGTCAATGTAGTATCCAGACAAAGTCTCTTGTAAGTCCAGAGCATCAGAACGAGGTTCATCTGTATCTTGGCTCTGATCTTCTCTCTTTGTGGCGTCTAGACCATTCAGGAGCATACGGACACAATAGACAACTTCCAAAGCACAAACTCAGCCAAAACTCTAAAAATCTTCAATGTTTACTCAAGTTTGGGCTTATAGAAGGTAATGTCACAGTTTTTCAATGACCATGAAATTCAGAGTCTGGGTAGTTAGTTAATCAATTGTGGCCCTGAAAAAATTTGAAGGAAAAAAAACTACGAATTTTTAAGAAAATGCTCTTTTCGTGAGAAGGACTCTTAAACGCTGACAAACGTCAACAAATAGCCAAAACTATAATTTCTATATGTTTGCTTTGCTCGAAATCGCGCGCATTTACAAGGCCCTAAACTGTTTTGCTGACTTGCAAGGACCCATCTGTTATAAGGATGCCCAAAATACAGAGATGAATCTCATAGTTTATTAGATATAATCCGTGTAAAGTTTGCCTATCATTTTCGCATAAATTATGACCGAAATTTGGAAACCGCTGAATTTCTCGAATTGGGTCTTTGCGATTTTGGTGAAACTCTGTTCAGCGCAAGGCACTAATGCGCACTATGTGTAGCCGAGAGATTTTCACGAAAAAATGCCGGCAACAGCAGATTTTCGACTCAGACCTCAAAGGGGCGTGGCATTATAACCACGTGACATTTACTCCGATCGCCAAAAATTTTATGTTATATTGTAGATTGATCTATATGTTATCCATTCTATGTGTTAGACTTACGATAAAAGTAAAGGTGGGGAAACCAGAGAGCTTCAAAGTAGGATGGTACCCCCCCCCCCCCAAAAAAAAACTGGGTCGAGTCACCTTAAAAGTGCTTATGGTATCCTCCATGTGAAGATCAGGCCTTGAGAGAATCACAACTAAGAAACGTGTGAAGAGAGCTCTGTCATCCTTTAAGGGTGCGATTCCACTAGTTCTTTTGTTTTTCTTTGTTTTCCAAGCAAACTTCCATGACTTGAGATGTGCCTTTTTCTTGGGGCCTCGACGATTTCAATTTTTGCTTGAACAAACTTATGTGCCAAAATACGCCTGACTGATGTCATTTTGCATTAGCACTCCCTTCTTGATGTAACCTAGCATAACTGCTTTTGTGATGATGTTCACCAGGTGACTTTCCATCGCGAAAGGGTCACTCACTTTAAGCACATCTTTAAGCTTCTGTACATTTTCGTTATCGCGCTTTGTTAGCACATCGCTTAAATCATGATGGTGTGATGATGAAGCTCTTTGTAATCCCACCGTGTCATCAGCTTGCGTCGCCAGTCGACTCAGTTCTGGTGCCACAAGGAAAGATCTTGTCATGGCTGCTGGTTGCTGTGTCCTCCCCGGACCTTCATCAACTTGTTGACGTGTTCTATAGCATTTTCCGGACCAATTGCACAGAATGGGCGCTCCTCGTCGGTCATTCAAAAGTTTTCTTGCAGGAAATCAAGGCATATATCGGGATCATCGATCTTAAACCTGTGCATCTGCGCTGGATATGTGTAATGGCACCATTCGTGCAAAACTTAGCCTGCCTTGAGCAAAGAAATACCGTGCCAAAGCCTTGAGGGACTCAAGGTGAAGATTCCAGTCTCCCCCTCTTGTTGCGCGTGTGAACAGCAGGATACACATCACAAACTTCATGTAGTCTTGTGCAAACTTGTTAAAGTAGTAACATGAAGACTCCATGACCTTATCAAATCGCAAAAACCTCTTTTGAAGCCAGTCGGTGTCCATTGCGGTTAAAAAGTCTTTGAGTTGTGTTTCGCCCCTTGCTCACTTTATCAACCTTCCTGGCAGATGATTTTCATCGCAAAGGATGCTATTATTACATTTGCGTAATCGGCTTCGCTCTTCAAAAACGCCTCCACATGCAGATCACTTAGAGCAGAGTCTGTTATGCTGTGAGGTCTGAGTACGCTTCATACGTTCCCCTTCAAGGATCTATCGCATTGTATTTGAGCCATATCCCCGCCGCTATCCATTCTTCGTAAAAGCAACTGCCCTCGATTGATGCCCCAAGAGTGCGTTAAGAAGTCATCGTGCATGATCATGTGCAGCTGCATGTGCATCTCGCCGATTCAGAAGACCAGGTTGTCTAAGTGTGGGACCTTCCTAAACATAGTATACACCCATTTAATTCTATTAGTGAATGTATTGTTTTAATGTGCCAAATTGATAATAATGAATAAATAAAACTCCATAATCTTGCGGTTTTTTCCAGATAAATCGAATACACAGTAGTAGGTCGTCAGGTAAATATGCCTTCGCACACTAAAATCAAATAAGAGAGGAAGAATAACCTGAAAACTAATAAGGTGTTGAGTCTTAAACCACGGGGAGACCATCAAAACGCATGCCTTTTCTAGCTGGACTCAGACAGGATTATACCATATATTTTCTGGTGTTTAAAAATCGGCAGAGAACAGAAAGAGAACTTTAAAAAGCTGGAGAATTGGACTCGTAAATTCAAAGGGGATTCATCAAAAGATGTAGTAAATAACTGGAGAAAAGAAAAGATGTTTCTGAAATGAAAACCCGTGTATCTTGCTTTAAATATTTGGTCCATTCGTTCATTCCTTGAAACAGTCAAAATGTGATGTAAACTGCTGTTGTAAATGCATTTATTATATTTGATTCCTGAAGTGGCGAATCAAACTGAAGGCATTTTGTTGTCATTCATCAGCTATATAATGACGTCATATCTAATTTGCATAAGACAGGCCTAAATGGCTCTGAAAAAATTGCAGACAACTTTTTTTCGATTCAGCACCATTTAAACTGTAAGTTTCTGCAAAGAAACTTCAATGTTCATAAAATGCCCACGAGAACGATTTTTCGGACACATGGCCCTGGACTAATAGGTCATATAACCTGAGGGCCAAAAAAACTAGAGGCGCATGCCATCGACCGGGAAAAAAATGGAAAATGGAAATTCCGCTTGGAATCAAATGGTTCACCCGATACCATTCAGAGGAAAATTTCAGTCTTTAAAGGCGATGTTATTGCTACGGTGCCAGATCCAGGTCTTGGGATGGGGTTGGGGGGGGGGGGGGGGGGGCGGTGATCCGCCACTGTGCTAAGCTCTTTTCAGTCTAATAAGACTCCAGATCAGACTCCAGCTGATTTTGATAAACTTTGTGGCCGGTCCTCCTCTCAGATTGATTGTCCAATAATTATGCATGAGTTTTTAAAACGAGTGCTTTATTAAAGCACCCTGTTTGTCAGTACCCTCTCATTAAAGACAACCAAGTTTGGTTTAATATTCTGCAACAGTTTTGTGGAATCAACTACCCGATACTATGATAATGAGAGTAAGTAAGTATGGCTGCTAGAAAGGAGATACCATAAAGTTTCGAAAGTAACGACCCTTGTTACTTGTAGCATTTGCTAACACCTGTGAAATTCTATCGCTACTTTCGAAGGGTCGCTACTTTCGGGAGGTCGTTACTTTCGGACCTTTACGGTAGAGCGAGGATAGCATCTACTCTATCCTTCGTTATAACTTCACTTTTCATTTTTTCTTAGGTTGATGGTCACGATCTCCGTGACGCATCCCATGACGAGGCTGTGGAGATAATCAAACGCGCCAAGAATCCTGTGCGTTTTGTGGTGAGAACCGTGTCTTCCAGCACAGGCGGCCCACCCGTGATGCCAGCCACACCGGAAGTAACACTTAACAATCAGGTGGGTTCCTTTGATTTTAATAGTCTCTCTGAGCTGCGAGCGAGCGACTATGCCACCATTAGCCTGCGAGCAAACTCTCCAATGAATTACATGTACGGCGATCGAAGCGATTCGTGATGGAAGGCGCGAGCGAGTGCGTGCTTCTTTAAAAAGCGCATGTCGTGCAGTAATGCCAATTTGTCATCGGCTATCTCCCTTGCTTCGAGAGGTACTTTCGACGGTTTTTCACTCAAACAAAACACTTCTGAATTTTAATTCCATCTAGAACGCACACACGCGTGTTCATACGTGTTTCGTGGGTAAACAAATGAAGCCTCTCAGCCCCGTTATTCACATAAACATTCTCCAGACTTATATCCATACATTTCCTTAGAGAGTTAGTCAAGAGAATTTGTGAAAGATCAAAGCAATTTCCCTTAAGTGATCATTTTCCTAATTCTCATAACTTTTTCTCTTGATTAATGTACTTATGTATCAAACTGCGTTCTTGAAATCATTAAATCAGAAAATTTCCCAAGCCGTGCTCTTTGTTTAGCTCGTCTGAAAGATCTGTAAAAAGGATCCTTTATTTTTCCAAAATCATGAATAATTGATCCATATTATTATTTTATTGGACTCCTTTATACAGTCGACCAATGGAATGAAACAATAAACAAAAGTGAATGATTAAATGCGGGGTGGTTGTGATTCAATGATCTGTTAATGTTTGTCTTGAGGTTTACTTGAAAGAAAAACAAAACCAAAAAAACTCAAATCACGACAGATTCAACCCCGAGAGGCGTCCGTCTGTTCGATTTTAAGAAAATAGCCGTGACAGTTGGGTATTTTGAAAACAAATAATGCCTATTTAGAGGCAGGTTGAGGCAGATAACAAACAAACATCACTACAGCTGTAAGGGATTTTACAAGTTTTTCCCCATTCAATATGCCGCTACGTTTCGGAAGATCAAAAGGTTTAAATTTGGAAAGAGATCGAAGTTATGTTTGTAAGGTAACAGCTTCGCAACGCGCTATTCTCGTTACAACAAATACCCAGACACTGTTCATAAAACTATAAATAAGTGTATCGCTTATGGATTAATGACATGATAAGTTTAAAACTTGTAGAGCATTACTCATTGTTCGTTTCAGAAGGTAATTAATTACATTTCCATCTAAAAATGCAAGGCAATCTTATTTCCTGCTTTGTTGTTCTGCCTGCAATTGTAAGTCAATATTCAAACCTCTCACTTCTGATTATTATCCTTTTTTTGTATTTTAATTCGTTTATAATATTTTATAGTCCTATCTCTGATCATTGTTCGCCTCACGTAAAGTGAGTCTTGTAATCTGGATTCCACGTCGTGGATTTCGGTTTCCAGGTAGTAGATTTGTCAATGGAACTTGGATTCGTCAGGGGGAATCTGGATTCCACTAGCAAACATTTCCCAGATTCTTGAATTCGGACTCCCTTAAACGGGGCATTCCAGTATATTTTTGCTGCATTTGAGTGATAAATTATCAGTATTGTACAACATAGACATAGGCTAGCAACGATCTGTTTTGTCTGTGTTGTTATCCCATAATAGGGACCTTAAGCAAAGGTATTTTTGGGCGACGCACGTTAATCGAAAATGAGGTTTTTTCCCTTTAGTATTTTTGTTCCTATAGAAACAATGTGCCCGAAAATTTGGGCACAGCCACTGCCCAAGAAAGCAAAAATTCCACGTTTGGTTGACGTGTGTGTTACTAAAAACGTCTTTGCTTATAAGAACTCTACTAATAACGTAATAACTTAGAAACCGGTCGTGTGTTTGTTGCTTACTACTACTTCTTTTTATCATTCCAAGGTCGAATCAACGAATGTGACAGTAACGAGTGCCAGGCCCTCAGCCGAGTTGTCTACGTTGCCGTCTGATGACTCGCTGAGAAAAGACATTCCTATTCCCGCCAAAAACCTTACCGCTGAAGCAGAAGAACCAGTCACAAGCGTTGTCAAGAGTGATGACGTCAAGGCCGATATTGAGAGCAAACTGTTGAACTTTCCTCCGCGTTTTAACATAGTCAAAAGTCAGGAAGACAGAAAAAGTATGGTGTTTTTGTATATTTATTAATTTGTTTTCCCTCTTTTTTCTGAGTTGTAATTGCCTTTCTGTGACACAAGCAGCGAAGTCAAATTATAACAGATAGGTTATTATTGTCAAATAGTGATTAAAAAAAAAAAAAAACGGTAGAGTACCCTGGCTAGGCACCAATCGTCGATCGCCCTCCTAATGCGCTCGCTATCCCTAGGTGATCGTTTTAAGTTTGACAAAAATCTTTTTAAAAGTGCTGTGTTAATTACTCTTACGTTGTGTATGTTTCAGTTTATAACCCGCATAGACAAAGCTCGTTAGCAGCCAATCAATTTGTATATCTCACATCCAAATGTCTCTGTGTTTTCCAGGGCAACTGAGAATTAAGTACCCGGATGTTACGGGCGAGTTCCTGATCGTGAATCTTACTAAAGGAGGCACTGGATTAGGTAAGTTGAACTGCAAAAGGAGCGATCAGAGTAACATTCATAAAAATTACAAACGTTCATTTATACTGAAAAACAACAGTCATCACAGGAAGCTGAAATTCAAGAAAATTACAAAAGTTCAAAATTACACTGAAAAGAAAAATATCCACTAAAACGATTGGGAGTTAGAATTATCCATGTCTCCCAAACAAAGGGAAATAAATTGCTTGTGGTCTCAGCAGTTTGCTAGTCGAAAAAAATCTTACTAGCAAAACTTTGCAAGTGCACTAAAAAGATAACTTCGAGCCCTGTATGCAACACTGCGTTTTTCGGGGCCAGTTGCTTAAACCCGTTTACCAGGGGGTCAATTTGATAAAACGTTTACAAACGTAATTTACAATTAGTGTAGCCAATGTTGTAAAGTCTGAAAACAATACCTACACTTGTAAATTGCTCTTGTTAAAGTTTTACAAAATGGACCATTTCCGAGGCCGTCAAAGGGAATACCCCCTGCTCACCCTTGGAGAGTTTGCTACTGTGCTAACGTCTGGCGTCAGAATAAAGAGTTTTACTGGGATAAACGACAGAGGCTGTCTGTTATGCAAGACCTTTCCGCTACTTTACCGTGAAGTGATATTGTGTGTGTTTTGTAGTTTTTGCCAGCAAATAATGTTTCGTTTTTGACTGTTTAAAAATCAACCAGTATGATTCCTAACGCATTTTTTCTTTGGTAGTTGTTCAGTAACGTGCAACCTTGACCTTCTCACTAAGTCTCTGTCTGCTCTCCCTCTCTAGAGAATCTCGTTTAACCTGTCAATCCTGTTTTGTATTCAGGTTTGAGTATTGCAGGCGGTAAAGGTGCTGCAGCAAACCGTATTTTTGTTGTTGATGTAAAGCCAGGCGGGCCAGCGGAAAAGGATGGAAAAATACAACAAGCGGATGAAATCTTGGAGGTTAATGACATTGGCATACGGGGCTTGACTCATTACGAGGCTTCAACCATATTAAAGGTTAGTTTTAATATTGATTTAATGTTTTATTTGATGTGATGTATTATTTTTGTTTTGTCTTGTATAATATCACGTCGTCTTTTAGACTGAACAGTGAACTTTGATTACGAGTTCCCTGCCTTTTACTCGTCTTCCGTCCTTTTGAACGCGAGGTGGATCTTTTATGGTTTGTTAAAATACTTTAAGTGAAACATTGTATTTGTTTTGAAATCTGTAACGAGTGTAACAAAAGCGTCATTTGTTACAAGAACCAATACGCTTCTGGTTGGCATTATTAATATCAATAGGTGACCTCAGCGTAACTAACGCTAGCTATCGCACTGTTCTTTCCGTTTAACGACACGAACCTGTCTGCTATTCAATATAGTTCCCCCAACTCACTTCACATGCCTCTTGCCAGAATCCCTGCAGTTTTACTATATTTTTGGAGCAAATTTTGTAACCAGGAAAATCAAATTCTGTAAATGATATCCTGAGGGTATATTTTCCGCTATTTCTATTTTTCCCCTAGAACACCCCTCCTGAGGTCGAGCTGGTGCTTGGGCGCACGCAGGAAGCCGCTGATTTTCTGAGTCGAGCTCGAACACCACCGGCTCATGAATCTCCCAGAGACCGCGCGTCATTTGAACCGGAAGTGAAGGCACTCAATGTTCAGTCCACCGAATCATCGCCGTCAGCTCAGAGGAGAGAAACCGGAAGCCCCCGACGGTCTGGGCCCAGCCCTAGTGCCAGTCCTCCACCGGTTGCTGTGGGTATTACTGTGTCACCGACTCTTCTTAAAGAACTGTCTGGGGGTCAGAAAGTCGAGTTCATTGATTTTGTCAAGGTTGGTAAAATGTTATGTGTGTGCCGAATAGAACCCTTGTTTTCATTGGATTTCCTTTTGGAAGTTGTGTTGCCCCCTTCCGCCCACCTCTTGCTGAACGGGTTGTTTGTAATATAGGCGAATGAGGGACTCTTTGCTATACCGAGTGGGGTTGCAGCAATACTCCCAGCTGTAGCGTTTTGTGTGACGTTTTTCCCGCTCACATTCGTTAATAGTCCTACCCTGAAGGTACGACTTTTGGGTTAGTTATGATACCGTTCAAGGGATACCTTAGCCTGTTACAGGCTTCGAAATAGTTGTTTGCACGAAAACCGAGTGGGGCTGGGAATAGCCGGGGAAGTCTCTCTTCTCGCCGTTTTAGCCCGTCCGCTTTTTCCGCTCGTTTGCACTGACCGTGAGTCTGGCACCGGCTAATGAAACCTCTACGACAGCTCTTTGTTATAGTAACATCTGCTTCCCATATCTTACAAAATGGAAGTAAGAATTTTCCTTGCAATGGTTTTTAGACTCTTGCAAGAAAGCGTTGCGTTACAGATACGTGACTCGTGTGCCCCATAACATTTTATAGTGGATTATGCATGACCAAACTCGACTTGACCTCTGCTGACGATTGATATAAATTGGTGGTTCATTCTTTTTTTGTGCAGTAAAAGTAGCTTTCTTCAGACTGGAACACCTGGTAATATGTATTTTTCTGATGCGCCAATCAACCTTTTCCTTTCTTTTGTTAGAGTCCTACTGGTCTGGGTTTTGCTGTGGTGGAAGGCCCAGGATTTGTTGAGGGTCAGACAGGTATATACGTAAAGGACATCACTGAGGGAGGACCTGCCCAAAAGGTACTTCAACCTATCCCGGTTCTCTTAAACAAAATGCTTGTGTATTTATGTTTAAGTCTTTGTGTTAACGCAGCGTTTTTGTAAGGACTAGCGAGACATTTGACCTCAGTGAAGAGTACTCCTAAGCTAGTTTCTGCTTTATCTTTAGGACAACCGACTGAGGAAAGGAGATCAGCTGCTTGCAGTGGATAACCAACCCATTGTAGGACTTTCTCATGCTGAGGTAAACGACTGTCGTCGCTAGTGAAATATAATCAAACCTTTTGGGACACACATCCCTCGTTAACTCTTTAAGGCCCAATAGTGACCAGCGTCTAATTTCTCCCAACAATAACACTGCCTGCTCAAACGGACAGCTAATGAGAATTAATGAAATGATCACCAAAGATGAAGTGTTGTGATCTTAGAACATATTCTCTCAAGCAGTACCATAAGGAATGTATGAAGAACAGTGTGGAGAAGATGTATGTTGATGTTTGGGCTTAAAGGGTTAACGGACATTAAAATGCTCTCCTGGAGCGGGAATTCCACTGTTAAGACACTGTTTTTTTTTTAAGCATCCCTTAAGAGGACACCTCTCGTAAGCAAACGTGCACACCCCTTCTCGATGCTGTATACGCTAAAACTAACCTTCCTTAAGCGGCCAGTAAAACAAAACAAGACTAGACTGAAGAAGGATTCAAACCGCAGACAACTAAGGGACGGAGAAGAGGAACACTACCTTGCCCTGCGAGCCTTTTGGCCTACAGACATAGGAAAAGAGAGGGAAAGAAAGATTTGATTAGGTTTCCGCTTTTATAGTCGCTGTTATCTCTGCGATCTACAAAGTGATCTGTCGTGAAACAAACGATAGGTGAAGCCTATCATACACAAAGCACCCTGAAAACTGTCTTTCGGCGTTATATTTAAAAAAAAAATGGTAACAAAGAAAAATTGTGGCTGGTTATATTGTCAACAATTCCTTTAACAATCAATCAGTTAGTCGAAGTTGGCTTGAAACTCTTCCCTCTCTACTCACTATTGAGCCAATCAAAGCGGTTAATATCTCGTGATGGTGGTCCTGTTTTAATAGCTTCGTTGGCACACACCTGTGCTTACCGGATCAGCTTTTAAAAGTGTGGATTTGTTTGTTTTTAGGCTGTTGCCATATTAAAAAGAACCAAAGGAAAGGTGTCACTCGTGGTTGCCAGGAAACAAACGCCAGCCGGAAGTGGACAAGTTTCCGAAAAGACCGGAAGTCCTCGCGCCATTAAGCGGGGACCCCCTGTTGCTAAGAAACCTGTCAGGGACTCTTTATCAGACCCCAAAAAACCCGGCAGTCCAAGAAAAGCCGAGAGTCCCCGAATGACTAAGAAAGCTTACGAAAGGTCTCCGAGTGGAAGTCCCGTAACGCCGAGAAAATCTCCACCCAAACCAGAAGTGCCTGAGCCAGAAGTTTTGGTTATCCAGCAGTCTCCTAGGGAAGCAGCAGGTATGTGGTGTATTATATACTGATATTTAGCTTGGATTAGACTTAATCAAAGCCCGTGTTAAGGTCGCGACTCTGTTTCTCGCTGTCGCTCGCTTTGCGAGCGCCCCTTGCGCTTTCGACGCTGTCTTGGTCGACTTGTGGCAAATCTCACCTTTAATATTCTTTTACCGGCATGTTCAACTGACTTCTTATCTCTCGTCTTGTTTTTACAGTTACGCCCCTTGTCTCATCGCTAACACAGATGCCAAATCCCCGCACAGCACCAATAATTCCCGGTCAAGAGTGTGTGATTGAAATTCCTAAAGGCAACACTGGCCTGGGGCTTAGTATTGTAGGCGGAGCAGATACTCTCTTGGTGAGTTCAAGTTGCGTCAATTGATTTAATTTACCTATAATATTGCTAGCTTCCATGTGACGTCATTACGAAGTTCTTGTTCGGCTGCTTCCCAGGCTTTCTCGGTCAATTCAATTCGGTGACGTATCCGAGACTAACATAGGTCGCGCGAAAAAAGTTAGGCCTAGGGACTAGGCGAGCGCCTCCTTACAAATCTCTATAAATTTGAGTTAATCATTTCTCCTTGTATCTCGCATTTGAAAAATCACACAGAACTTAATCTTGGCGAGGCTGTTTGCCTTTTTATGTTCTATTTTTTCCGATTCCCAAATTCTGGGCTTTATCTACATAACGATTTCGATTTTTATTTTTGATTGCGTGACAGCGAAAACCAACAGTGTGAGCAGTTCTCGATCGGTTTTGGATTCCCCTTCTTTGGTTAGCGTACTGTTAAGCTGATTGTTTTGCTAACAAGTGTAGTGAATCCGTACCATTCAATTGAAAAGCTCTTTGAACGGAACGTAGTCTCCCTCTCAGCCGTTTTTAGTGTCGGCGACACTAAAAACGGCTGCGAGGAAGACTAAACGGAACGTTAATGCCTTTTTTATTTCCCAGGGTGCGATTGTCATACATGAAGTATATGAAGACGGTGCCGCTGCTCAAGATGGAAGACTGTGGGCTGGAGATCAAATATTGGAAGTGAGTTATCCGGTGTTGTTGATTGAACTGTTAACGTTATTGTTTAACCATAAGAACTACCCGCTTTTGGTTTGTTCGTCATATCAATTATTTTAGCGTTTTTGCAAAATCTTGAGGTCTGTAGCGAAGTAAACGTTCCTTAACCCCACCAGGTTTGCCAAACAAGAATGACTCTGATTACCTTCGCATGTGACGAAACCGTTGAAGTACATAGCGTCGTAAACAATCATAAGCACCATCAGTTTTAAGTCTCACCGGAAGTGGTGTCACCTGCAATTGAGTCTACCTACGCATGTCATATGCTATTCCCGCTGTTCATACTGACTGATGTTTTTTCCAAAGGTAAACTCTGTGGACCTACGAGAGGCGACTCATGACATGGCTATCACAGCTCTCCGGCAGACACCAGCTGTAGTACGACTTGTAGTTCTCAGAGACGAGTCACAATTTAAAGACGAAGGTGTGGTTCAGAGTTAATTATTTTAATTACTGTAATTAAAGTATTGATCGTATGTACTTTGCATAGCCTGCGAAGATTGCGGAGTAGTTATCCGCTAGATACTCCCAATCTTCCCGTGGCTCCGCCGCCAAAAACAGCAGCATTCAACCGCTAATCCGGCAGTTATGCAGGCAAACTGTGTAACTGAGTCTTCCTTCCTTACTGCTCTTTTCACAAACACGCAAACTCTAAAGTTCAAAAGCCGCCTTGCATTTTTTCGCTGCCTTCAATCATATTGATCCGTCTGCGATTCCGTCTCATTTTGAATTTTTTTGTTGTTGTTGCAAATTTAAAGTTGGCGTTTGTCTCTGAACACTCCCAGTGTTAAAGGAAATGACGCATAGTTCACCTGTTCCCTGTCCAAGGTGAATTAAAGTTATTTCACAGTTATATGATAAGGAGTTTTATTTACTCTGCAGAGGCTTTTGAATACCTGACGCTTGATTTGAACAAAGCACCCGGACAGGGCCTAGGCTTGAGCATTGTTGGCCGAAGGTAAAGTCTGTGAAATAGACTGAAATCAATTAATCAAATATCTTGCGGTGTGACGGTCCGCCTTGAAGCTATTACTCTCTGTTATGATTGCTTCCATTGTAATCAACACAGTGTAAAGTAAATAATTCAGTTTTTCCACATACTTTTTTCACCCTACAGGAATGACACTGGAGTATTCGTTTCTGATGTTGTCAAAGGCGGCGTTGCCGAGGCTGACGGACGCTTGCTGCCTGGTGATCAGATCCTTTCTGTTAACGGAGAAGATCTTAAAAATGCAACGCAGGAAATCGCTGCCGGCGTCCTTAAGGTAACCATGGTAACGTGTCTAGGTAAATACCAGGGCGATGGTTTTTTTTTCAAGTTGGTGGTAACGGGTAAAAGACTACTTTCATGGCGCAAATAATTGTGATCAGGAAAATTTTTTCAAGATTTAATAGACTGTTGATAAAGACTACAGCGTAACGTCACGTGTACTGATGAACAAATAGAGAGGTTAGCATCACGTTTACGTCAATTTGTACCACGTTACCAAGTTTTCCATATGCTTGTTGCCTACTGTTCACTATTTCTACACATAAATAATGTAGTTTCACGCAATTTTTTATCCATAAGAGTTTTCTGAGCTGTTATTATCTGCTCTCTTTCTATTTTGAGAAATTCTTAACTTGAATTTGACATTTGCCGTTTGCCGCTTAAACTTTCTAATGCTGCTTTTTTTTTTTTCAGCGAACTTCTGGTCGGCTTATACTGGAGATCGCCAGACTGAAACACGGTACCAGTTCCCGCCCGTCTTCAATGAGCAGTTTGCCCAACATACAATTAGGCGCCGGTTCGCTCAGTAGCATGGAAAATATTGCTGTTAATATCCCTCTCGGTAAGTGATGAGTTTTCTATTTGTGTAAGCCTCCTAAGGGTACTGGTAAGGCCACATCTGTGTGTAAGGATTAGGGACCTTTGAGTCAATTCGCGTTCTTTCAATTTTCATCACGATTATTCCATCTCACTTACTTTGTCAAACAAATGGGAACTCTCCAGGAGTTGAATCACTAAGAACAATGTCTAAGTGTAGAAAGAGAAAGAATTTCGATTTCACTTGTTCACTTCATCCATGAAACGTGAAATTAGGTCACGTAGTAGTGCAAAGACGGTAAAGGAATTCACAAAAAGTGTGCTGCACGTGCCGAGTTGTTGTTTTGCTTATAAAACCTCTTCCTTTTTCTGACGTTTTCGTTGCCGTTACCGTTGCCGTTGCAGTCGTCTGATCTTAAGGTCCCCTACATTAATATGCTCCTTTGGCAAAAGGTAGTCTACCTTTGTACCTTAAAAACAGTAATATTAACCCTGAGCATATGAACAAGCTATAAATTTGATAAAACCCAACAGAATTACGCCTCTCTTTTTCTAGGCTAACGATAGCTTGTAAGAACTTTTTACTGAAATACCTTTTTTTTTCAAGATTTTGAACAACTGGAAACACATCCAACAGAACAAATATCCGTTCCCGGCCTCCCTCTTGCGAATTTGCTACCAACGTCGGAGCTCGTAGAGCAAACTGGCGATCTGATTCAGTCAGATGGAGAAGAGGAAGAAGAAGAAACGTGAGTAGAGTTTAGAATATTTATCTACTCTCCATCACAGGTTGACAAAATAGTCACCAATGTCATTTGTCAAAAGAGAGCAGAGCAGTAATTTATCCACAGTTTCTAGGTTAAATTACATGATTCTCTTTCACAGTCTCAGGATCTTGTGACTCAGATGTTCTTTCTCTTGCCAATGGTTTGAGTTGGAGTGTGCGAGAAACTCAACCGGACCCACAAAGAGAAGGAAACTGGGTCCCAGTTAACTCTCGCAAAGACTTCTCGGAGGCTGTTACTCAGGGCCAAGTTGTTCGAAGGCCGATTTGCGCTTAACCCTGGATTAAATTTAACCCGTGCTTGTTTTTCTTGTGTTCAAAAGCATTTTCTGGGATAATTTTCTGTGCTATTTTTTAGAGCTTCCAATCGTCAACTTGTAGACAAAAAGAATTAAAACTGAAATGCATTTTAAGCTTTCAAATCTAACTTCAAATCTTGCTCTAACCCTGGGTTATCTTAACCCAGCTTTGAACAACTCGGCCCAGGACAGTAAAAATAACAATGACCAATAGCTGACCGGCGCATCCTCGCTGGTACAAATCCCAGAAGTCTTGCGAAAGTTAACTCGACCTGGTTTCCTTTTCGTTTCTAAGAGAATATCTCTTAAAACTTAAAAGCGTAGGCTCGTCTGCATCGTAAGAATGTTAGAAGTCACTCTTTTCTTTACGGATTCCTAATACTTCTCTTGTATCTTTTCAGGCCACTGGAGCCCAAACTTATTGAGCTAGAACGCGGCCCAGAGGGCCTGGGTTTCAGTATCGTGGGTGGTCATGGGAGTCCTCATGGCGACCTTCCAATCTACGTCAAAACTGTCTTCCCCACTGGTGCCGCGGCACGAGACGGACGACTGAAGCGTGGTGATCAGATTGTTGCTGTGAATGGAGAGAGCCTTGTGGGTGTAGCGCATGAGAATGCCGTTGCTATGCTGAAGAGAACCAAAGGAAAAATTATTCTAACTGTACTTTCATAAGGAACGCGTTATTTTCATATGGGTAACCTGTGCACTCTAAGCATAAGTGTCCTGTGCCAAACCTGTACTTCCAAGACAAAAAAATAATGTTAACGCCACATCGCCTACCGAAAGGTTTTCATGCTTTAATGTTGCTCACGTAGTTTTTAAATTATGTTCATATTATCTTTTGATAATCGTTTTTATGCGCGTTTTAAGTTTTCTGTTCTTCTCTTTTTTCGTATAAACTTAAAATCATTCCATGTATGCTAACAATATCAAACAGCGATTTTCACCCCTTAGTATAGTCTGCGGGCCAGCTCGTCTGGGGGTACGCCGTGGTGGTACCTTAGGAGAGCCCTCTCGCAGGCTAGTAGAAGCTAATTTGCTTCCAATAAACTCTCAGCGTGACTTGCTGATCGTAACTCCAGCTTCTGTAGTTATTAACTTATAATATTGAACTGCAACGTGCAGTATGCATGCCTGTTACAATATGTTGTAAAAAAGGTTTCGACTTTTTCTAGTCTAAATAAAGTTTCAAATAAAATTCTGCGCGTCATTTTTCTACTCTCTATTCTGTGAAACCGGAGTGATTGTTTTTTTGTTGTTGTTGCCGTTTGAACCCTTTTAGTGAAGCGTGAAGTCTTGCAAAACAGCAGCGAACAGACGCCGGATCTCGGTGTAGATCAACATTCAAACTTACCCTGTTACAAGATTGCAAAGGAAACTGGGGGCGCTTTCCATTTAGTCAAAATTTCCGGAATTTCTGGTTCGGCGGTAAATGGAACATGTTTCGTCGGCTCGTCCCACGGGAAAATTCCCAGAAAAAGTGGAAAATCTAAAAAGGTGGGCCCGTTTTCCCGGTTGGAATTTCCGAACGGAATGTCGTGTTCCATTTACGTTTCTCGCAGTTTGTACCAGTTCCAGGTCCACGGTCGGGCACCACGACGTACCGGGGTTTAAGACCAAATGGAACAACTTTTTACCAATCGGAAATTCCACTTTTGCTCCCACCGAAATTTCCGGGTTTTTTTCCGAAATGGAAAGCGCCTGGGTCAAATTCGTGCTCCCAAAACAGTCCCATGGTTTAACTCGACCACATCAACACGGCCCAGTCCCTTCACATGTACCGTGTATTGTGTGTTGATTGGAAGCACCTGATTTGCTCAATTGGTTGGGTACTGGTCTGGAACATCTCTTGAAGTCTTTAAAAATAACTGTGGATAAAATGACATAATTTTTAGTCTTCGTGAAGGGACTATTCGACCTATTCCTGCTGGGCTGTTCGCAGTAATTACGTGGAAGAATGGGAAGGGGCATTGGAACTAAGGGTAAGGTCAGCGGATACCTATGAAATTCAAAATGGCGGAGCTTGCTGGTCAGATTTTCAACCGCACATTTGAGAGGGAAATCGAGTGTAAGAATGGAACACTAAGAATCCAGCAAGCTGAAGTAGGCGATGAGAGCTGTGTGGTGTGGGATGCTGCTTTGGTTCTTGCTAAATATATACAAACGGACCATTTTTGCTCCACAGACGGGCTGGTAAACAGACGCGTTATTGAGCTTGGTGCAGGTACTGGAGTAGTAGGACTAATTGCTGCAGCTTCTGGGTAAGGTACATTTAACGCTGTCAACCCTGATTACGATTCAGTGTCATTTGTCGCCATTTCATCTAGACCATGTCACCTGTTGGAAATTTACCCTAACAGGGCCTTGCTAGCAGGGAACTTGTAGTCGAAGTTATGCTTCAATCATTTAAGTACCGATTAAAGCAGTTGTGAGTCCCCCTTTTTGTCTATTTTTAGTGCACATGTCTGTTGTACTGACTTGCCGACAGTGGTACCACTCATTGAGTCAAACAGACAAATCAATCAACACCTCATAACTGGAAGCTTCACTGCAAATTCTCTAGAATGGTAAGTAGTTCTTATAATCTAATATTTCAATTTCCTGGAAAAGTTGTCCCAGCAAAGGCCTAGTGAGGCGACTTGTGTCAATACATAATCTAAACAAAAATGGCTCTTCGATCAATCTAAAGTTCAGACTGGCACAAAGAATGGTTTCTTCTTTCACTTTTTCACTCCCAGAAGTGACTCAACAAAAGCAATTTGTAAACTTAGTTTTGAAAATTGCTGAATACCATATGAGAAGTTTAGTTTAGTGGTAATACCATTAGGATTCCATCCACTGTTTCAAAAGTTAGAAGCACCTTACATCCTTTAATGCAGCTTGGATCCATCATGACTTTTGTGATATCTTGTGCTCCCTTAAGGTGGCTCCGTAATTAATACAAGAGCATTTAGCTGTGACAAATTTTCCGTCATAACTTTTTGGTTTTCAACGCGATGGCTGCGAAACTTTGCAAAGAACAACAGATATCATTAGGCAATGATTCGAAATATTCTGAGTTCACTGATGGTAAATATTTCTCGAGAAATTAGCACTTAAAAGGACCCTACTGTTCAAAGAAAATCGCGTCTAGTAAAAAATTTTGCTGATATTTTTTACTGAAATTTCTGGTATCGGCTTTAATTGATATAATAAATATGCCAGAGGAATTTCAGAAAAATCGTTGGAGCAGAAGTCCGAAACTAAAAGTCGCTCAAAATTCAGCTGTGAAATTGTTTTGGAATTTCAAAAATAAATTACCATCAGCGAGAAGGAGCCACCAGTTTGAATTTTCGGGACAAGTAAATTCAGTGTTTGCTAATTCTGAAAACAGAAGCCGATTGCCTATCGTGCTATTCTTTAAAAGGTACTGTTCAGTTTTAGAAGCACTATAAATTGCTTCAAAACTTTGCTCTGACTTCGAATGACTTGTTGTCCTTGTTCCTCGACATTTTTAAAATATCCCTTGGCAGTTTTGGTTCAAACTCCTGCTGCACACATTTTGATGTATTGCAATGCATCCTCAACGGCTTTTCCTGCTGTACGTTGTTTCCAATTCAGGAAAAAGGTATTGGGATTGTAAGCTACCTTGTATCAAAGCTCAGATAGAACTGTCCAGCACCTTTGTTTATGACCAGAAAATGAGCACGAAGGCGCACTTGTGCGGGAATTAAGCACCTCAGCCAGGGGGACGACGAATGACAATGATGCCCATGTCTGTGAACCGATCTGTATAAACATGTATTGCAGAGCAAAACATAATAATCAAGAAAAAATACCCATTCATTGAGGGAAGGAGTGACAAGAATTCCAGAGTTGTAAATTTATTCACGGGCAGTATTTTTGCGATAATTTTATTTTGGACTGTGATGTTATTTGGTTCACAGGCATGGTCATCGATGTCGTTCGTCCCCTGTGTGAGGTGCGAATTCCACGCAGAACTGCCGCTGGGTGCTCATTTTGTAGTCATAAACAAAGGTGCTGGACAGTTCTATCTGAGCTCTGGTACAAGGTAGCGTCAATCTCAATACTTTTTTCCTGAGTTGGAAGCAACGAACAGAAGTAAAAGTCGTTGAAAATGCATTGCAATACATCAAAATGTATGCAGCAGGAGTTTGAACCAAAACTGCCATGGGATATTTTAAAAATGTCGAAGAACAAGTAATTCTACCTCAGAGCAAGGTTTGGAGCAATTTATAGTGCTTCTACAACTAAACAGTACCTTTTAAAGAATAGCACGATAGGCAATCGGCTTTTGTTTTAAGAATTAGAAAACGTTGAATTTACTTGTCACGAAAATTCAAACTGGTGGCTCCTTCTACCCGATAGTAATTTATTTTTGAAATTCCAAAACAATTTCACAGCTGAATTTTGAGCGACTTTTAGTTTCGGACTTCTGCTCCAACGATTTTTCTGAAATTCCTCTGGCATATTTCTTATATCAATTAAAGCCGATACCAGAAATTTCAGTAAAAAATATCAGCAAAATTTTTTACTAGACGCGATTTTCTTTGAACAGTAGGGTCCTTTTAAGCGCTAATTTCTCAAGAAATATTTACCACCAATGAAATCGGAATATTTCGTGTTATTGCCGAATGATATCTGTTGTTCTTTGCAAAGTTTCGCAGCCATCGCGTTAATAACCAAAAAGTTATGACGGAAAATTTGTCACAGCTAAATGCTCTTGTATTAATTACGGAGCCACCTTAAATCTTGTTGTAGCCTCGTCCGCAGACGTCAATGTCCTGTTTTCATGAACGGTGGGGGTGGGATGGTGGGAGAATTGGGAGAGAACAGGAAGTGACAATGAAGTCCTCCTCATTCTTTTCTCCTTTTCTCATTGTCACACTCTCATGGTCAATGTAACCATTACAAAAGGAGTTGCCTGTGGAGGGGGCTAATTGTGTTACTTCAGTTTGATTTGTTTATTATGGCGATTCTAAGGGAACAGACCATAAAATGCTGTTGTGTGTAAAATTATCTAAAAGCAGTTATTGTTCATCAGTAGGATGCCTAAGTGTGCAATTCCACAACTGGTTTCGACTCCATTAAATCCTATACCAACTGTACAACGTTTTAGGAGGAGCCACCCACAATGTGAGCACAGTTACTGACACTATCTATTAGTAAGAAAAACAGTGAAAATAAAGCCGTAAACCGCTATAACTAACCATATGTGTCAACTAAATAAAGACAGCACGCACACTACACAATAAAGGAGGCTAGCGCGTGCACATTTGCAGTAACTTACATTGACATCTTTATAATATTCATTATCAAATTACATCTACTGGACCATATTTACATGTTTCAGTGCTTTTATGTTTTAGGGGTCAAGATGTATCAACCTTTCAACCTACCCCAGACATCATTCTAGTAGCTGATTGCATTTATTATGAAGAGGTGAGGATGTTCATGTTTGTTCTGCAGAGATATAGGCATACTTGGGCATTGCAGAAACATTGTTTGTCATGATTTATTAAACAACAAAATTACATTACAGTAGGCTACATATATGATTTAAGCCATTGTTCTGGATTAGTGATAAGTATCGGTCTAACTTGGGGGTGTGGTGGCCGAGTTGTAAAAACACTTCAAACTTAAGATCTGTGTGTCTGGGTTCAACCCTTGCCAATATTACATTTGTCTCTTTTCACCAAGCTGTATAAGTGGGTACTGGCAACAAAAAGTTCTAGGGATATTACACTGCGATGGACTAGAATATTTTCCAGCAGGGTAGCAATTTTCCTAGGTGCTTCATGCTACATGTACTTAAACATCATCGTCATCATCATCATCATCATCATTATTAGTTTTGTTATTATAATTATTTCTATTTATAATAATTTTTATTATTATGACTATTTTTTCAAGTCCCTATTTCCACTTGTGGTGACCCTGTGTGATCTAAGTGATGCCAACACCACTGTGCTAATATGCTATGAAGAGAGGACAACAGGCAATAAACCATTGCTAGAGAAAAAGTTCCATGAGGTACAAATATTTAGCAGTTATTAAATTCAACTTTTGTATGATATGAAGAATTATGCAGATCAAGGAGACTGTTATCCACCAAGGGAAAGAGGAAATGCAATTGATGGATGGTCTATTGCCCATGCAGCCTTGTTTCCCATCAAGAACACAAACCAATTAACCCCTTAAGTCCCAATAGTGACCAACATCAATTTTCTCCTAACAATATCCATACATTGTCAAGAGATTAGGTTATGAGAATTAATAAAATGATCACCTAAGAGAAAATGCTTTGATCTTTTATCAAATTCTCTCAGCTCATTCTTTAAGGAAATATATAGAGATCAGTTTGAAGAATTTGTATGTGGGTATTGGGGCTTAAAGGGTTAACCTTATTTCTAATCAAATATACCATCAAATTGATGGTGTCTTGCTCGCTTCTTCAAATTTGGTCAATGCTGGTTGGTTATGGCAATTGAGCCGGGGAATGGGGTCAATCAGAAACAGCGAAGCATTTTGAATGAATAATAATGTGAAATGTGTGGCAATCAGCATGTAATGAGTGTGGAACTAAGAAAAAGATGGTCATGAATTCCCAACAGGATTCAAACCTATGACTTGCCATGTTATGAGATCAGTAAGCTGTGTAGAGGTTCATTGAGTAGCCTGTTCACAGACCCTCTATTTTCTCTTTAGAGATCCTCAAGTGTGTCCTCATGTATGAAAATAGAAACCGGGGATTTATTGACTTCTAGTGCAAGGGGGTCAGGGTGTGGAAAGGAGGAAATAGACATTTTTTTTTTCTCGCGTTCTGCCCTCGTTCTCATGCTCCAGGCTCACACACTCATGCCTGCTCGCTCATACATTTTTGAAAACGTCTGTGTACATACAGGCCACTCATGGAGAGTTAGGCCATATATAGCTGAATCAGAAAAGGTTGCTTTGGCCATTGGGAAGTGGAAATTGGGCATTTGGGAATACAGAGCTCACTGCAATGATTTGCTTGAATGCCCACCAAACAATAGCTTACCAGTGTGCAATTCCCAATGCCCCAAACAACCTTAACTGAATCAGCAACAAACAGGACGTGTGTCCTGCATGTTGGTAGAATTAGCAATAAGGAAAGATGTTGAAGGTGATTCATTGGAGAAGTGTCTCATGGGATTTGCTTGTAACAGGGACATCAATCTATTGTTTTATTTTGATTTGATTTGTTTTCAGCTGGTGAGGGAACACTTTACAGTGAAAGAAATCCCAGAAGAACACCAAGACCCAGTCTACCACAGCCCAGATATACACTTACTGAGATTGACAAAAAAAGATGTCAAGCTTTGACCGCAAAAAATATGACATATCCCCTTCTTGTAGGTGAGACTACAGCTATGATGTGGAACGCTAGTGGTCATGGGTGGAATCATAGTTAATTTAGTGGAATGGTTATGAAACCCGTCAGACTCCTTTGTTATATGTTTTTGTGGACCTGAAAGTGCACAACGTTCAAAAGAATTCCTATCATTTTGATTGTATTGACCAATAAAAACGTTGCATTAATTTATTCCGTAACAATTTGCCAACAGAAAACAAAGGATTGTGCACTTTCACGGTGCTTTGAACATAAACTGCCGCACTGTTGTTTTTATCATTGATGCTTGCCGCTTTTCATAACCAGTCTCCTTTAATAACTATGGTGGAATCCACTGGAAAAGATCATGTGCAGTCTGTGTTTGAGAAAGGAGTTCCAGCATCGATTTTGGTTTGGACTTTGACTTTATTGGTGAACAGGGCGTGGTTATAAGTACGCTCAGGGTAATTCTGCCCCATTAAGGCTATGATCATGCTATACCGAATAGGTCTTACGCCGGCATGCACAAAATCCATACTGCTGCTTCGGTTCCATTGGCGGATCCTGGGGAGGAGCGTCGCGTGACGACACTAACAGCGGCTGTGTAGCAGACTGGTGCAGCACACGTTTTGTTCATTTCGTAACCTTTCTTACTGTACGATCACAGCGTGAAACTTCCTTATGCGACGTGAACACACAGCAACTGATGTTTATTTCTCTCTTTACACTTGGGTGTGGTCCCCAAGAAATCAACTTGATGGAAGATTTTCTTACATTTAACATTTAAAGCGAATTGGAATACCTTAAATGGGACAAAGTTTGAGAGAAAGCGAATTCATTTTATAGAGACTTTCTTGCTACCGTCACCGTCGCTGTTGCTACAGCATCCTAGTTTTGAAGGTCCATGGAACGTTTTATACAGCATGATACAGGGAGAGTGAAATAGTTCCGGGTGCAAATCCTAGGTGGGATATTTGTCGTTATTGATAAACGGTATGGCCTACACACACGGAAATAAAAAGAATGAAGATGATTTTATTGAGATTGCGTTAGGCTACATTACATTACATGCATCGGGTGGTCATAAAGACTATCAATAATTTGAACCTTGGCCGTGTGAGCAACGGCTCTATTACAAAAAGTTGATAAATTCCTTAAGACCTCGTTTACATGGAGAAATCCTGTCCCGGGCAGATTGGTCAGCATTCCAGCCGATTCAACTTTAGAGAGTGTTTATGTGAAAAATTTTACCGCTTTGTTCACGCCAATAGCGCTTGCGCATGTTCTGAATAGGGACTTGAAGATCCCGCGACGCGTTGAGAAGCGGACGGCAACGAGAACGTAAAAAAAAAGAAAAAAAGGTTTTATAAGCAAAACAACAACTTCGCACGTGCATCACACTTTTTTGTACATTCCTTTCCCCTTTTTTCACGACCACGACGTGAAAATGCCTAATTTCGCGTTTTATGCAGGACGTAAACGTCAAGCAACGACGAAATTTTATTTCTCGTTCTGAGCTTGGATATGGTCCTTTGAAATTCAGCTTCAGGAGGGTTCGCCTACATTTGACAGAGTAAGTGGGTAGGAATAATCGCTATAAAAACTGAAAGAACGCAAAATTCAATTTTTTAAGCGACGTTCTCGTTGCCGCCGCGTCGTTGGATCTTAAAGTCCCTATTGTCTTGACTTGGCCGGGCCAAAGTGTTTATGTGGAGAAACGTTGGTCCAGTCACGAGGGTGATTCACAAAAAGTTGACCCGGCTAGCTCTTCTAGCCAAGCCAACTTTTCGTTAAACGGTTCGCCTCGTTTTGTAAGAAAATGTAGGAAAAGTTGGCTCGCCTCTCGCCCAGGGGAGCTTGCCGGGGTAGGCGAGTGAGCCTTTGACCCGGCTCGACTTTTCTCCATATAAACAGGGCCTTAGCTGTGCAAGTCGCTTGTAGTGATAACCGCTGACAGTATTTTATCATAGAACAGGTAGCTCCGCTCAGTTTCCATTGTGCTTGTGTCTTGCCAGCTTATGACACAACTGCCAGATAACAAAATTAATAAATTTTTCTAATAGAAAATTCTGTACAGGATGAGTGGTCAAAGCTCATCTCCATGCTGGTGAGTGAAAGACGACTCCACATCAACGTTCTGGCACGCAGCAGGAGTTTTGAATTCCATGAGATATTCACATCTGCTAGGTTCCGTTACTTGCACCAATTCATTTGTCGAGCCACATCGAAGGTTTACCTACACAAGTAACACGAAGCAGAGGTTTAATACAGTTTCTGGTTGGCAATGTAATTTTTCGTTAGATCTATGCACCCTAATTCGTACAAACGAAAAACAAGGGGACGAGACACGACCGTGGAAGTTACACTGAAGGCAATGGAGTATACTCGGGTCGCGTTCACACTTTGTTACCGGGCATGGTGCCCGGATGCGTATTTGCTGGGCACTAATGTGAACGCTCACTTTTTTGAAGTACCCACGCTATAATTCAGGCACGGTGCCGGTGCGCGAGTTCAAGGTCCTCAGACACAAACATGACCACCAGTGGCCCGTTTCTCAAAAGACCCGGAAACTTTTCGGGCCCGAAGGCAAATTTCAAAATCAAACCCTGTTGAATAGTACTACAGTTCCTAGCCCACAAACCAATCAAAATTGCTTCGTTTACTGATAGTTTCATTGTTCTGTTTTCGAAGTTATTGAAACTTTGATCTTAAATGTAAACACCACAAACGCAAAACAGCTTTCGGGCCCCAAAAGTTATCGGGACCTTCGAGAAACAGTCTCAAGGTCCCAGTGTGCGCATCGTTTTTGTTCTGGGGCAGTCCACTGCTTTGTACTCGCTGCTAAGTTCTTGTTTCAAAATGGAGTCCGACAGGGGGAAATTGAGTAACTATGTACACGGTTACATATCACGGGTACTCGCTCAATGTGCGAACACAACACCATTTTTTTCGGACTTACCATAGCTGACCTACTGGGTCCATTCCAGCAGCTCTGTCCTCCTGAATACTTCATTTGACTGTACTTGTTAGGGTCTCCTGTCCATTCACCCCAAGTTCTAAAATAAATTTGTTAACAAAAAATTCTTTAATGATGGAAACCGACTCATGAATACAGTTTAGCGAGCTTCTTCCTTTAATTTTTTTATTGTTATTGTTTGTTTTCAAAAGTTGAGAAGCTGCATCAAATACTCAGCAATCTTTTTTGAAACCACTTCTCGGAGTCCGGATAACGGATGAAAAACTGTTTCTCCAGTTTGACGCGACATGAAAGGCTATCCGCTATAGTTTTAACAAAGCCCAAAGTAGGCGACGGGGCTATTGCAGCATAATTCGATCGCTTGGTCTATCAACCTTGCCTGTCTATTAAAGGATAGAAATGCCTGTCTTATAAATAACGGAAAGATATAATAAGAAAACGAAATTCGACAAAAAGCTCACCCGAGAGATGTTTCCGAGCCTCCGTCCTTTGGTTGTTGAGAAGCTTTGTCAAATGGGCAAACTTTGTAGAGATACCTGAAAATCGAAAGAAAAAGAAACTTCAGTTGTCTTGACACGCCTTCGAATTCAAATGCAAGATTGTAAGATAGTCTCCAGTATTTGTGGTTAACTACGCTATAACATGTCACTCCATGCTACTCCGTGACGCGCCTCAATACATGTACTACACCCTGCTCGTGCATCTTTATTTAGTTGTAACACAAGTGCATACTTACTCCCTGTCAGTGTATTCGAAGCACTGGCCTTGAAGTGGCGAAAATTCTTCTTCTTGACCCAGATTCAAGTTCAAGACACGTTCAAGATCACTAAAAAGAGGAGAACCAAACACAGTTATACTGCTTGGAAGAGCAACACACCTTCTATCCAACCGAATAGGGAGCTTACATGTAAGCAACGACGACGCCCCTCTGTCATCCCCTACTCAACTATCACTTGCCTTTCTAGTTCTCATCATTTTTAGAGTAGATTACCCCCAAAACCATCTTTTTAAAATATACATTTTGTCATATGTCTTTTCCATGGACTTCTAAATGTGTAGCTTGCCCTTGTCGACCACAACATTTACTACACCCTTGTCATCAGTTCCTCAAAGAATCCTTTCTTTAATCATAACACAATAATAAATATCTTTAGTTTCCTCTAAGGGCATTATGAAGCAAATCTTTCCCTTTGGACCCATTGCTCTTTTTTTTATTCATGTAGTACAAGACAATACAATTTAAAAAGTTGATAGCCTGTCTTCTCACACAGCCTGTTTTTGGATCATACCATATATACTGCATACATTTGTTGTTGTTCGGCTGTTTGCATAAACAGTTAACCCTTTAAGTCCCAATAGTGACCAACATCAATTTTGTCCTAACAATATCCATACATTGTCAAGAGATTAGGTTATGAGAATTAATAAAATGATCACCTAAGAAAAAATGCTTTGATCTTTTATCAAATTCTCTCAACTCATTCTTTAAAGGAAATGTATAGAGATCAGTTTGGAGAATTTTTATGTGGATATTGGGGCATAAACAGATAAACAGACCTGATTTCCTTTTCTGTGTCCTGAGTAGCTGATTCTGCGTCATTAAATTCTTTTCTGGCCTGATCAGCAGCTGTAGCAAAAATTAAAATAATTGTTAGTACAACTCCTCAACTGCACAGCACGTCAATGATGAGCAAATAAAATGTACCAGTAATTTTGGCTTGTGTCTCTTCATCGTATTCAGGCATCTTTAAGTCATCACCTTCTTTCTTCTCTGTAAGCAAAAAGCCACACCAAAGTCAGTCAGGTTTACTTAACCTCTGTTAACTTGAAGAGAAAAAAATTAAAGCTTGATAATGATACTGATTATGCTCTTTTGGTTCAGATTCAAAAGGAAATGTCTGAAGCGTAGGGGTAGTCTTAGAATAGAATATTACGCAAGAAAAAGGAAAATTAATTCACAAATGAGTAAGACATAAATTCCATGATCGTTTGTTAATGTAAAGCTTTAAAGTTACTTCTTTTTTCAAAGCCACTCAAGTGTGGTTTTAATGCCACCCTCAATGAAAGCAAAACTACCAATAAACACCACTCTCGAATAAACTTTCCACCCAATCAAAAAAAAAATGTGCGTTTATTCGAGGATTTTAAGGCAGTAACTTGGTACAACTTTGTAATCTACACCAACCAGACAATTACGATTCAATCTCAGCAAAAGACACCTTTCTGTCTTACATAATAGTTAAAAATTATTGCTTTATTGTAATAATGATAATTGTTGTCATTGATTTCAAAAAAATGTAATTGTGAAGTAAATGCTGCCCTATGGTAAAAGTACAGCATCAGAAATGCTAAAAATTCAATAGACGGAATACGGTTTTGTGAACTCGCATCACAACCATCACAATTTGGATATATAGTTTAGAGAGTTTTATTTGATTTATGAACTCACCCTCTTTGGAGCTTTCTGCAGCTCTTTTTTCAGCTTCCTGTTTAAGTTCATCAGGAATCTCTTTCCCATCATCACCATCTTCATCTTCCTCTTCCTCCTCATCATCATCATCGCCAGGAACATCTGGCAAATCTTCATCTTCATCAAGGTTGTCATCAATTGGAGGAGGGGAGGGTGGGTCCTCAGGTTCAGCAGCTGCAGTTAAAGGTTCATTGACAAATAAATACATTTATTATACATTGCACTATCTGTCTTCTCATTGGCTAAGAGCCTACAGTTAATTTTGGAAATCAGTGCAACCTACATATTAGTTAGTTATCTGCTAGAAGATAATTGACTTATCTGTAGGTTGTGCGCGCAATGCTTGATTTCCAATAACAATATCAATTCAGGTTCCTTGCGACTGTGTGTCATGCTATTTGTTAACTTTCTTAAAAAAATATAAAACGTGTCTTTGCTTCTACAGAAATCCAGATTTAACAGTCCAGTTTAATTCTTTAAGACCATTATTTAGGTACCAAAACTGTTTCCTCTCGTCGGCAGGGTTCTATCTAGGGTATTTGAGCGGTAAAGCTTCCCCCGCAAAATATTGTTATCGCTATGGTATATAGGTAACTATACTGGAAAAATCATCCAGACACGACAAGGTCATTGCACACACTGTAACATTTCTCAAAATTGTGTCTCAAAATGCACCAGATTATATCTCAGCACAAATTCATTTCAAAAAATTTCTGGGGATCTTGTCCCTGGACCCCCTAGGAAGCTTGTTGCCTTCAGCCACTCGGGACTTCTCCCCCAAAAGATAAATCCTAGATAGAACCTTGGTTGGTAAAAATGGATGGCGAGGATGGATATGGATCAAACCTTGAAAAAGTTGGCCCAACATTTTCAAGTTTCAACGCTATTTCCTGCAAAAAGTGCCAGAAAAATTATGCTCTGTGCTCCCTGATAAAATTTGTCAGATATCTTCATTACTGTACAGGAGCATTTTGTGTATGGGTACAATTTCTAAAAGCACTAAGTAATAACTTCAGCAGAGAATTGGCCTTAAACAGCAATACCCTTGTGAAATAACCCCTTTAAACAACTGAGGAGAAAGTGCTACCCTTTGAAATCTGCAAACAGTTAGACTTTCTAGCCTTCCTGGATTAGTTAAAAGCAAAAATTTATACTTAAAAAACCTGTAGGCATGTGGTGGCAATATACAGAATTATTATGAAACATTATGAGTGCTTCCTCTAGTCAGATCTTAATGTCACATATTCAACCACATTTGAAACATTATTTTCTGCTAAATATTAACACACCATCTGTTGGCTTTTCTTCCCCTTTCTCAGATTCTTCAGATGGTGGTGGTTCTGTCTGGAATAATAGAATGACATTTATTTTATTAGTTGGAGTTTAGATTATCAGACATATCACTTTATAACACTCATAAATTAAGTATATACACTGAAACTCAACAATGGACTAAATACAATAAATCAATATTATTTACCTTTCTTTCTTCAAGAACTCATTAACAATTCTTATAGAAGATAGAAAGGAAATTAATATTGATGAATTTGTTTCTGATGGAGACATGGCTTATACGTCCAATTGTCTAGGCCAAAATCAAGCCCAATCAAAATCCTACTGCAAGACTAAACAGGGTGCAAAGAAAGTCAGTTTCACAGCCTGCCACACAGGCAAGCTGTAGCGATCATGTACTAGCCCAGGAGTTATTTAAATTAGCCTGAAATACTTTAAGGATGAGCAGGATTAATTACAGTTCTTCTGTAATTTGAATTGCCTTAAAAACTTTGCTTGCCCATAGGACAAGTTAAGAAAAGAATTTGCTATCTCTACAGCAAAATTCAATCGCCCTGGGCTATACTTTAACTCAGTTTGTTTTTTATATCTAGTCTAAAACTTAACAAGACTGCTTGTTCGTTAACTACACATAAATCCTTGCTTTTTCAAGTCAACTTTATGGCCACCCCAGCTCTATACAGTCATGAACACTATTTGGGTTTTTAACCTCCTGGCTAAACTTTTCAACAAAAACCCTTTTTTAATACAGTTATCTGTTAACTTGAAAATTTTTTTTTGGCCCATCGGTGACTGAAAAGTTCCAAAGTTGATGGAAAATGCTGTCACTGACAACACACTGTAACTAATAAAAATCTCCTCCAATGGCTTCAAAAGAGAAAAGTGAAACAAAATTTAATCATTTTACCTGTTTATGAAGGTATTTCCCTTTGAATGAGCTCCAAAGTGCGGTGAAAAAGCTTTCAAAGTCTGACTCCTCATAACCTCCAAGAAGCTCCTGGAAAAAAATAATTTCAATCATTGCAGATCTTATCCATTACTGTCATCACTATTATTATTTTTTTCCATATTTTATTTTATTATATGGCTACAGTAGTACGTGCATGCACACCAGGAGCCCTGTGCGCACTGATTGGCTGTTTTCTTGTAATGTTCAGGCATTACTAGCTAGGTGTCCAAGGCATATGCAATCTGTGTTTGAACTTGATAGTGGACATCCTTATAAACATCCGTATTATGGTCAATTGACAGCTGTCAAAAAGGGTATCCGCTGACCAGTATCACCTGACTGTATTGTGGGCTCAATTGTACAACTCATTGAGGTGTTGTGTTTTTTAAAGTTATCTGCTGACCAGTTGTTGGTTTTAATTGATTGCAGGCTCAGGTCCATAATGAAAAGGTCACAATAATAATAAATAACTTATTAACCTCGTCCATTCAGTCCTTACAGCGAAATCTCAGACCTCACCCTTGATGTATTAACCGGGCAATACATCAAGGCCTCAGTCTGACATTTCCCGGTAATGACCTCACTCTTGGTTAATGAGTAGTATACAACATTGTAATAACATAATCATTATTATTTTTAATATTACTATTAATAATTGCTACTACAATGGTTATAACCTTACTATTGTCATCATGATCATCATTATTTCATTATTATCACTATTTATGAGACTTGATTTAGCCGAGATGCTGTAGTAATACTGTGTATGTTTTGTATTAATTAAAAGTAAAGATTTGAGAGTATAAAATGGCAAAATACAGTGGTGTATTACAGACACTTACTCTAGCCTCATCTTCAGTGTATTTCTTATCCATGAGTTCAGTATCAACAAGTTCTTGGATTGTGAGTCTGTAGTGAAGACATAGTACATATTATAATTATTTATATTGAAAAACTGCAAAAAAAAAATGAAAATGTTTTCATAATAAACCCAGCAGTAGGGCTATAATGGTAAAATAAATTCACCCTTTCCGTGAATTTTTCAAAAATAATAAATAAATACTAACATATTTTATGGATGAAAATTGTTTTTTTGACAAGCCTTGAAAATACCAGAATGTCTAAAAAATGTGCAACATATTCACCTTCCATCAGCACTAGTATCAAGAGCTTTAAAAGCAGCCTCTGCAGATGCTCTGTCTCTTTCAGCCAATATCTTGACCTTGGTTTCTAAATAAAAGATTATGAGAACAGAACTCATAAGGCATATCAACTGAAGGATAACCAGATCCATGCAAAAACCTTTCCACATGGCACGCTACAGAACTAAGTTAGGGTCAGGTAGGTGCCCTGTGCACCGTTTATTACGAATGAACCACAGGACAACCAAACAATTCAGAATAAATTTCACATTTGAGAAGACACAGAAACGTTTTGAAACTTGACAAAAAGTCCCCTCCCTACCCACCCTCTGGTTTTGCCACAATGCCATCGGTTACCCAGCCCCCCATCCACTGTTAGACCTGTCAATGGACTATCTTCCCATGATCTGGCCTTATTGTTGTTGTATTGTAATTGAATAAGTGTGAATAAATGAACTTGAACTTGAATTAAAAAAACCCTACAAATATTTGCCACAAAGATGTCCAAGCCAAGCCTAATGGCTCCATTTTAATAAAACCGGACAAAATAATATGGTATTCATGTTGTTAAGACCCTAATTTAAGCACAATAAAGAATCTAACCTTCCCATGCTTTTTCATGTTTATCCTTGGCTTCCTTTTCAGTTGCCTCAACTTCCTCTTTTTTCCCTGAGTATACAATAAGGGAAAACAATAATATATAAATATGTAAAAGACAAAGAGTAAAATGTTATTGCGAGTGTCTGGTAGATTAACAATTTTATTTCCTGGCTTAAACTCCTGATTTCCACCTGTGTACCAGAGCCACTGCCTATAAGGAGACTCATTAGGTAAGTTGTAATGAAGATGCTTCTTAAGTATAGATGCTTGTAACATTATTGATAGTACCTTTCAGTTCTTCAACCAAAGCTTTCTTATCTTCCAATTGTTTCTTAAGTTCCTCAAGCTTTTGCTAAAAGGGATTTTAAAACAGGAATGATTTTTATACGAAATTAATCTAGATTATAAATGCAAGCAAAAAGGTACATGACAAGCTTAAATCAATATGCAATAAGAAAATTAAAAAGTGATCACAAAAGAAAGTCATGCACTGTCCAATTTAACAGCGTAACAAAGTTCTTTAGCACCAGGTATAAGCTCCAAACATTTAGCTCTGGGGTGACATTTAGGTAGTACTGTGCCAAGTCCTCGAAGAATTTATGGGGAATGACTACTTTGGCTCTTGGGGAACTGATAATATGAACCATGGTTAATAGTTACCCTCGGCCATCTCCCAAAATAACTAGATGTAAAACCAAAAAACACATACCTTTCTTTCTTCTTTTGTCTCTTGACCCTGTCTGCTGTAGTCTTGTTTTACAGCGAGACCCTTGAATCAAGAAAATCATGGATACCAGCTTCACAGTCTCATACAATTGTGCATATTAGCCCTATTTTTACCATTAAAGTTTCCACTTATCAGCTTCCTAATTCTTGTAGCTTTGTAATATTATTAAATTGTACATTTATCTTTTAACAACCAGTAGACATGAGTAGTACGAGATGTCACTTAGATAGAAGCAAATAAAAAAAAAAATGAGCTGATTACTTCCCCTCAATGCGTCTCTGATCTAACCCTACTGTAGCTCTTACCCCCAACTCTAACCCTTAAGCCATACAATATCTTAGATTAGGGTTGGCATCAGAGGTCGTGGATTTAAAGGATTATCCATATGTATGTATAGCCCTGAGCTACATAGTAATTGCAAAGACCATGGAAACAAGTTAACTGAAAAATTATTTAAAACTGCAAAGTTGGGTGAGAAGGTTTAGATACCTGCTTTGCTAGTTCAGCTTCTTCTTTCTGTTTTTGGTAAAGTTCTTTATAAAGTTCCCTGAAATAAATTTATGAAGCAAGGTTGTTGATCAGGTTGAATGGAATTAATTTTTATTCACCAGTGACAAGCCTGTTCCTGGAATGAGACATCATAACTGCATGCTGTAACTACTTTCTACGTTTTTCAATTCGTGTAAAGTTAACAAAAAATGAGAGTAATGTTAAAACAAAAAAATTCTTATACAGTTTACATTTTCTCAATTAGAGTAATAACGAGAATATAACAGAATATTAAGTTATCTTGTTGCCAAGCAAACTTTCACTTAAGGCAATCACATGTGCCCAAAATGACTTGGTGAAAGGCCTTTTACTCTCCTTTCTCTCTTTTTGGCCGGAGTAAACAAATCATCTCTGACAAACTGTAACATTCACAGAGAAAGGTCACAAGATGTATTGTTACCAACAGAATGCCTAATTTGCAAAGAAAAAACTTAGTATTACTAGCAGAATTTTACTATAAAAATTGATTGGTTATTTTGTTTACTAGACCTACGAGATTCTTATACGTGTAATTTTTCATATCTTACTTGCAGGTATTTGGACAACTGACTGATCCATCGTATTCATCACTGCCATCACAGCAATCTGAATGTTAAAAATATAATATATATATTTAGCCACGGCTAAAGGCGAAGTTCCAGTTAATAAATAGACAATCACTTAAACCTGAGCCTGCAATCAGTCGAAAACTTGTAACTTGTCAGCAGAGAACTTAAAAAAAAACACATAACCTAGATGGGTCGACATCTGAGCCTGCAATATGGTCATGTGATACTGGTCAGCAGACACCATGTTTTGACAGCTGTCAATTAACCACAACATGGATGTACAATATCAGGTTTCAGGCTCCCACACTAGCTAAAAGGTTGACATTTAATGTTGGTTCCCCTGCGATGAGGACAGACGGGTGGTTGGGCGGACAGACAGTCATGTGATTACCAAAATTTCTTGGATGGATAGATGACCACATTTTCTTAGGTATAGGGCTCTGCTCGTGCGCAATTGGGGCGTGCATGGAACTCCACTATTATTAATATTAATATTCTAATAGCCACAAATACTTGCACCATATAATAATTATTACAAAAGTAAAAATATCACTCAATGTACATGTAAATAAATTCCTGACATACCACATAAGCCATCATTTACTCTTGATGAAGGAATGTTCAATGGTCTAAATCCAGCATTTGTACAGTGAAATATTCCATTGGAGCAAGCTGAAGTTCCTAAAGGATCGAGTTTAGAATTTTAGTCATAATCTTGCATCGAAAGGTTTCAATGATTTAGTCAATGCTTATCCCTCCCACCCTTAGTACAGGTGTAATGATAAAGGGGTTTGGGGGGGTTAGCCTGGGAACAGGCTTCGCATGGTGATTTTGTTACCTCCGCGTCCTTTGTCCCTGACACATAAAAATCCCCCAAAATGCTAAATAATTCATGGTATGCATCCTGTAGGACACAAGATCGATCACCGATCTGAACATGTGTATTTGTAGAGATATTCGGACCATTTGTGTAATTTCTGTGGCAGTTATTGTGGCTGTTGTTGAACAATGCATATTCTTTTAGCCTTCGTTGTGTATTAAAATAAAAAGACTATATTTTAATTTCAGTATACTGTAATACAGAGTTTTGGAGTCTGTCTTCAGATTAACTGTCTGGTTACATAATGGCCCAAGCATTTTTAACTGGGACTCATATTGTTTCACAAGATGGGTCCCAGGAATCACCATAACAATTTGTAACAAAATCACTGAAAACCCAAATAACAGTTTATTGATGTTGCACCATTTGGCAAAAAATGGAGATGGCTACCATACCTGGTTCATCAGAACCATCAGCACAATCACAATAATCATCATTTACAGAATTAAAAGGAACTGTTAGAGAGCCATCAAAGCAAGTGAAGTCTTTTGAGCTATCAAAAAATGGTAACCCTAAAAGGAAAAAACAAAAAATATGCATGAAGCACATAATTGTTGGAAATGGTAATGATTGGTTTGTCAGCTGAAACCATAGAAACTTAGTGCTTCATTAAACAATAACACTAAATCTTCTCCAGACCTGCATTCTTCAGCTTCCTTTTATCGAACTTTACATTGTTTGAATGTGCAATTACAACTTGCCGTTAATGAAAAACTTAACTCTTAAAATCACACTGCATACAAGTTTAAAGGGTTAAACATGGAAGGCAAATTAAGTTGCATCCAGATTTACCCTTTCTGCTGGGTTTCAATTATTATACAAACAAGGTCTTACACCGATTCAAGAGATAATTATGACATAGTTTCCTCATGTAAAACCAAGGCTAAATTATATCATCATTACCTAAAACAAAATAGAACAATACTCTGCAGTATCGATAAGTCCTGGAGATTTTTAACCACTATGAACCAGATTTCCAGCGCAGATCGCCTCTATAAACGTTTAGATACAGTAGAAAATACTTACTAGTTAGAGCAACCCCTCTTATACTTGATGCTGATGTTGTATATAGGCTAAACAAACGAAGACAGAGGAAACATAAAGAGAAAATTTGTATTCGAAAAAGAAATTGACATGCCGCCATGTTGGATACACGTGTCGTCAATGGAGGAGTCTGAGGTGAGCCTCGTTTGCATGAACTGAAACACACTGGAAACGAACAAAGTTGATTTTCCCGCCAATAGACCGCTGAGAAAAAAATAGCCGTCTCGTCTTCTCAAGTTCCCGTTTTTGGTCTGATGGCTGAAGAACTCAACACGACGACACTGGTTGGTACCCGAAAATGAAAACTTACTGCACGAACAAGATGACTTGCTTCAAGCGGTTGTATTAGCATGCAATGGAAACTCTAGGAAATCTCCCACGAGATGCAGAAAGGTATTAAAGGTCGCTTGCTTGTAATTTTGACCTAGAAGACGTGAGAAATGCGTGGCTGTCTGAAGCCGTTTTCGTCATGTCTTAAAAAGTGGATTGAACATACACCGCGTTTTTCTTCTTCGCCGGTGGTTTCCTTATGTGGCTATCACAACGACCCTTGTCTCCAAAAAAACACTCTTATGAACTAGATTACCCCAAACGAATATTTTGTGTCCCACTTGAGCTCATGTCTGTTCCTTGTTGATCTTTAAACCCTGCTAATAATGTAGATGCGATGACAATATATATTGTACTTGACAAGAATTATATGCCCTTAAAATCTGAATTTAAGTTACATTAAGTCAAATTATTGTAAATGAAAACTTTTCTTGTGAAAGTGAAAGAAGTAGCTTCAAATGTGTACCTTGCATATTTTAAGAACTTTATTTGCTCACCTAATAGATAGAAAATCCGTGCATTGCAGTCAGATAATTAAACATTTCCCCTTGAATTCAGTTTCAGTGCATTTCCACGTTATTTCCGCTTACGGAAATGCACTTAATTCTAGCTACTTTTTAGTTTTTAATTTAGCTGCTTTCTCTCGTTAGAAGATATACTCTAACATTAAGGCAAGTTCTCCATTTTTCTAGAATCTGTCGCATGTAAATGAGGAAATACCACTAAATTTTTATCAACATCATAGTTTTCTACTTTGTATCCTCTTTATGCATTGTAATTAGGGGGGAAACATTGGTGAAAAATAATCCCGTACTAGAGTCAGTAAGGCCTGTATACACAAGTGGGCAAGTTGCGGACAAAATTAATTTTAAGCAAAAAAATTAATGTTGTGACAATAGAATTGTGTCCTTGCCAGAGAATTTTGTTTCTTTTTTTAAGATTGTTAGTGTCAGTAAAGGGGACCTGTGATTACCCCAGTAACCTGTCTTCACTCTGTGTACTTAATTGCAACATGAACTTTGTTGTTTCAGGTGTTAAATTAAGCCTTGAAAACTTGTCATGCCAGTGAATACAAACCAGTGTATAACAGCCCTGTATAATCCGGTCACCCTGTATATTACAGTCACGGCAACTTCCCAAAATTTTCAGTTGCCTTATATTTTTTGCAAAGTTTACCTGTATATAGCGGTCACCCTGTATATAACAGTCACCTTGTCACAGGGTGCAAAGAAAATCATTTTTACAGCTTGCCATTCGGGCAAGCTAAAGCTAGCACTTACTAGCCCAGACGTCATTTCAACTAGCCCCCAAAACTTTTTGTTCTTCTGTTATTCAAATTCCTCATAAAACATCACTTGCCCGTCGGGCAAGTTAAAAACAGAATTCACTAGCCCGATAGTTTGGACTGGTGGTTGTTGTACACAGGTTTGACTGTAATTTACTCTCTCTTTGTGAAACGAGTGCAAAAACCCCATGCAGGGCTGTCACTAAGCGCTGGATGCCTGGGAATTTCCCCTGGCTATTCTGAGCATAACTCACAGATGCTTTCATGGGACACAAAAGGAGACTGAACCAACCGAACTTTCTTGCTGTTAAACCACCACCTTCTAATTGCATATATTGCAGTGTACCCTGCAGCTTAAAATGGTAGTGACAGCCCTGCAGATGTATAAAAGAACTGATTACCACAGAAGAGCTTGGAGGGTATATTTTTTAACAGTGTGATGCTTCTTCTTTGTAGTGAAAGAGCAGCAAAGTTTTATGAACAAGCTCTCCTCTTGGTTGATTGTTGTAGGATCCCAGAGGCCATTAGATTGTTGGAACAGGTTTGTGAAATTCCTGTAGTCCTTATTAAAAATTAATATAAAATATTCAGGGTAAGGTACATTGTACCAAAAACAAAATAAGCGTACCTGTGGTAATTCAGGCTGATTTGCATTCTCTTACATACACTGTACCTTTTACTCAAAATAATTTTCTATTGGTCTCCATGTACTTGAATCCATATGCTGTCGTCATTTCCATCAATTTTTTCTTTAGGGGCTACATGCACCCATGTTTGGGTTAAAGGGCTTATCATGATCTGTGAGCTGTTATTTACAGCTAAATTCCCAAAGAGGAAGGATTTTAAACCATCAGCATCCTCACTCTCCCCTCTCTTCACTAACAAAGCAAAAATGTGTGATTGCAGGAATGTGAGTTTGCTTCTGTGTCCATGGGCTTTATCTGATCGTCTAACCATAATTTATTAATTTTTTCAGGCCATTAGAATCAGTCCTGATTCTGAAATCTACAAAGAATCCCTGGCTATTCTTCAAATGAGCTACTTTCCTTCAGAACAACAGGGTGTTAGCTATGCCAGTGTCACCAGACCAAAGCTGGACCAGGATGATGGACAAGATTACATCTCCTCATATGAGTGGAAGACAGAAACACGGAAGACCAAAGATAATCCAAATAAGACTTCTTGGTCCTCAACTTTGTCCTCGAGTTTCCATGATGTTGGTCATGAACAATCTAGCATTGAGAATCCTTGGGCATCTTTTGTGAAAAGAAATTCAAGGAGGAAAAAATCTCCCAGAAGTCCAATTGATGGTATTAGTGAAATTGAAATTCCTCCTGGAAATGATGACTTTTACTCAGGGAGTCCAAGTTACCAAGACAAAGAAAACACTCCTATATCAACTAACAACTCACAGAAAGGCAGGCATACGGATGAGAGGTCTGTGGGACATACACAGGAGCACTGTATTGACGGATCAGCTGATTTTGTGTTCAAAAAAGGCAACTGTGCTGAAAATGAAGGCACAAATGGTAATGGAAATCTTGATGCAAAATTTATGAAAGAGTTTTGTATGGCACGCGAATCGGCCACTGATGATTGGGACAAATACTATGAGGTTTTGTGTGGTGGAATAGAAGAAAAGGAAACTTGTAGTAACACAGATACTTTATGCCAAAACACAAACAAAGTTCGTGAAAGTTCTGATTATTTGGATGAAATTGATGAAATGGACAAGGAAAAATGCAGGAATTACAAAGGAAAGGACCACTTGACTGAGAGGCTTGATGGTAGCTCTAGTAGCAATGTTTGCTCAAAATGTGGACTGTCAAGAGAAAGTGGAAGTCCCTCGTCAAGCGGGACAAAAAACAGAATTCATTTTGTAAATGGGGTTTGTGTTTCTAGCCCAAGTGGACAAACTTGTACTTGTAACAAACAATGCAAAGTTAATTCACAAAGACAGTCTGCCAAGGATCCGCTTTCGTCTTCACAGCAGGAGTTTTATCATAATCTTCGACAATACTTCGGAAGCAGTAAAGTCAAAACTGGAAAGGCAGCAAAGGAAGTTGAAAATGATGAGAGGAGTTCTGAGTTAAATCAGAAATCTTCTTCAGCTTGTAGTTTTGATACAAATGTGTCAACAACCGCTGTAAAGAATGATGAACCTTTCAATGCTAAACCAAAACCTAATGTTGGTGAAACTGCACAACATAGTGTTAAAGGTGAATTGAAAAGCGAGAGAAGGAATTCAAGGGAACATGTCAATAACTGCAAAGTTACTGCTGCTGACACTGCCTCTGAGTCCAGAAAGGCGAAAACGTCGCTTGATTCCAATCAAATGAAAGCAGACAAGAAATCATCTGGTAAAGAGAAATTCCAACCTGTAGACAAACAGAAACAAAGAAGTCACAACAAAGTCCCAAGTAAAACCAAAGGATCAACAAAGGCTGAGCACTCAAAGGACAAGGTCGATGGTGAATCAAATGGTGATGACACACAAAGACAGCATTCCAGAGCAAACGAAGGTGTCAAATCAAAGGTTAACCACAAAAGAGGAGTTGCTGAAGACACCCCCAGACCTGCGCCAGAACCAGAAACCATAAAGAGACCAAACCGGAAACAGAAAGAAAAAAAAACCTCTACAGCAGTGGCTTATTGCACTGGGCTCATTGAAGCTGTTTATCAAAGAGGTATTTGTAGCATGTAGATTGTACAATGTATACTGCATTAATTTTTAGGTATGCTGCTCTTCCAAAGTAGCTCTCTCAATAAAAAGCTAAGTGGGAACCCTGTGTGGGTCACTTGGTTGGGTTAACTGTGTATGTCTTCAGTCACTCTTTGATGAACTATTTCAATGTATTTGGTGAGATTCGTGGAGGCTTATGAAAGGCAATTTTCTTCATGTAGGTTTAAAGTTGGCATCAAAGTGTCTCCATGTTTCGAAGTGGATTGCTTATTACGTCCTCTTTCTGGTTTGCTTGATCATCACCTTTATTCTATTCTGGTAAGCAAATCTATCAACCTACAGTCAAACCTTCCATAAGTGAACACCCAAAATGCAGAGACTGAGTGGTCGCTTACGGGAGGTGGTCATTTACAAGAATCAAACCCTGGGGGGCCTCTTCCAAGAAGAGGTCCAGGCACATCTACTTTGTGGAAAATAATTTATTGCATCCAATGTCTAACTTACAACATCTGTAGTTCCATGTTGTCACGATGCTTTTTGTATATTCTAAGAAGTATAATACACACAGCAAAAATAGAGATCAGCGAAGGCATCAAGTGGTCACTTACTATAGGTAAAAAACAATGGAAAATGATTAACCGTCAAGCCCAAAAAGTGGTCACAGTCGCTTACAGGAGGTGGTCATTTACTAAAGGTTCCAACTGTAAGACTTTGACTTGGAAAATTTTGGTGTTTTGGATTGGTGATCACTTACGAGAGGTGGTCTTATATGGAGGTTTGATTGTATTTTGATGTTACTGTGTTAGGCCAATGCAGGGGTTTCAATAAGCACCGACGACTGACAAAACTTGTCAGCTACACTTCTCAAAGAAGTTGGCTACTTTTTCCCCGAAGAAGAAGCAACTAGTTTGAATAATGTCATGGACAAAAATATAATTTGTTCTTGTGGAAATGTTTGTAACTTAGTATAATTATCATTTGTTCATTGCTTGCAGGAGTTAATTGTGTGGCTAATAAATCAGAATTTGACTAAAACCCAAATCTTCTTAAATGGAAAACTTGCTCTTTTATACTCAGTTTAGTCCCCTAAATGCTGGAAACTGCTTATTAGGGCTTTGCAATTTAAAATTTTCTGAGGAAGCATGCCCCCAGACACTCCTTGAAAACGTGGACTGTTGAAACAGTTGGTTACTCGATTCAAATCTGCTGGCTACTTCAAATTTTCTTGAAACCGCTGCCAATGGTAAGGGTCCAGGCAAGCTAGGAATCCTGTAACTAAATCATACACTAAGATTAGAAAACTGGATATTGACAAGTGAGCGATGTAAACTTTGTTATTTTATCTTCTCAGTGTTTGGTATACTGCTTCATGGCTGGTCAGAAAGGTGTTTCACTTTTTGAAAGTGGACAGGTTGTTTGGTGCGGTGAGGAGCAGAATCTCACCTCTGTTTGAGTGGCTTAGGAAGCGCAGAGGAACACAACAAACAACTGCTACACAAGGATCAACCTATGACTTACCCAAGAATGGTAATTGAGTGTACATTAGTGAGGGCCTGGGAAGTGTTTTGTTATTAGCCAAGATCAGTGCTGGCTACTGGCACATTTTTACAACTACTTTGTACATAACTTAGAGATGGAGGTTTTTGTTAAATATATGCATTTTGCTGTATTCAAATACAGAACTAATCCCTACAGCAAATCAGAGCTAAGCTCTAGCAGCACATGGTAGCCCATGCCGCCTTACCTCTTGATCAATAATATTAAGCAGTCTTAGCTTTTTTAACAGAAATCCTATTCTAGGCACCCTGGATTTCTCAGGTTTAGAGGATTATGCCCCCTTCAGTTTTCTAAGAGCAGAGCCTTTCATAGTATGATCACTGAAAGTGTCTTCCTTTTTACCATTTTTTATTCAGGGGATGCTGCAATAACACACATGCTGCAAAATAAGGATAGTGACCCATACAGGTCTGTGTGTAACAAGAATTTGCCTCAGGGGAAGTGTATGAAGTTTGTATTGGGTGTACATTGAAACTTGTGTTAACCAAATGCCTTAACCTTCTAATGCTAGTGTCTGGGTTATAGCTACATGTCTGCTTAATTCTGTTTAGTTTTACAGAAAATTAATACATGTGTGTATGAGGGAAAAACATTTGGGACTTAGTTAATATTATTTATCTTTAGTTGTGTGTGCTGAAGATGATCCAGGGTGGCTTGTTTACATATAGATGAAAGCATTAGCAAAATGGTGTTTATGTGCATGATTAGCATAACTGTTTCAACTGTTTCAACTGTTTATTAATTATCACAAATTTTACAGAAAGCAATATCCACTGCCCGCAGTTAGCAGGTTAGCTAGTCGAGGCGAGCAGTGGTTACACGTATGTAATACATATACATATAGATCACAAGAAAGACTAGAGAAAAAGAGTAGTTAAATAAATAAACAAATAAATAAAAATAAATTCAATTTAATTGAGTTTACAATCATGGACATTGCAAATATAAGAAGCCAAGTTTTCAGGAAATTTTTGTTATTAAGTCAGGTAAATCAATATAATCATAAGGCACCATTAAGGCAACAGCATGAAGACTGCAGAAAAAGAGGAGTTTCATGAGAAGCTCAACTTTTTCTTGTGTTTATACATGCACTTGTGCTGTGTCATTTACACATAATAATGACAATGACTAGCTACATGTAAATTCTTCCATTCCTCCATTTTCCCTCCCATCCATTCTTTCGTTGCCATTGCCAAAATAAATAAAGTACAATGAAAAGTGTAGATAATGAATTCATAGCAATTGGTGGTTTGTAATATTGCAGTGTCCTTGGAGTACCTAGTGATGCTTCAGATGATGATATTAGAAGACAATACAGGAAACTTGCTGTACTAATACACCCAGACAAGGTATGGGACACTTCATTACGTGGTATAATTCTACTACATTTGTTTTAAATGATAGACTGAAAGCACAGTTTGGAAAAGGACATCATCAGCAACTCCTCTTAGACAAGTCAAGTCCTGGTATAAAAGAATTATGGTTGGAGACATGCCAAGTTGAGGAGATCCTCAATCAGGAATCTAAGACCTTATGGAAAAAAAATGAAACTTAAAGACACAAACACACAATAATGATGTGACTTTGTGGGTGATCAGAAGTGATTCCCAGTTATTGAGATTGCCAAGCCTTTCCTTAAGTGTTGTGTTGCTAACATCCTATTTCTACAGCTGGGTGGCGACAGACCGTAATTGTGGCACAGAGCTTCAAAGCTGAGGAAGAACTAAATGGCAGTGAATTGCATACTTCAAATTCCTACTTTCAAAATTTATCCAACTTTTGAACATGTCACCATGCAACAGAACTACCATGAGAATTAATGATTACCAGCAATGTTAATGTTACTTTTTCTCTTAGAACCCACATGGTCAAGCTGATGAAGCATTCAAGATTCTTGCCAATGCTTTTGACATTCTTAGTGATGCAGTAAGTGCCCAAAACAGTACCTACATGCAGATTAATAATTTGTTTTGCTAGAATAGAACATTAGAATAGGGAGGAGAAGTCGTTATATCACATTGCCGTGGTAGCAAAATTTTTGGATGACAACAAACGGAAAATTCTCTTAAAAAAGTAACTTCGCATTGTCTTAAACTTCATCGATCTTATTCAATTTCATTTAATTTGTCAAATGCTTGTGACATTTCCTGGGTTGAATCCAAAAGGACCGTATCTGAGTTTAGAAAAAGGAAAAGAAACCTTCTGTGTTGTGTTCAACTACTCCGTAAAGTGGGCGCGTGAAATGAGAAAGTTTCATGTCGCAGTCGTGCAACGATGGCTAACAAATGTGCATAAAGGTGTGATGCACTTGCAAAGTGTTGTTGTTTTACTGATAATTATAGTCTTATTGCTTTTTTTGCCGTTCTTGTTGCCGTCGCCGTCGTTGTTGCCTAAGCTCCCTTTTGTTAACTTCCATAAATTTTTGCTACCATGGTAACGTGACGTCACACTTCTCCTCTGTATTAAATATTACATAAAAATACTGTGAAAGAGGGTGCATTTATTTCAGTCACATAATTGGATTTCATCCATGCTTCAAAAGTTAAAACTGTGCACTAAATTTAGGCATCCTACTGATGAACAGTTGGGACATGTAGATACATTTTTTAGCAACTACTATAATTTGCCGTCTGTCTACTTTGAATACATTGGACCTTATGAAAAAGTACTGCACCCAATAATATATTCAAAAGGTGGATTTGTTGGATGGATAGCACCATCCAACATTTCAACATCCAAAGCCTGGTGATGTTTTATTTGAATAGTCACAACCACAGGATTCCCTTGATAGACACATCAGTTGTGATTACGTACACTTCACTGGGTATTGTTTGTTAAGATTACACTTGTAATAATTTACAATGTATGTTTAAAACAGGATAAGCGCAGAGATTATGACAGAGAAATGGCGTGGAAGAGGAGAGAGGAGGAATGGGCAAGTGCCAGTAGAAAGGTAATTTTAACCTTATAACAACAATAATTATCCCTTACTATTCGCCATTGTGGCATTGCCTATAATATACCTCATTTCCCCGTCAACATTTTGCTAAGATATTGTTTGCAGTTTCTCGTGGGCATTGCAGTGATCCTAAGACAAACTGAAAACTATGATTTTGGGGAATGCAAAAGTAGCACCCCCCCGGATGTGATACCAGTCCAATACAACGCTGGAAAAGAGTTTACAACTGGCTCATATTTGCCCGGAAAACGGAGACATCGGCTAATTTTTATGGTGCGGTTTAGTAACACTGTAGTATATTCCTTGTAGGAGGGAAGTTCTGGCCATCCTTCCAGTCCTGAACAATTTTTTGCTGATCTTGGGAAAGAAGATGCAAGAGGTATGATACTGTCATAGATCACGCAACTATTCCAGGGGTAGATTGATCAATATGTTGTTGACAGTTAAGTTAGTATATTACGTAAAACTTAAGCTTGTCCAAAATGTATGAATATTTTGCACGTCCAGTGAAAAGATTTTCAGTCAATTGGTGATGGGGGAATTATCCCTGTAAGGATCGAGGAAGGCAACTCCAGTGGCAATAATTACAGTGTGAAGCAAATTTCTTCTCGCGGCACAACCAATCAGAAGTACTACACAGATCTGGGTAGTAACGCGTCATCAGTATGGAATTTTTGTGCTCGTTTCTCAGACGTCATTTCGTGATAAAACTAGTGATGGCGTCGAGAAATGTCGACTGATTTCTCAGGGTATTATTTTCCTTAGGGATAGTTGAGCAAGCGAAATACGCGAGGGTACACCCCCTGGAAAATGAGGGATTGCTCATAGTCTCACACCAATTTTTTAACAGCTTAACTAATAGAGCCTGTTCCAGGTGGTCAGACAGTGGATTATGGCGCAAAGTCAGCGAGCGGGAAAAAGTAAGGGAGAGGGAGAGGGAGAGAGAGAAGGGAATGCTCACTCCCTACCCCACCCCTCGGTGTTTTTCCTGTTCACATCTCTCTCATTTCTTGCACTGTCCCACAATCTGAACGGCTGTGACAAGGCTAAGACTAACGCGTATGCATCATACATAAGTCTCAGATTTCTCTCTTTTCTAACGCAGATGCAAAATTATTTACACTGTAATCAGTGCGATGGAAAACACCGCCGCTACAGCACAGACCGGTTTGTTCTGACGGCGCGGTATTGCAGTCGTTGTAACACAAGACATGCTGCAAAAGAGGTAAGGAATCACAATGTTTTAGTGTCAAGGGAAAAATTCTCCTTACCGAGCTCCATTCATTTCCTATACTGCTAATAAGGATAAGTTGTTTTCATATCGGCTTCGGTTAAATTTGGCGATCATGTTCTCCTTTTTGAAGAACTTGATCATCTCAATCTAATTTTATTCTTTTGTTTTGTTTGTTTGTTTTTTCCAGGGAGATTTGTGGGCGGAAAGCAGTTTTCTTGGTTATAAGATTCACTTCTACGCTTGCATGGAGGGTGAAGTCTATGATGTCACTGACTGGGCAGCGTGCCAGGTACATCTATACACTTAGCAGAAATTCTCAGATTTACCGTCATTGCGCTCTGGGTATCAGAGCCACGAGAAAAACTTGCGAAATCGGAAAGCGTGCGTGATAATTCTGGGTACCCAGGGCGCACAGATTTTCGATATCTACATTGGAGTGCTATGAAAGTGCCAAAGGGGTGTTTTATGGTGCGAGGCAGTAAAAACGTCTTTATTTTGACCATCTGATGACTGCAAGTAATCATTCTGGGAAGGACAGTGTTTTATAGGTGCCTACCTCAAGGCAACAGCGGCCTTCGGAGCCTGTTATTTCAACGAGGGATTATTTTTGTGGTCCTCTTAAATGGTGTTCAATCAAAAATTACATTTGTACAACACAACTGGGTAAACAACTGGGTACGGCATCCTCGTTCAAGGGTTTCTCTCCTACTCTTGCTCTGAACTAGCCAATCACAACAGAGGCAGAGTATCCGTTGGACCAACCAGAATTTTAAACGTTTAGCGCGGGAAAAAACGTGGGCGAGCAATTTACGATTGGTTGGTTTCTTATTGGTTAAAAGTGGCGGGAAATCAAAGCAAACGTGAAATTTCCTTTTGAAACAATTCTGAAAAAAAAGTGCTTAAGAAAAGACTTGTTGTTTGCAGGGTCTCGGCAATTATCGATTGGAGGCCAATCCTCATACGGTTCACCTAAAGCTCAAGACTCGACAATCCTATCCTGGCGGCTTTAACTCAAGGTAGGTTCGCTTATCTTATATCTAAATTGCTCTGTAGAGGGTTTCAATTGGATGGTGGCAGTTACAGTTAATGGTTAGTATTTTTCGCATTTCTACGGCTAAAGGTGAATTTCAGTCTCACCGTTACGGTTAACAGACATCTGAAGGAGAAAAAAATTGTTTTGAAAAAAGTCAAAAGTTTTTTTTTTTATCTAGGCTTCTAAGAACCTTTTCAAAATGGAAAACACAGGTTGAAATAGTGTCCATCAGCAACTAGTTCATTCATTTTTTTCAAGCGCTGTTGAAACTTTCTCCTTGACTAGTGGCCTTAAAATCTTTTACGGTTAACTAACGATTTAAACAACACCGTTCGGTTCTTACGCGTTGTTTCCCTAACAACTAAAATGTTTACCCAGGTGTTTTTGCTGGGGGTAACCCTGCGATGGACTAGCATCCCGTCCAGGGGCGACTGTGACCATTTTACCTTCTTATTACGACTAACGATTAAACAAGTTCGGTTCTTACGCTCTAGTATTTTTACGGCCGATTTTTGTGTATTAATTTTTTGAACATGAAACTCAAAGCTTTCCCAAATTCTACCCATTTTTTGTTGTATTATTCTCCATCTATTCAGATTTTACCTTGTAAAATGGTTTTTGTTTGCTGCTTTTTTACAGGTCAGAAGAAGAAGATTTTGAAAATTTCATGCGTGCATTTTTCGGTCAGTTTAACCCGCCTAGGGAAGAACGAAACCAAGGATCAAATAAGCAGCCCAAGAAACGCAAGAGGAAGAAGCGCTAACTAACAGCTGATGGGTCCTACATAGACCGCTTGTGTTGTGTAAAAGCCGTCAGAGCTAACGTGTGACCTTTTTTGTGCTAAGGGTTTCTGATCGTATATTCTTCTTCGAAGTAGTCTTCGGTTGAGTAAGCGTCCACAGACTCAAAAGTTAGTACCACCTTGTACCGTATAATAAGCAATACCACGGGAAAGTGATGCTCAGTAGCTGCTCTTTGTTGGTCACTGTTAGGATTAGGTTTCTAAGAGTGGTAATACTGCAGGATTCTTGGGTTAGAACTACCTTGAAGAGTACAATAATTAGACTCCTGGACGAAAAACTACAGTGTAACCATTCAAGTGATCATTTTCCAGAGGGTTAAGTTTTCTTTTCTCGCTCTTCGTAAGGGAATGGCTTGTTTAACCTTAAGTTAGACAATGAGCAGTTTTCTCGATCTTCGTTCTTCCTTCTTTTTTTCTTTTTTCGAAAAAGAAAAATTCCACGCGCGCGACTGCTGCTGACGCCCTCGCTGTTCGCGTGCGTACCACCCCGACCAACTTCGAAGAGAGTAAGGGATAGAAAAAAATTAAAAAGAAAAAAAAAAGAAACTGCTTTATATCAAAATTCAATTCATAACCTGTAGGGTTACAGTTCTTAAAAAACATTAAGTGTTGTGAAAACAGAAACCGTGCTGTTTGGGGGTTGATTAGCGAATATATCTTTAAGAATGTCAGCCGATATAATATTAAGTGCATACGTGGTGAGGTTTATATAGAATTAATACTTAAAGCATAATTGTTTAAGAATGAAATATATATTTTCTTGTTGAGACAACACGAGTCGGTATAAGTTAGGTTTTCTAACGCCATTATATACAAATAATACTTTCATTGGTCGCTTTTGAGTTATTAATATTTAAATAAAATGGATATTTTTCTGTATTGGTGTCCAGGCCCTATTGTTTACGCACCATCAGTGATGGGAAGAGAGGTACCCTGGGTGCCAGGTTGCGCGGTTTCCGCTCGTGTCAGTTCGGCCTTTGGCCGAACACGTGTCGGCCTGCGGCCGACAAAACGAAGTTCCCCGTCGCACACGAGAAAAAAAACCTCCGGTACCCAGGGTAGAAGAGAGGTGACTTGCATCCTCAAAATAGTTCTATATATATCACCTGTGAGCAGAGGTTTCTCTCTTGCATGGTTTTTAGCGTACACGAGGTCGTTTGCGTCGCTTGTTTGTCGCGTAATTGACAAACCAAATAGCGTAAAATTCCGAAAATAAGCCATTCCATTTAGAAGCCCCTCCAAATATAAGCCCCATAACATCGTAACGCAAAAAATCCTCCGTTAAATCGCCCCTCCGAATATAAGCCCCCTGGGAGGCTTGTACTTGGAATTTGCCCTCGAGTACAAAGTAAAACAAAGCAAAAACGGTAAGTTTCCTTCCCACTAAAAGCTAGCCCAATCGATTTTGAAACGCAAATTTCCCTCCGTACATAAGTCCCTCCGACTATAAGCCCCTCCAAAAATAAGCCCCTCAAAAATTGCCTTCGAAAAATATAAGCCCCGGGGCTTATTTTCGGAATTTTATGGTATGCGACAGACAAGCGACGCGAACGACTTCGTAAATGTTAAAAGACATGCGAGAAACGTCTGCTCATTAAGACTTTTGTACTTGGGCCATCGAAGTTATACTAAAAATAAACGACAAACAGCGGTAATAAACATCGTGAACTTTGATCGCATTTTTTCTAAATTTGACGCCTCGGATGCTAGTCAACATATATTTTCAAAAGTGATCTAAAGTTACTTTCAGATTATGATCATTTTTAGATTTGAGAATGTATGTTGACGAAGCGTCAAATTGACTGGCTGCCAAGACCCATTATGGCTCTTGCTGGCTGCCCAAAGTACAACGTCATCTCTTTAAGAAGTATCCAACCTTCGACTGCAGTCCCCCCCCCCCCTCTCCCTCCCCCAAACCCCCCGAAAAAAATATATATATATCCAGAGTGAGGATGAAAGGAGTGTCCTTTCATTTACCCAGACATAATACGCTCCGCCGTACACAAAGTACTTACTGTGTGTTCCCATTGAGGTAACGCTGGACATGTGCTGGCTCGTTTAGTAAAATTTCCAACACTGAATCTGCCAAGGAGTGATTTGGAGCGGAAAATCCGAATTTACAAACGAATGAAGAGCGCAACGGCTTTCGATTTTCCCTCAGAAGATTACATTGTTATATACGGTTGAACAGAACTGTCTCCATGGACAAATACAGTAAACTTGTGGTTGGGATCAAAGTTGACATACAGCGTACCGATGGTAGGTGAAGTTCAATTTACAACACAAGAACAACAAAAACCATTTTTCTCTTAGGGCTCAGGAAAATCGACGACCAACCTACTTTTTGCATTCATAAAATATAGTGTAATAACTTTTTCATAGTGCGGTGTCAATTTTTTCAGGGTTTGTTACTGTCGAGTAAATTACCCGGCGCGTTAACATAATTTGAAGGTTGTTTGCCTGTGTATTTGAGTGATACAAAGTGTAAACATCTCATCTCTTTACCTCCTCGCCTTAGTAACGACGCTTTCCTTTTTTCAGGGGGAAAATCGGTTTAAGTATTATGCGTTTTAAAGTGGGTTTCATCAATCAGACCTTGTGGAAGATTCTTATCTACATAGCTCTAACATAGATATTCATACATTCTTCATATAATAAGGAATGTCTACATTCAACACGATAAATAAAAAGTTTGCAGTTATTTATCTCCTCGGCGTAAATCTGTAGTTCTCTATATGCACCAGTACCAGCACGAATCAAGAAATCTGTAGTCCCAAGAACAATTTATTATTTCTTTAAAAAGAAAAACTGGTATATTGAAAGAAAATATGCTAAAAAAATGACATTCAGCTGGTAACTTATATGATTTATTGACACCCTATTTCTTAAAAAAAAACATTTGCTTAACAGTAATAACAATATTATTCTCTGGTACAAAAATACTTATACCAAGGCTATCAAGCACTGACAGTACCCTTTGAGCACTCAGACCCCTTTATCTTCCTAAGATCATAGCTGAATATCTCCTTTGTCTGACTGTATATTATTATTATTTTTACTCTAGGACGCATTCACTCCTCAATGATAAGTGGCATTAACTTGGACACAAAAAGTGTGACCGTAGAATGGTATGAAAATGGGGAAACAAAAGGGAAGGAGGTAAGATTTATGTTGTTGAGTTATTTTTATGGCAGTTTCATTGTGTTGTGGATGAGCTGATATACACTCACCAAAAAGCAAACTGCAACATGTTAAAGGCAGTCTGGACAATATCTTTAACATAAAATCATAACACACTATGCTGCTAACTGTACATGTGCCACCAATTTTTTTGAGTTCTGTTTTTTTGTGGAGATCCTGTATTAATCACAGAATTAGTTCCTTCAATGCACAAAAATAGCCCACCCCCAAATTGTAACTCCTGAAAAAAAATAATGACTTTTTGGCCCAAATAATTTATTGAAAATTGTCTCACCCACATGCCTGCTGGCTGCAACCAATCAAGTTCCTTGCTTATTTTTATGCTCAGAACCTGTGAAAAGTCTTTCTCTATTTATGTGATCCTTAGGATCACAATATTCTCACATGTCAATGATTAATGAGACAATAACTGTCTCATTATTTCATAAGTGGTATTATGCTTCACTGGTCTTCACTGTGAATAAATATGACACAACACACTCTCAGTCAGAAGAAACATTTTTTTCTATATATTTTTATTACACAAAAGAAATGTTTAAGGTATCATGAAAGCTCATACATTCTTGCAATGTTGTCTCAAGTCTTCTGTGGTTGAATTTAAATCTTGCTGTTTTAATATTATTATGTTTTGAACAGACAGTTTTAGCCTGGGGCAAGTATTTTTTTTAATCTTTCTCATGTGGTTGCAATTAGTTTATTAATATTTGCTTGGAAATAGAAAAAAATTACTGTGTTATTATTATTTTTTTTTTTTGATTGTGCTACCTTGTAATGTTCAATCAAATACCAACAAAAAAAAATGTAGTCAGAAATGTAGATTGTTGTCAAAAAATCCACTAGATCTCTAAAATAATTACCACAAGTTATGTAAATTAAATTTGACTTCCTAATGTGTGTTATGACTTTAGTTATCTCTTTTAAATGGTCAACCCAGTGGATGGCAGTAAACATTTTGTTCAGCCCATACCTGCATATATTTTCTCCACACTGCTTTCCAATGCATACATTTTTAAAAAATAATTATTTATAAGCCACACTATACATTCCTGCTCATTTGGGATTTCATCTGTGATCAGCACATAATGAACTGCAATGAAAAGGAGGAACTTATATTATTATTGTAACTCTGACAACATTCAGCCATTCTCACCTGAGGATCAAGGTCTCTAGATCTAATACTCATTCATTGTGTTCATTAGGGATCATAGTTATAAAATCATAAAATTATTTTATGCATCTCTCCTTTCATTGCAGATTGAAGTTGACCAGATTTTTGCCCTGAATCCCACCCTTGTTGTTCAACCAAAGCCCTCAAAACCAACAAACAAAAGAATTTCTTCAACACCAGTCAACAAGGTATGTGATTGTAAACAACTGCTTTGTTCAAATGTCATAAATTAATGGTGACTAGAATTGTCCCTGGCACTGATCAGTGCAGCCTGTATCAATTTGATGTTAAAATGTTTCTTACTTGATTTTGCAGAATGCAAGAAATGAAAGTCACTCGGTGTCTTCTCCAAAAGCTTACACACCTTCAGGTCTAACGATTGTTTATTTAATCATGTTGTCCCTATCCAGTGCATGAATTCTCCTCTGAAATCTTGATATTTCAAAATTGATTCACATTGTTAGGAGGTTTGAGAAATCATGTGTTAAAGTTGGGTTTTTTGGTTTGAATCATTAAGAGCTTCAAGAAACCAAGGGTTTATGAAATCAAAATTCTTCTATTGAGTAACTTTGTGTTCTTCTCCAACAGTATTTTTTTCCTGTCAAACCCATCTCTTAGCCTTTTGGAAACTTCAATGCATTACCCCTCTGTCATCTTAAAAATTCATTTATCACATTTAATTTGTTTACAAGCAATTGTCCAGTTTCGAATTTGTCATGGCCAAATAGTAATTGAAATATTCCAGAGGGTTTAATGTTGGTTAAATATATATTCTCAAATTGCAGTCAGACAAAGACCTGTGTACAACTGTGTAGTCCCATTGTTATTAACTCAAATTCAGGCACTTTCTCACCTCTATTTATGAACATTTTACTTTAGGCCGAGGCTAACCCTGTACAAATGAGTCTTTGGGGATTTTATTCAGCGGCCACGTACGGATTATTGTTGGTTTTGTCCAAATTGTGTTGTACCATGAATTGTCCATGCCACCCCCACAGAGTTAGGGTTTTTTGATATTAGGGACCTTCACCCCTTTGAAAATTATTTCTGTTTCTACTGTATTTTTATACTTTCCTTTAAAAAAATGGCCTTAAAGATCTCCATACCAGGTTCTCTGAATTAGCAGTAACCGTGAGTGGGGCTTAAGTATTGCTATTTATGTCACCACAATGTGAAGAAATCTTGGTGGCTTTGCAGGGAAAGTTGAGCGTCCAATGGCTCTGAATCTTGCAAATGAAGATGATGGAGGCCCACAGATAGAGATTCCACAAAAAGACAATCCAAGCTCCAATGCAGGTAAAGTGACTGCTGTGTGTGTATTTTTTAATGATCACTGTTCACTAAAAATTTGAGCACTCTCTTTCTTCCTTTTAAAAGCCACAATCCATTCATTTTATTATGGAGAAATTGAATTGGTGGGTTGCACTTTTATTTAGGGCTTTAAGTTACAATGCAGTGAAAACGTCTGGCTTAAGTTGCCTCTGTCTGTTCTTAAGAGTAAAACCAGCTATAATTAACGTATTTTTTTATTAATACTGAAATGAATTCTATTTATCAATAATTTTTCGTCAAATAAAGAATCATCCTCACAGTTGTGAATGCAATTTATGTAATTACATAAGAAACCTGAAAAAAATGCGATACTTCAGCGGGGATTGAACCCGTTGGGAGCTGGTCAGTTATGTTCATACATGTTCCCATGAAAGAGATGAATGTTGTAGATGTATATGGAATAAATCATATTCATCCATCAAAATAATAATTTTTCATTTTGGTACCCTTAACACTATTTTTCTTTTCCTCCCTCTACAGTAAATAGGAGAAGGTCCAACTGTGTCAAGGAGATTGAGCGTTTAAAAAAAAACAGGGAGGAAAGAAGGTAAATGGAAATAAATTTTGGATTTGCAAGCAACAACGCAGGCCAAATTCCTGAGTGTGTAAATTTGGTTGTTAGCACAGAGACGCAATCTGAACATTTTGATAGGCTTTTTTTATTATTTCTTGTCGAAAATTGAATGCTAAACTCGTCTATTGCACCAATCTTTGCAAGACATCAGATCCCTGGTACATAAGGTTTTAGGTCAGCCCCTTTTGTCTTAATTATTTGGAAAGAAAGTCCTTAAATGAAAAATTGGGTTTGTCTCAAATAGTCCTTGTGAAAAAAAAGTTCTCAGGACTACAAGTTTATCAACTGCATAAAACATGAACCCACAGATAAAGGGGCTTGCCCAGGTTTTGCTCTTCTGGTTTTATATCACAGTGTGATCACTACTATCAAGAGAGTTTATTTATGAGTTCATGCTACCTTTGTAATTTCCAGAGCTCAACAGCAAGAACAGCGAGAAATGAAGCTTCGTCTACAGCAAGAGGTGGATCCTGGAAACTCCAACTGGGAATTTTTACAAATGATAAGGTGTGATATGTCATGATACCATCACATGAGACAAATTCAGTAAGAGCACATGTATCTAATAGTAATATTGTTTAATAATAACATGCATGTATGGTAATACCCAGATATGCAAAACTGAAATAATTAGTGAAGGTGAAAAAACTTAAGAGTCATTTTTCAAGGCTGTGCTGTAAGAAAAATAATTGAAGGGAGCCCATTGCTCTGAACCTGTAAAATCTGGGGTGCCCAGTATATGATTTGTATGAAAAAAGTAAGATTTTCAGTTTGTCCAAGAGCAAAAGTCAGGCACCAGGGGTCACCAGGTGCCGGTAGAGAACGGCGTTTCATTTTATAGGAAAATCATTGCTATTAACTGTTTTTAAACATTATTTTTCTCAGAGAATACCAAGCAGAGTTAGATATCAAAGGGCTGACAATGTCAGACCCAGTAAGTATAAAATAATTTTGTTACATGTATTATTCGTTATAATAAATTATTATAATTATTACAGTATATTATTATTTGGGATTTTTAATCAATAATGTTCAAATCTAGTAAGTTGTTGGTTCTCTCCCTTGCTCCAGACTCCGGCAAAAACCAACAACAAATTCCAATTCAAGGAATCATTAAAGAACCATTTGTTTTCACCTGAAATCTATTATTTATTTTATTTAATTTATTTTTTATAGTATTGCAAAACAAAAACAACAGTGTTCAACATTAAAATAAGAATGAATAGAAAAAGAAAAATAAGAATGAATAGAAAAAGAAATAATTATGAAATTAATAAATTATAACAGATAATCAAGTGACATTATTCTTGCATGACAGTACAATGGCATGCAAATTATTCAGAGAGATGAGATATAATTCAACTGTAAATTAACATAAATATGAGAGCCAGTGGCTGATTTGAAAACAGCAGTTTCCCTAACAACCCATTAACAGCCATACTTCAAAAAAGCCACTCAATTTTAACAAATACAAATACATTTTAACACATACATTTTGCCTTGCATTGGTTCAATAATGGATCATAGGATTTTTATTAAAAGGAGTAAAGAAGCAGGATATTCAAGGGTAATATTTTAAATCATATTTCTTTGAACATGTCAATAACATGTAATATTACTATGGAATTTTTTTTCTTCGCTTAACAGGTTATAGACCACCAAATCTGTGTTTGTGTCCGCAAACGACCTCTCTCTAAAAAAGGTACTTGCACAAATTTTACACATTCATAGCAATAATTTGCTAATTTATACACCTGAATTGACAGTATTTTCTGGTGTGTAAGTTTACCCTTCCAAGTGACAAATTAATATGCCCAGTTTACTTGGCATCTCGATTTACAAAAATAATGTACTGCAGAAATAGAGTAATATACATGTATTTGGTATTAAAGGTTAGAAACGCTGTGTTTTTGTATTCATGTCATGTACATTCATGTAATTAACTGTTTAACTTCAATTGCATTTCCTATAGAACTTAACAAAAAGGAAATTGATGTTATCATAGTACCAAGTGGTGATTACTGTGTGGTAAGTTTTCTATATAGTGACAGTGAGTTTCTAATATGGTGACGATGCTTTGTTGAAAAATTGGTTTAAAAAAATGATTCATATCAAAATAAACATATTCAAGTTCTGTAAAACCTGTAAAAATACCTGTACAACTTGATATAGTTCCACTATAATGCAACATTGATTTAGAAATAGTTATAGAATTTTGAATTGTTTTTTATTTCAGGTACATGAGCCCAAGCAGAAAGTGGACCTCACAAAATACCTAGAAAATCACAAATTTTGGTAAGTGAGAGGTTTTTGTTAAATGCAACTTGTTAATTATTAGTAACAGGTCATTTGTGACACTGTAGCTCTTCTTGACAGAATTTGCCTTTGATTTTGTTTTAGGTTTGATTATGCTTTTGACGAAAATGCAAATAATGAATTGGTGTACAGGTAAGCTTTTTCACAGCTTCTTAATCTGCTGATCTGTTCATTAAGACTTTGGTGTGTTCTCGGTGGCATTAGCTGTTCATGATTTTCGAGTTTCTCATTTGTGTGATGTACAAACGTAGATATGAGAAATTCTATAACAAGGGATGAGTTGTGGTGAGCAAAATTTGAAATAACTATGAATGGATGAAATATATATGCTCTCAGAGTGGTAAAATTGGGTGCAGTGCTGAATGTGTTCATCAGTGACAAACATCGGAAAAATGTCTCATTAAATGAGGGAGGAAAACAAGAGAGCACGCCCAGGGGGGCACGTAAAAATTACAACCCGCAAGGAAGGTGACACGCGGAGGGAAGAGAGATCAACGCAAAGCACATGTCCAGTGCTGGCCACAGTCTGAGCTGTAGTCCCTCGTTGTCCCTTTTCCCTCCGCCTATCCTCTTCTTTCTGGGTGGTGATTTCACGCCCACTTGCCTCTCGAAAATAATACTTTTCCTCCCCAGGGGGTAGGGGCATTGCCAAGGGCAAAAAGGATTTCCACACTTTCGCGCACTCTGTTTACTGTACATTAGGATAAGGACTGTTAACATTCATAAGACAGCTTCTCCAAACTATGCTCTGCTAGAAACATGGACTCATAAAGTGAGAATTTGCATTTTGATATAGGGGGAAACAGTGAAATCTAACAAAGTGCATTTTTTTTCTTTTTTTTTTTTAGATACACTGCTAAGCCTCTTGTGGACACAATCTTCAACCAAGGAATGGCAACTTGCTTTGCTTATGGTCAGACTGGAAGTGGTAAAACGCATGTAAGTTGACTTTTTCCCCTTTCTGTCGGTGATAAAAACATTCAACTACAGTCGCCTTTCTCTGGACACCTCAGCAAAACAGACACCTAGAGTTGGTCCCTGGCTTTCTTTACTCCCTTATTTGACTCTCTATAAGATGGGCACTCTAGTGACCGGTCATTATTTGTCGCCTGGGGGGGAGGCGAAGGATTTTAGGGGGAATCACTTGATTCTTAGGAGAACAAAAGGGAGGATCAGTCTTAACTGAGAACCCAAAAGGAGGGATTGCTGAAGACTTTGGAACGATTCAGAGGCAGGGGGAGGCACTCAAATTTTCTTTGCAAATAAAGACTTGGGGGATCGCGAAAGTCATCAAAAGCAAGAGAGCTCTCTTGATCAAAAGTTATTAGGGGGGATCACTCCAGTGAAGTAACGTTCAGAGGGGGGACCGGCTAAATTTCACCTTGTTTAGCCCCCAATCCCCCCTCCCTCGCCAGGCGATAAATAATGACCAGTCCCTTAGTGCTGATCTAAAAGGTGGTCGTCTTAGGATGGATTTCCACTGTCGCGTAATTTCAACGTGTGTGCGTGCGTAAATAAAGTAAAGGAGATGTATGAAAGGTCGCGTGTAAACGTAAAAGCTGAACCTCGCTCAAATGTTGAATTTTTTTTTCATTTGTTTACGCATATTACGCGACAGTGAAAATTAACCGTTAGAGAGCGTTAATTGTATTGGCTTTCAAGTATGTCTTGCCTAATCACTTTAATTGCTTTACAGACCATGGGTGGTACGTTTTCAGGGAAACAGCAGGATTGTACAAAAGGAATTTATGCCTTATCAGGTTGGTATCGCATGCACCCTTTCAATAGTACAAAACAAATGTCTCGAGTTACGATTACATTCAGCTTAAATGGATTTAAATGATTCCTTTTCGAGGCACACGCGACGGGGGCAGCCTTATTCCGTCGCGCATGTCTGGCGCTCCTCGCTCGCATCGTGCTAGCCTCCCACGCAGGCGTTTTTAGGGGAGCTCGTTTTTCATGCGAGAGCGGTGTATAAATGTGGCATTTTAAAATAGGTGATTCACCTTGCAAGTTGGAAGTCGTCACGTTTTCTAGTTGGTGATACAGTGTAATGAGAAGTTTTCATGCAAACATTAGGATAAATCCAGAACGTGAACGTTTTTTTCTTTCCTGCAGCTCAAGATGTTTTCAAACAGAACAAGTCACCGAAACATAAAAACAAGGATCTTCTAATATCTGCAAGTTATTTTGAGATTTATGGAAGCAAAGTAAGTGAAAAGTTCTCGAGAATTTTCAACATGCTGCATTTCAAGGCCTGGGAATATCAAGTTTCATCCTATGAAAATTGCAAGCATACGTCTTGTTATGTCTTTAAAAATGTGTATCCTTCTAGAACCCCCCCAAAAATGCATGTATTCATCATGTAAAACGCTAATTTTTATTGTAGCTGTTTGAAAACTGATTTTAACTCCGTTAAGACGTAGCAATTTAAGCGAAAACGCGGACGACCTTAGCTGTAAGAAGACAAAAATTTCAGTTGCCGTCGTCTTGATTTGAAAGGCCATTTTCTTCTTTCTGTTTATTTAGGTATTTGATTTACTGAATAAAAGGAAAAGACTAAGAGTGTTGGAGGATGGAAATCAGCAAGTCCAGGTAAAAGATGGCAATTGATGACTTGTGTGGTTTAAATACGGGGGCAAACAAATGAACCAGTCGGATTTCGGCTAAATACTGTAAGGGGCTTCAAACGCGGGAAAAGCTTGCAAGCAGCTGACGAATGGTTTATTTCATGCTTCTGATTGGTTTATTTAAGTGTCACGGCCGGGTTTCTTAGCCAGTCACAGTGTTTGACTATCCAAACAAAAGTGATTACTCCTGACAAACTTATCGATCACTGTTCTGCTTACCATTATTCTCGGTAGAGGGAAGCAGTGTCGAGTAGTGATTCTTATCTAAGGAAACATAGTATTCAGGAGAAGGCAAAACTCAACGAGGTGTAAACTGATGCTTTTCCTTTACGTTAGTTCACTCACCTGGGTCATGAAGTTACAATTTTGTTTTTTGTTAATGTTTGTGTGTTTGTTCCTTTTTGGCTTTACTCTTCACGGCAGGTCTGTGACTTGGAAGAAAAGATAGTGCATTCAGTGCAGGATACATTGAAACTCATCGAGCTTGGTAATAAACTCAGGTAAGCGACACCCCCGGCACATGATTGTCTTCGATCATCTTGTTAGCAAACCATAAAGAAAGGTTTATAAGCAGCTTTTTCAACACGTAAATCGCCAGTCATGTTTTTTCCAATTTTCAGCATTCACATGTAGATCTTTGCGTTATCAGTATGTATTTTAGTGTAGACTTAAAAAGACATGAAATCACGTGTGGATCACGTGTGGTATTTTCCTTTAGGACGTCTGGGCAGACATCAGCCAATCAGAATTCGTCGAGATCTCACGCGGTATTTCAGATCATCTTAAGAAAGAGGTAAGTTAGAATACACTGAACTGAAATTTTCTCAGCAAACTCCGAGAAAGAAAAGGTTGCGTTTTTCACTGACCATGTTTTCGTTTTTTTTCTTTGTAGGGGATTCAGAAAGGATGGCGGGGGAGGCCAACTTTACGGCAAATTCTCACTAATAGATTTGGCAGGTAAGTCAGTTCCAAATGTTCTTAGTTTCTCCTTGCTGTGCGTTTAGTGGTGTTGAAAATTACTTATCCAGTCGGTTAACAGTAAACGTCTAAGACCTTGCGCTGTGACATGCCGTAGCAATGAAGTGTAGTAAAACTATCACTTTCAAACTTTTCTGCCATTGAAATATGCCACTGTAAAACTAAAGGAAAAATAGTTGATGAACTCCTTCTCGTCTGTTAAGTAGATTTAGCGAAGACAACGCAATGTCAAAAATGACGTAAAAGCGCGCTGAAAGGACTGAACTCGACTTTCGGTGCTCAAATTTCTGCCATTGGTCCAGTATTTTCTACATTCTGCGTGCGACGTCATCACTGTCGTGGCGTTGTGTTTGCTAAATCCGCCTATTGTTTGACATGCGCACAGGAAACGAAAGAGGAGCTGACACTTCAACCGCTGACCGAGTTACAAGACTTGAAGGCGCAGAAATAAACAAGAGTTTACTGGCTTTGAAGGTTAGTATTATTTTTGTTTAAGAAGCAAACGTAGAGAAGGAGAAACGGTAACGGAAGAGATAATGTAGGATAATCACGCCTATTTTTGGATAGGCATCTTTACAACATTAATCAACGAGTTCCAGTGAGGTTAGTGAAGTCTTGGGAGGGTGCCAATTGTTCGTGCGGAAAAACGTGGAATCAAAGTAATATCGCTTGGGGATGGGGTAGTGTGGCTTCTATTTCCCCAAACCCCATTCCCACGGGCTATTTGTTTTGTGTCAGGTAAAAAAATTAAAGTTCTCTAACTTCGTCGCCAGCGCATGAAGAGGAGGTGGTAAAAAAGGGAAGGGGAAGGGGGAATTCGCGCGCGCCTATTCTTCCTTCCGCCCATTACTTCCAAGCGCCTGCTACGCAGGCTACGCGAATTCCCTCCTTCCGCCATGTTGTTTAGTTCATAGCTTCTTTTCGTTACACACTGTAAGTTTATTTTCGATCTTCACAGGAATGCATCAGAGCTCTTGGAAGAAAGGGAGCACATTTACCTTTCAGAGCAAGCAAACTGACGCAGGTGAGAAACTTCATACACTCTTCCAGGCAGCTGCTATGTCAAGGAAGAATAAGTTATCTAATGTACAGAAATGGTGAACAAAGGCGCATTTACATACACTCTGTAAGCAAGCTTTGTGGTAATTTACTCTTTGCGGTATTGTTTTACTCCACAGGTTCTCAGAGACTCATTCATAGGAGAGAACTCGAAGACTTGTATGGTAAGGTTCGATTGTGAATGAAGCTTTAGAGATTTAGATCAGTCTCCATAATTTTGTACCGTTGCCTTTAGATCGCCATGATATCGCCGGGAATGAATTGTTGTGAACACACCCTGAACACACTTCGTTATGCCGACAGGTAAGTAGCAATCGAGACTGCCAAATTTATCATGTTTTGTTAATATCGCTTCACCTTTTTGAGTAAACTGGGCCTGCAACGTAAGGAGCTGGTCAAAAAGCATAGGGAAGGGTGAGTAAGAGCAGAGAGGGGAAGGGTCATCAGTTTTTGCACCCTGTGCAAGGTGTGGGACGTGCAATTTTTAGCTATCCTTGTGGGTGTGTCTCATCCTATTTTATAACAGAGATATGATTTTTCATACATATAATTTGGTTTCACTGGATTAAAATTAAACCAAATAAATGTTTACTAGTAGGGATGGCCAAGTAATTTTTAACCTTCAGTTAGGGGTAGCCTTTTCCAAAAAGAGGGGATGGGCCATGTGTTTTTCGTCCTCCACATTTTGAAAGCTCCAGCCCAGCCCCTTGCCATACCTTTTTCCAGCCCCTAATTGTAAAAAGCGATGCCTTTGTTTTCTAATGGTGCCATGAATGTTTGGCAGAAGACTGAGTAGAAGCATTATCTCCTTTGTCTCGGTAGAGTAAAAGAGCTTGGACCCGAGAGTAACCGCAAGAAGAAAGGAGCTGCAGCTAATGGCAGCGAAGATGATGGAAGCAGCCCTGATGAGATGTCTTCTCTGTCAGGTGGCCGACATATCAACAATGTGGATCTTGCTCTTCTTTGTAATCACAGTGTACGTATTCATTTAAAGTAACTTTACAACTTCCCTTTTCAAACGCATTGATATTTCTTGAAGAGAAAACTACCGTGACGCACGGTGGCATGGATATCGGTAGACTACGAGTAGTCCCCCATTTTTCCTCAGGGATAGTAAAGCGTGCGAAACGCGAGCGAGCGTGAGGAAAAATGGGGGACTACTCGTAGTCTAGGATATCGGCTCTTACTGTAAAATTTTGCGACACTTGAGCTTTGCGTTTCTTCAAGAGTCCTCGTTCATTTTGGAAACTATGGGTTAGTGCTTAGATGCTCCATCCTGCTTGAAGATTTGAACTGATCAGTTATATTTTTTGGCCTCTGCTGCAGGGCTCTGGTGAGCAGTCCCAAGAACTTTACACGTTCCACGAAGCAGTTTCCCAGTTGCAGGATGCTGAAGATAAACTAGTGGATGATCACAGGAAGAACATTGAGGTAAAGCAGTTAATTCAGGAGCCTTTTGAATCTCAACCTCAACTCAGACAATATGGAAAAAAGACTTGGGCAGTTGCCTTAAAAGAGCAGAGGCATGACTGCAAAACGCTCTCCTGTTTGAATGATACACTATAGGTAGTGTGTACTTGCGTCGTCAACCACAGAAGTGGTTGAGCAGAGTTAAGCGCCTTTTTTTAATGGTTTGATAACATGTTTGATTTGCCGCCATTTAAGTAAACGCTGACAAAAAAAAGGTCCAATTTTTTTCTCGGTGGTTTTTAAAACTTTTTAGATGTGCACTGGAAACTCTACTTTTACTCCAAAGAATGCGACCCATCTTAAATTCAACAGAAATTCTTGATTGTATTTTCGTACAATACTTAAAGACATGTGAAAGCACTGTTGAAGGGGTTTCATTTGTCGCAAGAACGGATTCAATTCCAAGTTTATTTGCTCATCGCCTTCTTCTCTGTTCATATCTTTGATACAGGAAGCGGAGACATTGTTACAAGAAGAAAGAAAACTGATGGAGAGAGTAGACACAGATGTGGATTACAATATGGAAGGTACCCTTTAAGCCCTAAGAGTGATCAACGTCAAATTTCTCCTTGTAATATCAATGCTTTACAAAACAGAGTGGTCATGAGAATTAAGGACATGATCACACAAGATGAATCTAATTGATACTTCAACAAATTCTCCTCACTACTTCTATTGAAAACGTATAGGGATAACAAATGAGAATTTGAATTTTGATATTAGGGTTTAAAGGGTTAACAACGGTCTTGGAGTGCTTACCATTTACACAAACCACCCAGGGAAAAATCTTGCGCATAAAAATAAAAATATAAAATTTGATGTTGTGGGAGAACGACCCTCTACAAAGTATTTGCAAATCAACGCAACAAACTAAACAGTGTAGGGAAATTGCGTCCCCTCAAATCGCAGCTTATTTTTTCTGAAGTTTACCATTCGGAATGCCACGAACCGTTTGAGTTTCCATCCGTAATTTCCGGTAGTTTTTTCGTAAATGGTAAATATTTGTGTGTTTGTTTTCTGTCTTTGGTGTTGTTCGTTCATCATATACTTTCAATGTTGCTATTATTATTACTCTTTTTTTTTCTTTTATAATTGGTGATCTGTGTGCAATTTTACAGAATATGTACGACGATTAGACGAAATACTGGCCCAAAAGATCGAGAAATTCACCCAGCTTCGAGGTAAGACTGCATTGCTAACCTTTTTTCAGTTCATCCTTGTTAGCTTATTGTTGCGTCAAACACAGAGCTTTATGCTGTCTCGATCTCAAGGGGGAATTCTTTCACCTGTGAACGAAGACGTATTTCCGATCGTCGCTTCTCTCCACCCGGGTGAGGTGTGCTCGCGGGCTAGGAATTGTTTTGATTGGTGAAAAGAGAGGCGGGCACAAAAAGGAAAACTAGACTTACCGAGACTTGGCTGTTCTTGTCGCCAGGACCCCTCGCTCTTCAGTTACACGGCCTTATCGACTTAGGGGACACTGGGAACGAAATTGGACTTAAGTTTACGTTTTCTGATTGGTTCGTGCCTTGCATCTGTTGTGTTTCGGTTTTTTGTTTTGTTAGAGTCGTAACTTTGCTTTCGTTTTATTGTCATTTGTTTTATCGTTGGCTAAGCTATCTTTTCCTTTATTTCCTTTTACATTTTTACTTGCCTTTTTACGTTGTAGACAAAGTAAACAAGTTCAAGAAACAATTGGAAGAAGAAGAAATGGCGAGCCGAAATATAAGAAAATTACCAGGTTATTAGCGCGCACGCTCGACAATCTACGGCTGAAGTGTTTCCTGATGGGCAATCTAAGACCGTGAACCTGTTGCTTAATGGTCTGCAGAAGGAAATATTCTTTAAGATGTCAACGCATCATGCCATGAAGGGATCCATTTGGACTTTCGGTCAGTCGGTGAACATACATTTAGAGGAACTGCAATATTTAAGTTGAATATCAGCTGCAAAGCACAGTTGTTTTGGAAAAATCTTATGACCAATTTGGTCTTGTTTGTGGCTGTATATTTATTGTGTCGATTAGAGTAGGCGCATATCACGTTGTGTGTAAGAACAAAGAGGTGAATGGTATGAAAGCTGTAAATTGTGAGTGGTATATTATAAGTTGATAATGATTTTGCATTAGAGCCTTGTAAGACAAAATAAGCTAAAAAATAGCCCTTGTATTACGTTTGTACAATTCAGAGTTTTCCTTATTGTTCTTATAGTGAGGAATATTGACAAGGTGTGCAGGTTGGAATTCCCGCATTACCTTTCTACACAGAATTGCCGGAAAGGTTTCATTGTTGTTTTCCTACTGTGACAATTATTGCCAAGTCTTAGAATTCTGTTTACTCCTGAGTGTTGCAATGATCAGCAACAAAAGTGTCCGAGTTCTTGAAGTGTTTATGCTAGTCAGTGAGGAAGGTCAAAAATTAAAGACATTGACTCATTCAAAAACGGTTTTTAATTTTTGAATCAAGCAGGTCTTGCGAACCTCAAGGGTTAGCCATAAGTTATGCCTCTAAGAGAGCTATTCAATTCTAGCTTTTAGTCTTACGTTATTTGGAATAGCCCGGAACAAGGTCTGCTCCTGCAGTAGAAATCAGTAATACTTGAAGTCAGTGTTTGGTTGTCTTCTTAGCGTACCTCAAAAATGCCATGGGGTACCTACAATCTCAGACAAAAACCTTGAAACACTTTGGAAAATTCTGCTCCTTTTCGTTTCCCCCTCCCTTTTGCAATGTTTTTGTAGCCACGTAACTTTGCAATCACATCTGAACATTGCAGAGGGACTGGGACGTGCATAGGTGTTTCAAGGACTTTTGGCGCGCGAGGATTGTAGATGTCTGGCTCCGGTTGTTCAAACGTTTGATAGCGCTATCCACCGGATAAATCGCTATTCAGTGCATGCGTTTAGGGAAATCAATTGCGTTGTCCACTGGATAGCGATATAGCGTTATTCACCTTTCGAACAACTGGGTCCTGTTCTGGTAGACTGTGAACGGATGTCTTGGGCGCTGACTTGACGTTCGAACCCAGCTTACAAAGCTTTACAAAAATGTGAAGACTCCTTAATAGAAACTCTTTTCAACTGGAAAATAGCCTGCGTAGCAGGCGTTCGAAAAGGAACGTGAAGTAAAAGGAGAACGCCTTTCATTCGCACTCCCTCGCGCGCCCTTCGCGCATCTCACGCGTCCAAAAGCTCCTCCACTTTTCATTTCGAATGCCTTCCACCGTGACTGATTGGAAAATATCCACTGATGCTCATAAAGGTAATCGACCGAATCCTTTTTGCTCTCAAGTTGTGTGAAAAAGAATAAACAAAAACAATATCATTTCAACCCAGTGTTTTTTTCACACAATCGGGTGAGTTTACTTGTATGTTTAGATAGCACGCGCGACGCAGATATGTCGCATTTTTTCGCGCATACTCTAAAGGTGCGCACAACAGGAGCTTCTGCGATCCAGGTCCGTCCACTCTGCCGGCCGTACGTTCAAAGTCCACTTTTCCTGTAAGCAACGGCAACTGCAAAAACTCCACTTTTTCGGGAAAAAAAAGAACAGCGTTCGCCGGTCGTTCTAGAACTTTCGCGTGTCATTTTGTCTTTTAAACATAAGTGGAACTGTTATACTCAGTATCCTCTTTGTTCTCGCCGACACTGTCACAAATCATTTGGGATTCGTCTCTTCCATTTATTTTACTTTCGTTCATCTTAGTTCCATTTTCTTTCTTCTCTTGACTATTTCCATTGTCCTGTAAGTTTCCGTTTGTATCCTCCATTTCTCGGTCTCCAGTGAAGCAAGAACAAACTCTTCGGCAAGGTCGTCTTTTTGAAATATAGGACGCTATGGCGTTCAAAACACTGGAAAACACGCACAGCCCAAGCGTACACCAAGCAAGAAAAAACACAACGCCCCAGAACACTTGTTTTTTACCTGTTATATAATCACCGTAACCAATGGTAGTGAAAGTTATTAACCAGTAATAAACTGCGACAAGAAAGCTCCATTCCTCCAAATAAACTTGCATGACAGAGCCACAGAGTAGCATGATTAACATTAATGCAAAGGTCACAGCAGTACACTTGGCCTCCACGTTGGTTGGGTCTTGTCTGAAACATCGCTTTTCAATCTTTGTGATAGCAACAGTTATTCCTCGGCTAATAAGCTCACCAACTGCCTGAAAAGCCAAGATGGTAACAGGGATACCAATAATTGCAAAGACGATGCACAGGGCTTGGCCAGTTTTGGTGGAGGGTGAAATAGCACCATATCCTAAGACAGAGATTCAATTCGTCACGGGGTGCAATTAAGTATAAAACGAATGGCAGTTGTAACTACCGACATTCTTGATTGTTCTCGCCCCATCCCTTCTCCTCAAAAACCGACATGTCAAAACTCCAGTTTGTCTCTTTCAGTCAAGCCAGGTCAAGCGTACCCCCAAGATGCCATTAATGAATTTATTATTCGAAAGTTGAATCCGTTGGTACTTGTAATGAGCCGTGAATTCACACTCGAGGCAGTTAGCAAGGGGAACAAGGGAAACAAGGGGAACAGGAGAACAGGGGGAAAGAGGGGAACAGAGGAACAAGACGAACAAGGGGAACAGGGGAACAAGGGAAACAGGGGAACAACAGGAACAGGAAAACAAGGGCAACCAGGGAAACAGGGGGAACAAGAGGAACAAGGGAAACAGGGGAAAGGGCAACAGAGGAGCAAGGGGAGCAGGGGAACAGGGGAAACAAGAGGAACAAGGGAAACAGGGGAAAAGGGCAAGAGAGGAACAAGGGGAACAGGGGAACAAAGGGAACAGGGAAACAAGGGGAACAGGGAAACAATGGAACAAGGGAACAGGAGAACTTGGGGAACAAGGGAACGGGGGAGCTTAAACGTGAAGATCAGCGAGGTTCAACTTGTACTTTTACTTGCATTGTGACCTTTCATACATTGCCTCGATTCTTTTTGCGAACGTCAATTTTACGCACTAACGCACGTAAAAAGTACGCGACATTGGAAATCTACCCTAGGTCTGTCACGCTACGTTTTCAAAAACAGTTGCGTTGGAGATTAGTACGTTGCTATGAACCTTTTACAATGCTCACATTATACCACTTACCAATAGTTGTTAACGTTTCAAAGGCAAACTGGAGACCGTCAACGAAATCCCAGGTAGGTCCACTGCTGAGTGCCTTGCAAGATAACTTCGTGAAGTTATCAAAGTCCGATGGAGTCATATTATACTTATTTTCCATCTCTCTTTTTAGATCGTGCAGGAGCTCTTGTTTTCTTTTTGATTCATTATCGGCGTTGGGACGCTCCACAGCGGAAAATATCAGAGCTCCTGTAACAGCGGCAAATATAAACGCAATTACCCATGATAAAGTCTTTTTTTGCAAAGAATTCATGTCCGACAACCAGTGTCAATGCAAGGAAGATGTCTAAAAAAAGGAAAGAAGATATAAGCATTTTTTTAGCCTACAGAAATATCAACCATTAATTACGTACCCATGTGACTTCGGTCCCTTTGTGCTGCTCCAGCTTTTCAATTTGACAGTATACAACACCCCCAGGTTGATTGGACTTAGTAACAAACATCGCCTTCGTTAGCTCCCATCAATGTTGGCCAAAAAACGCAAGCTGGAACAACAAGAAAATGAAGGACAGACCCCGGGGTGTTAACTCCACGTTGTGAACTTGATGTACCGTCGCACAAGCGGCCGCAACCCCGAGAGCCGTTTGTTACAAAAATTGCGTTCATGTTTCGATTTCTTTCGAAAAACGCCGAGGATCGGAAGTATAGCTTATTTATCTTTATCATGATCGAAAAGTGCAAACTACGCTAGTAAACACTCTAGCTGCCGCGTTGATTATGGCTCTTGCGCTCTCCCAACGGTTCTACTAGCTGTGAGTTAATCGATATCTTTCCGAAGTGAAAATATCGAGTTTGTAAAGCCGAGGAGATGAAAAATTCAATATTTATTTACCGATATTGTAAATATTGATGCACAAACATCGTGTTGTCTGTACTTCCTCGTAAAATTTCATCTCAAGTAGATTCAACAAATTTTGGGTTCCAAATCAGAAAGGTTTTTATTTTATTTTATTTGAGGAGCGGAAAGAGAAAAACAAAAAGGTTCCAGTAAAAGCTCAACAGAAAACAGCACTTATACCTCACTGTCTGCTCTCGTTACAGATGTTTTTATTACTTGCGAATTCTTCACCATCAGGTGCACTATTTTTTACAATTACAAATACTTAGCATGTAAAAAAAACTCACCTTTTTTAATAAGTGTTTCGAATCGTTCCGTTTTACTGACGCGTCTCTCTCATTTTAGCTTATTTTAGCCTTAACTTTGGGGTGGTTTCGGTTCTGTGCGAAAGAACCTTTATGAGGGAGGTACTTCTGAAGATTAGATAATTGAATAATCAACATATAATAATTGCGAAGATCTTGTTCGTGAGTAATTAACATCTTATTTCAATATTTTTTGACATAATTCGTATTGAAATTTACTTCAGCTGCTACAAGCTTAACAGCATTGTCGACAGGTGTTCCATTATGCTCTTGTTTTATTTTGATAAACAAGCGACAACTTGGCACTCGAGCTGCAAGTTTTATTTTTATCTTTTTAATTAGGGCCTGTTTGCACGAAGGTGGAGGATCCCAGGTAGGTAAAGTAACCCGCTTTGGTGGCGTAACCCGCGTTTTTATGTAATCATATCTCTTATATGGTCACCCCACCTATCATGTAAACGTGATCAAATTTAAGTGAGAGATAATATAGACAGGCGGGTTACTCCACTTAAATGGGTTAACTCACCTTCCTGGGCACCCCCACCCCCATGGGGTGAACAGGCCCTTAAACTGAACGCACTAAACGCTTTTGTCATCATGCTTGTTTTCAATGCGATCAGATGGTCCGAGTTATTAGCGTTTTGTTTTAAGAACGCTTGATCGCAAGTTATGGCACGCCACCGCAAAAAAGGTGACAGTGCTTGATCACTAATGGCCGGTTTATCAAGGCAATGAACTCACCTTTTTTATATTGAAAAAAGCACCATCTATCTCACTCTAATATAATTGTGTTTCAATTACGCAGCCTTCATACCTTGTTTCCTTTGCGTTTCTATTGGTCAAGTAGTGTGTCAGGTATGTTCAAGGGATATGGGATATAGAGTTACCCAGCCTAGTCCCTTAGCGTTCTCGGCTCGGTCAATCCTGGACTAGACTTCGCGCGGCCAAGGGGGCAAGAGAGAACGCTTAGGGATTAGGCTGGGAGTTATCTTTATTATCTATCCATTCTCAGAGTTCGTTAGGTCAGTGGGTCACGAAACATGGCATCAACAATTGCATGTATGCAAAACATACCACCGGGCGCGCGCGCCGACCTTCAACGTTTTTTTCCAGTGAACGCTTTCATTTTCACAAATTTGTTGTTAGAGTAATGGAGCTGGAGATACCTCGAATGCAGTAGGGAAGCATTTGCCATTTTACACATTTAACCCCTCCCCCTATAACGCGTTATGACATATGTTACATACCATGTCTGCAGGAGAAGTAAATAGGTCTTCCAGCGCTCACGTCGATGACTCCATTGATAGAATTGATTCTTATGCCTAAGAGACTGACGCGAACTTATGCCGCGGCAACCAAGTTCACTTAATTCAATTTAATAATTTCTTGTTTCCGGCTGTGTTTCAGAATAGGAGGGGTTTATGGGCGATCGTTCGAGATTGTTTGTTATGCCCCTCTTCTTGTCGGGGACTCAGAAGAATAGTCTATCAGACACACAGCGAGTTTTTTTTTTCTTTTCTTTTTCTCTTTATTATTTTCTCTTTAGATTTTTTTATTTTATGTAAGGCCAGTCCTGCGGTCAGTTAGGCACAATTAATGATCGGTATTTGCGGAGAATTTTTGCTTAAAGATTTCTTCGAAATTTATTGCTATTGAAAGGTAAAAGTACGAAGCAAAGATCGATCCAATTTTTCATCGATATAATTGTTTGCGAGGCAGTGTCTTATGCATATAATCTTTTTTAGTTTCGTAACAAAGGCCATCTGCCGTTTCATTTGCTATATGTGTTAGGCTCAGTTATCTGTACGTTGTATACAAGGAGTGATCAGTTGTCTCGTGCTGTTATATTGTTTCCAAACTGGCCTTATCAATGACCACGATTATTTATTTGGCTGAGTAACAGTTGAATTCGCTATCTCGCATAATTACAAAGTATTCGATATTCAGTTTCTTTTATGAATATAAATGTATAATTGAAAGAAAGAGTAGTGCTTTTTTTCTCAGACTAGGCGCAAAACTACAAAACATATCTACAGCACCAACAATAATTCACTGAGAGTGCATGAGTTTACATCTAGCAATTGATTAAAAATACAAAAAATGTTTCAAAAGCTGAGATAGGGCTAACTTGTTTTCATCAGGACCTTTAATTTCCATTTAACTTACTCCTTAAAGAATTCACTTAACTATTATTCAGGGCCTGGAGAATTTTTTGTACTTATAGTTCTTACCGGCTACTTCGCGCTATTTTATTGATTTATTTTTTCCAGTTGTAGAAAGAAAATAAGTAAATTAAACCGGGAATGAAGCGACGTTGAGTCTCTCTTTAGTGAATTTAATCACATGAGCTCAATAGCCGCAAAGTTGACTGTGTAGAATTAATGCACAACTCACCTTTGTTTCATACAAAGAAAAACAAATCACGATCGCTTGTTGACACAGTTGCAGTCTGTTGATGTTTTGTAAAACTGTACTTCTTCCTCGTTGAATCCGTCGTCGTTTGATTTTCGGTTGAATTGTCACGTTGTCAACAAAGCTCTTGACACAGCTTTTCTCGCTCTATGAAGTAAAAGCTGCAGAAAGCCTGGGTATAACAGCTATCACATCAAAGAGACCGGCAACTGTTCTGGGGTGAATTGAACAATACCTTTACAAAAGTGTAATTTACAAACGCAGCTATTGTTTTGGAGTCTGAAAACAATACCCTCTTGTGAACAAAGTTTTATTAAACTGGCCCCTGAACTCTTCTGTGAAGTAACAAGAAAGGAACAGCTCACTAGGGCTGGGATAATCTGCTGTAAATTAGGGTTGTTGTTGTTGTTATTGTTGCTGTTCTTGTTTAGTATTGTTTGAGTTGCGTCTGACTCTTACCCCGCTTAGTTCCTTTTTTGAAGTAATTATAAGGGAGGATTTTTGTTGGTTTTATGCTGTCTTGTTTTTGTAAATACAACATTTTACCACGCTTGAAAGAATTTTTGGCCAAGTACATTAGAGCCACCCTCAGTTAAAAAATTTCAAAAGTAAGGTAGCTCTGAACTACAAAACAAAACAACAACAAGAAGACGGGTGAATCCGGAATTCTGGGCTTTAATATCCGGAATTCAGCTCAAGGATGGAGTCCGGAATCCGAGTTCCACGGACTAAGAATCCACAATCCAGACCTAGATTCCGAAATCCTCAGCGTAGAATCCAAAATCCAAGACTGTCTTAAGGTGATGTTACACGAGACGCTTTAAAGTGGCGCGAAAGTCTCTGAAAATGCTTTTAAAAGGTGATGTTCGACATGAGACAATTCGTGAAGGCGATTTTCAGAGCAACGCAGCGTTGCAACATTGTTGAGACACTGTTTCGAATGGTTACAACATTGTTGCAACATTGCAACGCTGTGTTGCGCCAAAAATCGTCGTTGCGAATCGTGCCGTGTACCATCACCTTTATGGGCAGACAACAAATTTAAGTTATCGGTACTTGAAAGTTCACTAAGCGAGCTCGCATCAGAATATTTTGTTTTAGAGAAAGGCGATAGTAAGACAAGTTTGGTCCTTGGTAGGTATTTCCTGTTTGAGGTGAGTGTAAGTAAAGTCCCATGTAAGACCCTGTAACGTGTTGCATTGCAAAAGACACTTCTACGGTTTTGTTTTTGCTTTGTTGTTGTTTTGAACTTGCTTTGTTTTTTGTTTGTTGTTGCGTCTTTAAATTAGCAAACTCTTTCCTTCCACTCCAGAAAAAACGCCCCCCCCAAAAAAAAAAAAAAAAATGGTAATCGCGAAGACTTATTTAAAGAATTTATCAGAAATGTTAATTAGTCTTTCAAAGCCCAAATGTGGTAAACAACACTTGTTCTCGCTACATTGACACGTGCAGCAAGAAACATCCAATCAGGAATAATTTTTATTCTAATCAAGAAGTTGCTTCGCGCCACATTCAAAATTGATAACTTCAGATGTCGTCGAGAAGGTCAACTTAGGCAAGAGGACTAATGGCTCTCACATAAAACAGTCCATCCGTTTTTCTCAGCTTCAACACTCGCAGAAGAGCTAACTATGAATCAAGAGAAGCAGTCCAGAAGTTACTCCGTTCGGCGTTAAAACCAGCGCATGAGGTAAATTA